TCCTTTGAGATCGAGGGGTCGAGCCCAGAACACATCGTCATCGTGGTCAGGCACCTCAAAAGGGACGAATCCGCGACGTTTCGGCGTTTTGAAGGGAAACAATCCCACGCGAACTATGGCTTTGAGAGCTCGAGTGTGGAATCATCGCCGGCTTGGTAGGAATGGACTATTTTCATCATTTCTAAGTATCTCACACTGGGTTACATTATGCCATTCTGGACTGGCGTGTTATTGGAGTCGCTTCGCCAAATGTTTCAGGAGAAGCAAGTCTCTCGGCATCTGGGCATCTGTTATGATACGCAGACAATTTCCATCCGCCTCGTATCTGGCGAGTCGTGATGCGCCATGTTTTCCGCGAGAATACAGTAGGAACCGTGCAAAGAAATTCCCGTCCCTCTGCGCCTTCAAGTTTATGCGACCTTATAACAACGAATCCAGCCGGGTGAAAACGCTCAGGCAAGCAGCTACGACCTGTGTAATTATAAGAATCAGTATCTGTATAAAGTGTCAGCGACGGTAGAACATACCTCAAGCTGTAGTTCTCTGTCCTTATTCTTATTGACCTCATCCGTAATCACTTGCCCCAAGTTTGCCCCTATCCCCTGGGCGCCCCCCGTCCGCTTCCCAAACGGCCACTGCGAGTATTCCGCCAATAGTTCATCGACCTGCGCGAACGCCCTTTCTCTGGCCTCATGACCTAGACTTGCCAAAGCGTTCTCCAACACATTTGCCGCATAGGCCGCGCATACCATCGCAATCGTTCTGATGTATCTGAACTCCATTTCTTCGGGGAGGAACTGGCTGGGTGGAAGGACGACCGTCCGGTTCGTCAATACATTGCGGACCCGCCTTCGAATCTCGTCCTTCGCGCCTCCATCCGCGACTGGGTGGGTGGCCATGTCGAAGAGGAGGAAGTTGCGCTTTTCGGTGCGCAGGATGCCTTTGTCTACAAGACCTTTGGCGAGGCGCTCTCGTACTTGCTTTAGCTGGTAGCCGATCTTCATGAGATTCCATGTCTCCCCTAGTGAAGACGTCAGTCCTAAGAGCTCTGCATGATAAGCGTAGATTTGCTGGCCCTTACCACTCATCAGATCTATCCACGAACTAACGCTCATCTTCTCACTCGACTTCATCATCTTCAATGCCTCATCCAGGAGGACTTCTCCAGTCAAGTTGTCATCAATAACCTCAATGACCCTGTCTGCCAACGGGAAGCGCCGCCTCGACGAGTCCTTTTGCATGCTCACGCGACCTCTGAAAGCTAACTCGATGACTATGCATCCTCGTAGAGCGTAGGAGATGTTATCGTTCCAGAATGACAGATAGCCCTTGGACACGGTCAATGTCAGTCTCGAATCGTCGAAAGCTCAGAAAGGCCAATTGTACCTGCTTGTCCTTCAACCCCATCAGCAGCACCTCCTCCATGAGCGTCAATTTAGGCTGCTTGCTCCGCTCCTCACTCTCACTTATATCCCGTGGATCGAAAGCTATCTTGTGTCCATTCTCTCCGCCTGTGTAGGATGTTTCTGGTGCACGGTCGTTGTAGGCTTTTGGCGCTGGGGAGCTGACTCGGCTTGCGTCTTCTCCATCCTCAGCGGTAGACGCGGAGGCTCCACCCCCTCCCCCAGCGCCACGGCGACGAGTCAAGCCGCCGGCTGACGCCATGGAGCTGTGACCTCGAGCTTAGGAAGAATGTTGTCGATATTCTTGCAGATTGGTGACAGGACTGCGGAACGCGGGAGGTGAAAGCATCCGCTCGTGTCACCTTGGGTTCGGCGGCAAGAAATCTTTGATTCCTGAGCTGCGACTGAAGTCTCCCTTTGCTTCGCTGTCAGTCAAAGCGCTGATATTTTAGATTGAGAATCCTTCGTATTTCTTTGCGGTGTTGGGTTGAGTACTCCGTTGCATAGGCTACGCTCCGTTTCAGGAGCTCGCTTACGCTTGCCGCAGCATTGGCGCCTACAAAAGAAGAGTACTAGTAGTCCAATCCGAGATATGCCTCTAGGCATTCCGTGAAGCAAATGAAGTCCAAATTGTAAAAAAGGATTGGTAGAGTGTTTGTGTTTATTTGTACGCCAAAGTTGGACATGATTGGGCTCTAGAATAAGACAGCTACTAACAAAACCCTCGGAATTGACAGAATCCCCTGGATGCTCCTCCATCTCCCATTATCCGGGATACTGATTGGCTTCAGTGAGCTGAAGGAATGTATCAGCAGCTGTATGTCATTCGTATTCTTCCACGTGCTTACCGTCTGGCTGGCCCAGTATGTAGTTTACTGCTTTGTCGACTGCAAAAAGATTAGCACCCAAAGAGCCATGCCTTTCCACAGAGAAAACATACTGCTCAAAAGCGAGTCGGCCTCCTTGTCCGGAATCTCAATGCTAAATTCCTGTGCGAAAGTCAGACCGGGCATATCCGCTCCCTACCATATAGCATCTCACCTCCTCAATAGCCATAACCACCTCCACAGTGTCCAAACTGTCCAGACCTAGGTCATTCGAGAAGTGTGACGTGTTCGAGAGCTTGCACCATGTCAGACATGCCGTTGTGACCCAAAATCATTGCCCACCATACCTTCGACGCATCTTTGACCTGAATTGTAATCATTTAGCCCACTTCTCCATATTTTAGAGCCACAGCCAGCCATACCTTGTCAAAGTTCTTCAGCAGATCCATTATTCTCCCCTCAACCTCTGGCTTCGACAATCCTGCTGGTGCTGAATAGTATCTGATGCCTGGGTATCGTGGAGCTGGAGTCGACCGGGTGGATGTGACGGAGAAGCAGGGAGCAATTGCTCGCGACGCTGGAAGCTGTGTCCTTGTCACGGACCTCGAGGCGCATCGGACGGACTGGAATAGAGCGGTACGGATCATCTTGATTTTGAACGTTCTAACGTCGGGCTATGGTCGTTGTAGTGTTCTTGGTGACGAGCTCCGACCTCTTTCGCATCACTACACTAGCGACCGTTAGCGCCATTTCCATCATCTCCACCTCCCAATTCGCACCTCGCCACAACATTCTTCTCTTTACCCGCCACCATGGCTTCAGCACGCTCTCTCATGATGCTCGCCCGCGCGCGTCCCACTTCCATTCCCCTCACCTCCTTCCTCGTCACACGTACAACAATGCCATCCGCCACCTTCACCAGCACCTCCCGCCTAGCCGCAACTCCAGCTGGCCCACCACCCCAAGGCTTCCGGCTCGCACGAAAGGAGCGTTGGGATGAAAGCAAAGAGTCTGCCCTCGACAAAGCCGGTAAATACTTTCTCCTCACCGAGATGCTGCGAGGCATGTACGTTGTGCTAGAGCAGTTCTTTCGGCCGCCATATACGATCTACTATCCTTTTGAAAAGGGACCAATCTCTCCAAGATTCCGTGGGGAGCATGCTTTGAGGCGGTATCCGACTGGGGAGGAGAGGTGTATTGCTTGCAAGCTGTGCGAGGCTATTTGCCCGGCGAGCGCTATTACGATTGAGGCCGAGGAGAGAGAGGATGGGAGTAGGAGGACTACAAGATACGATCTTGATATGACAAAGTGCATTTACTGCGGGTTCTGTCAGGAGAGTTGCCCAGTGGACGCAATTGTCGAGTGTAAGTCACTTCCCTGAGATCACGGACTGTTTGTACGGGCAATGGCTAATTCGTCACTTTTATAGCTCCCAATGCAGAATACGCCACAGAGACGAGGGAAGAGCTGCTTTATAACAAGGAGAAGCTGTTGGCCAATGGGGATAAGTGGGAGCCCGAGCTGGCTGCTGCTGCGCGGGCTGATGCTCCATACCGGTAAAGCTCGAGAAGAAAACTTCAGGGAAGAGGGGGTTGTGTTGTATATAGAGGGTGTTTTAGCGTGTATACGGATCGAAGCGTCGCGTGGCTCAGTGTCACAATTTTCAACTTTTGGGAGCATGTGCAAACACTTGCAGACCGCTGTCATGAAACGACTGAGGCTAAGCAGCAGCTATGGGCAATAATTTGAATTGATGACTACCGGTGTCCCTATCTATTCGGAAAGCCGTTCGATGAACTGTCAAAGTTTGAGTCCGGATATGATAGTGTGTTGTTGCTACGATCATTCTTACCAAGCGCATGGACCACCTTTGATTCAAGTCAGCATTGCACTCAGAGAGACTCATCTCGTTTGACGACTCACCGTCCCAATCAGGCTTTCCTCTACCTTCTTACCGCCGCTACTCTCCCACCAGATGGCGCTTCCCTCCCAGATTTTCTCCCTTAATGTATTCCACTCTCTGTATTGGCCAGCTCAGATAGCCGTTCGGGCTTCTCTTCACACCGTGGAGACCTAGCAGTGCACGAAGTACACGATAGCCTTGTGATCAGTACCGGCCCCCATGCCGAGCCTCGTGGTCGGAGAGATACGGTCGCTGGGAGAAACGGGTACGCTCGTGAGGTATGATATGAAGTGAAGTGAAGTGACTCGTCAACAGTGCAGAGAAAGAGGCAACCGCGAGAGTGCAGTTGAAACGGAGACGGAAGGAGCGATCCAGCGTGAAGCTCCTCAGAATGAAACCCGCTTCAAGACTACTACGGGGATGATGTACTCTGGCTGCAAATGGGGACGCGAGTTGATTACAATGAGCTGAGCAGTTCAATCTTGCCAGTTCAAAATTGGCTGGTCGAGGACTTGCTAATGTTATACACTCAAGTAATGCAGGTCACATATCTCCCAAATGCCATGACTTGTAGCGGTCTTGCTTAGAATCTTACAGGACCACGATAATCTCCCCAAATTCCTGCAATCTGGGTGGTCCGGGTTGTAGCCCGTGGCATACTTTCTCTGCACAGTTTTAGCATGTCCTGACTGCAACGTTCTTCCGTCGATCAAGATATCACAGTCGCCGTGTTATCAACCTCGTTGAGAGAATCAGTATGGTCTTAGAGCGTTTGCTCCAGGCCTACACCCCAAGGCAGAAGCGATATTGCAACTGCTAGCTTCTCACTCGTGCTTCTCCTCACGCCTCCCTTCATTCCCATCTTACTAGTTTGCATCTTGCTTGTTCTCGTACTTCTTTTCTTGCTTCTCTTCCGAATTCGAATCCTCCCCATGCTCACTTGACTTCTCAGACGATTCCGCTTCACCCTGTTGTGCATCAGACTGCTCTCGAGCCTTCTCGGCCTTCTCGCCGAACGGGTGGTCGACTTTCCAGGAGCCCTTGAAAAGATGCTGCACCAGCGCGGTATTTTCGTCTGGGCTGCCGCTCTTCGAGTGCGCTTGACCTGATCCGAAAGCATTGATGGGCAGTATAAGCACTGTTAAACATTTCGGAATTAGCATTGCCACGTAAGACGGGACTTTCCAGCCTCGAAACATATCTGCAAAATCAACACTCCCAAGACAGGTCTCCAGACCCAGAATACGGTCCAGAAGAGGAATTCTGGTCTCCGAAAATACGTACCGTCACCAACAAGCTTCGATTCCGTGATACCAGTGATATTATGCCATGTGAAATTTGTCCCAGTGGTATGGGCCAGACCCTCGATAACGGCTTCAGTAAATAGTGCGGGTCCGGTTGTATTCAAGACCTCCATAAATGATGGGCGGATGCCAGAAATTGTCGTCTCCTGCTGTCGTGCTAGCGCCTTCAGACCAGCGACTACCCGGTCCACAGCCATCTCCATCAACAAGTGCCCAGGCTTTGCCAAGATTGCCCAAGTACAGAATTGTAGGTCAAGGGTCCAGTCTCCCCATCGCCCTCCATCGAGCTTATCGTATTCAACGCCAACAACTAGATTTACCTTATTGACGTAAGCTGAAGGCACCCAGTCCTCTATCGGTATCAGCGACGTAGTATCAATGTCACTATATACCCCGCCGTCTCCCAGAAGCACCAGATACCGAATGAAATCGGCGCGTAAGATGGGATCCTGGAGATCAACAAAAGTCTCTTGGATGTCAGGCCTGTGCGAGAAGCGGTCCTTGACGTAGCTTTCGGCGCTGTACTGTGTAAGGATTTCGTATCGGTGCTTCTGATTGATCTTCACCCATGACTGAATGGCCTTGCGGTCCTTCTCATCTAATCCTGAAGGACCGGTTCTCGACGTCTGCCATATTTTCCTGGGGAAAAGGGGGGAATGCTCCGAGGCATTCAGTGCTAATGAAGCGAGAGGATGCGGGCAGTCAACTGGTGCAACAGCGTTGACTTTGGCCAAATGAATGAGGCGAAAGCAGAAGAGTGTACTAATAACGCAATAGATGACCAAGAAGCGAGAAGATGTGAAATCTGGTGGTGATAGATATGGGATGGTACCCATGGCTGGTTGACATTAATGAGAGCAAGCACGAGAGGAGATTCAAGAAGATTTTTCATAGAGTCGAGAACAACGGGATAGATAGCACATGGCCTCGTTATTGTTGGAGTCCTAGCTCACGCTTAGATATAAGTGAAACTGACGGCTCGCAATTTGTCTCGGAACCTTGTTATGAAAGTCATTGCAAGTTGCAACATTATGATTGAAGTTTGATACAAAGTTCGCAAAGCCGACTGGTAAGTGATGAAGATGGAGGAAAGTGAAACAAGATATGCCATGAGATGTGGAAAGCCATCCTCAACGAACGAGACCAGCCCAATTACGAAGGAGCGTGGTAAAGTACATTTACGCCGAAGGGAAAGTATCATCGAAAACCAAAGATCGTGAAACACCAAAAGCCGCGTTGTGTGCGCAGCTTTCATCCTGCCTGCGTAGAATTCGTCGGACCGCTCATCACCTTCCCCTGACCCAGGGTCCAGGGGCCTCTTGGGGTCACCGTCTGTCCCACGTGGCCAGTCGTTTCATCTTGTGACATCCGGCGTCGTGGCGACACTCCACCTATTCCAGCATCTGCTTTAACCACATAAGCCAATCGAGTCAAAGGTGAACCAGAAGCTGCAATAAAGCCAGTTTTTGGCAGAGAGAGAAAACATGTAGCCAAAACAGACGTGGTGGGGGGATGAGAATCATCGAATTATGCCTTTCCTACACAAACTCGAGTGGTCGTGGCTTGCCCCAGAAGTCGCACGGTGCAAATCGCCATGTGCCGGCATACTTGCAGCTAAACCACTAGTGCACAATATAGGCACAGGCGGAAACTTGTGTCTGCCGCCTTCATATGTCGTGTCGGCCAGACCCAGTGCGAAAGGGAAGACTTCCTTCTACAGAACAGAGTCAGCTGTCTTGCGTTGTGGCTTCCGGTTCGTGGGCGATGCCTTCGAGGCGCCAGTTGAGCGCGTCTTCGCACGGGCTTCAGCCTCAGATACCTTCCAAACTTTCATCAATCCCTCACTGTCAAATTTCTTCAAAGTCAGCATGGTATCGATCTCATCTACCAGATGCTCCTGCAGCGTCGGGCCAAGGCCGTCGATGATACTTTTCCTTTTGTCGCTGCTGTAGTCCTCCGGCGCTGTACTAGAAGCATAATTTTTGAGTGTCTGCAAGCCGGAATGAAACGCATGATGCTGTTCCACACTATGTTGCATCAGTCCTTTATCTCCCGTGAAGTTCTCGAGATCTGGGAAGATGGATTCTTCCTCTGTCTCGTGATGTCTGTCGACGAGATTTCCCCATACTATCACGAAATGTAGGAAGTCCTTGATGTCAGATGGGTTGCGGACATTGGGAGCTTGGAGGTAGAAGCTGTTGACACCGCGGGTTATTACATTGTGAACGTGTGTCATTTCACTGGCAGCGTGAATGGCGGCAGGAGATTTCTGCAAAACACTAGCTGCGGGAATATCAGGATTTGAGGTAGCCGTTACTATATCTTGCGTTTTGGATGGAGTCCCGATGAGAGGATGTGGGCCATCAGCCCATGGTTTCCAGCGGCCATGATGCTTGGTTTCTCGGAATGTAAACGTGGTAGTGGGGGACAGGTTGTGGGGACGTACGAGTATAAGCGCTTAAAGCGAGGCCAGTGAGAAGCCTTTGCACCCACACCTGCGTGAGATCCCCGCAGAAGGCCACGATCTTCATAAATTTGAGCCTCGTTGCCCGTGTCAGAGTCATTATACCTCCTTTAAAGATCATATCAAGCTATTGAAGCTTTACACAGTTTTAACGACAACTGCAACGACAACTCTCCCTGTCCGCCATCCACTTTTTTCCCCCCTAAAAAATTTGTACAAGTTAGCCGAGTCATAAATGAGCGGCGCAGAGGCTCTTGTGGTCATCAACATCATCACAAATGTCGTAGCTCTAGTCGGCTTCAGCCGCAGAGTCGTCTCTCAAGTCAGAGAGTATGGCGAGAAGGCCGATGAAGTCCCAGAAGCTTTTCGGGATATTGAAACTACATTGCCGCTCTTCGCTAATACCCTAAGTCAAGTTCAATGGAGAGTTGAACGCAAAGATGTTGGCGAAGACTCATGCAGGGCCCTGAGCCCCGTTCTGAAAGGGTGTGAGAGAAAACTAGAGCAGTTGAAGGCGATTTTTGAGGATGTCCTCGTGCAAAAGAACGCCTCCAAACTGGAACGTGGTTGGAAGGCAATCAAAAGCGCCAGAAAGGAGAAAGAGGTCAAAGAGATTGTCCAAACGCTTGACAGATTCGCCTTGCATTTAAACCCCTACAATCTCAGAGGACTAGTCGGTCTGGAAGATATGCAATTGTTGACATCGGCTATGGCTTCAACGAGTGTCGAGCAACCGGCTGCAAAGCCTCCAAAGACTTATTTTATGGTCCCAGTCCAAGTTTCCAATGAGTTCACTGGTAGACAGGAGGTGATGGCATCTTTAGAAGAAAGTCTTTGCCTTGATGACCAATATTCTCGACTGGCCTTGATCGGCTTAGGTGGTATGGGGTAAGTGATCGAATAGAAGAGGGGAACCTGCGCCTCAGAATCTGCCTTCAAGCTCAGTCTTAGCTAATCAATCGGATCGAACAGAAAGACGAAGATCGCCTTGCAGTATGCTCAAAGATTTAAAAGCCATCTCGAGGTATCAGTGTTTTGGGTATATGCCGGAACCGTTGAACGTTTCAAAAATGCCTATCGCCAAATAGCACGAAAGCTAGGCATTCCAGGATCAGAAAGTCCAGAAGCCAATATCCTCGAGCTCGTGAAGGAAAGACTTGAGAGCGCCGACTTTGGCAAGTGGCTGATGATTCTCGATAATGCAGACGATGAAGAAATCATGTACGGACAAGGTTCTGCTCGTCTTTGTCAACATCTACCGCGATCATATCAGGGTTCAATCTTGTTGACTTCTCGTTTCGGCCATGTTGGGAGGAAGTTCGCGAAAACAAACATCATCGAACTTCCGTCAATGACTTTAGCTGACTCCACATCCCTCTTGATCTCGCTCCTTGGCAACAACTTCCCTTATACACCGAAGGAGTCGTGCATTGAGCTCGTAGAAGAGCTTTCGCGCACACCTTTGGCGATCGTACAAGCAGCGTCCTTCATGCTGGAAAATGACGTGTCTCTTAACAGCTACCTGGACATGTTCCGCCAGAGCGACACCTCACAAGTGCGACTGCTGAGTGAGGACTTTGAGGACGAAGTACGAGATCCTCAATCCAAAAACCCCATAGCAACCACCTGGGTCATCTCTTTTGAGTATATCAGGTCGCATTTTCCACAAGCCGCAGAGTTGCTGTCAATAATGAGCATGGCTGATGCCCAAGCAATTCCCGAATTCTTGATACAGCGGGACGGGGAAGACGTCATTTCTTTCAGCAAGGCTATTGGCACTCTCCGAGCCTTCTGTTTCATTACTGAGAGACAGAAATCTGAGGACGCTGATCTACAAAGCCGGCTCTTCGATCTACACCGATTGGTTCGCCTTGCAATGCGGAATTGGCTCAAAACAAATCATGAGTTCCATCAGTGCTTACTACGGACAGTGGAAATTTTCACTTGCAAGTCCTACCACCGAGAAGAGAGCTTGAAATATAGCATCTCATCTTTGATCATGCCACATATCATGGAAATACTAAAAGCGGATCAACTACAGCCTTCCAATGGCACAATGCCTCTATCAGAAATACTTTCGAATTTGAACTTGTGGAACGATGGTCATCTTTTCGGGGATGCATGGAATGAAGAGATGGGAAGTGATGACAAAGACGAGGATGACCACTCTGAAAATGGTGATTCTGCGGAAGGCATCGACGACGCCGAAAACGACAACGACGCCGACAATGGCAAAAGCGACGACGACGTGGATACGAAGGCTCTCAATCATGCATCAGAACTACTCTGCTATGCTTCTCGGAGGCTTCTTGAGATTTCAAACCCTGCACAAGCGAAGATCTACGCGACCAAAAGCTTACAAATTAGTACTCAAGTTGGCCTTGAAGGTAGTGGTGCGATGTCTGACAGCATAGGGAGCTTAGCAAATATCTTAGAATACATGGGTGGGCTAAACGACGCAGAGCAGCTTCGAAGAATACATCTGCGATTCTCGGAAGCCAAGTACGGGAAATACGATGTGAGATCGTTGAGAAGTCTACGAAGATTATATCTCCTGATCACTATCAAGTCGAAAGAACAGGGAGCCTGCAAGGCTAGGGATCTTTTGCTAAAACGGTTGCAGAAGTATTTACTTCTCAACAGTGGGAAAGAGGATCCATTCATGCTACTGAATGCTGGAAATGGCCAAATCTTCTATGGAAACCTTGCCGAGGCTGAAAGCTATTTCGCGTTGTCTCTACAACGCTTCCAGGCAATCCACAGTGATAGGGGTTACATGGCGCTGGACGGTCTGGCTGATACATATCGTCGTCAGTCCAAATTTAACGAAGCGGAAAGAACTCAAAGGCAAGCCTTAGAAGCTGCAATCAGGTTTAAAGGGCCAAAGTCCCTCTTAGCAATATTGTACAGAATTTCTTTGTCCAAAATTTTGGTTGCGGTGGGGAAGAATGAGGAAGCAAAAATCGAAGCATCAATCTCCCTCAATCTGACTCAGGAAATCCACGGTCCGACAAGTAAGAAATACCTGCTGGCATTGGATAAATACAGAAGTATACCCGACGAATCAGGGAAATAATATCGTCAAGTGACATAATCTCAATTGACCTTGGTAGCTCTTCCATTTGCCGGTCTCGGCGAGTATGCCATCTTACGATAGACAACAGAAGTTCTAGCAAAATTGCAGTCTCAGAGGCTGAAGTCAGAGGAGAAAATCGAAATCATGCTTGAGGACCTCTCAAAGCTTTTCCAAATGCAGCTGTGAGCAGAAGGCCGAAGTCAGCGCTTGCCAGAAGTACAAAGATGTACTGTGTAGGATTTGGTATTTTCATCTGAACAACCGTCTCAATATGGCAAAATGCCAAAGTGCAGATTTATGCCTCGAGTCTAATTGCACATGTTCTTGGAGCGGGGGTCTGAAACGGAATGTATGAGATCACCAGATATGGTATTGTAGCTTTCGCGTGTACCGTCAAAGTCAATGTCGGACTTTGGGCTGGGCTTGGCCAGCTCCTAGCTCTTCTCAATATGCTATGTCGCACTCTTTTTAGGTATAAGATTAATTGATCTCTTCTATGGAAATCTATAGCTAAGGTAAGTATATCGCGCCAAGTAGTTCCTTAACAGTTAAGAGCATATAAGCCCCACAAGGCAAGGGCAGGCAAGCTCAAGATATGTGCCCATAACAGATACCACGTTGTGCTGGAAACAAAGGAATCTAGAGAGAAGACGTAACCTCACTAGCAAGTGTTCCTATGCCATGGTCGTCGTGATACCTCTGAAACGGGGCGTTGAAGCTCAAGTAGCAAGAATAGGAGGATCTTATGTTGTCAGCTTCATACACTGTCTCATACTACGTTCTAGCGAAGAGGCTCATAAAACGTTCTTATAGTATGGGCTGGCCCCTGACAAAAGTTTGATTAAAGTCCCATATTCAGGACTATAGTTACTGATTACTGGAAGTATCTGACTACCTCCCCCCCCAGCCCCCTTCCTCCAAGAACGCCAAGAATTCTCCTGCCCTGGACTTCCGCGCGGCTCCAAAAATGGCACTCTGTTTTTGAGTCCTTGTTCACGATGTTTAGCTTCCGAATCTCTTCTGGCTCCCGATGGAAATCTCGACCATCTTCTTCACCCTTGCCTCAAACAATATAGCAACCCCAAACCCTCCCTTCCCCACCCAAGCCTTCACGGCCGTCAATTCGTTAGACTCAAGGTCTACATTCTAAAAATGAGAAACCCTGATGGCTACATTTCGATCAAGTAACTTAGACCGTACGATGTATAGAACAAAGTGCCGGCAAAAACCTCAGAGCATATTTGTAAGATCTGTTTATCCCTACGGAATAGTATTGAGTGCTTTAAAGGCCTTGAAGTAACGAAGCTTGGGACCTTGATTGAGGCGGCCGACGTACGGCTCTGTACTTCAAAATTGATTCAAGCCCCATCCTTTCTTTGGGTTGCATATCATTTTGTTGTGACCTATCATTACGAGAGGACCTCGAGGACCGCGATGACCTGGCCGCATACGTATATCGTAGTTGTGAATTTTTGCGGCGTGACGGAGGAAGCTCTTTGGGCTCTTCAAAGGGTCTATCTCTCGACAAGCAGGGTGGTCACACTTCCACGTAGGAGTCATCTCGGCCGCATGCTTATCTTCAACATGACGTCTTAACGAATCGATGGGATACAAAAGAGTAGATTCAGGTGCAGATGCTTCCATTAAAAATTCGATATTTGATTATACAGCAGCCCATTGGCTTTTCACATTTAACGACAACAGCATCAATGAAGCGGCTTGTCTACTCTCGAGGGCCGGTGCTGATTACAAGGCAGCTAACACGAAAGTTCTCAATGCTTTCCAGCTTCCGTTGGGATGGCCATGTTGTCCTTAGCTTCAAAATGCCCAGCCAGTGTTACAGGACAACAGAAGAGTTAGCCGGCAACAGAAGCCGGTTGTATCATTGAAGTATCGGCCTTACCAATAAGTAGCAGATGTCGAATGCGAAACGAAAAAGCCAAGGATGTACGCTTTTTGCCATATTGCATCCTTGAAGTTGAAACTTTTGGATGGATACTGCTCTTGCTGCAGAGGGACAAAGGCAGTGATGTCAATTCTGAAATTACTCTGCAAAATCACTCCGATTCTGTTCGTCTCCGGTCTCCAATCCCGATTGCATCGTCGAGTCGGACGCCTCTTCCGAGTCTTTTTCTTGGCCAAATTTCTTCATGACATATGCGAAGTACTCGAAAACGCCTCTTTCCCGATCAGGAAGTGTTTCAACACTCAGGTCCCAATCCTCTCGAGCAAGCAGTGACTTCATGAAATGTGGTTGTCGAGGACTGATGTACAGGAAAGTCCCTCCTGGCACCAATACGCGCACTACTTCTCGGAGATATCGGTCAATGTTTTCCCGGACGTCGTCCGGTGGATCCCACACGGAACCATGGAACCTATAGGGTTGATGACGGTCAGCATCAGCCAATCAATGGTCGGGGCTTGAGCCCCTAGCAGAATAGGAAGGTCGTTTGGGCTATGACCGCCGGCATGCGCAGAATGTCGTCAAACGAAAGCCGACTTGGGGCTTGAGTCTTTCAAAAACACCCAAACCTGAGCTTCGAAGCTTAAATCAGCGGCTCCTTTGGGGATTAAACCTCTCAAATACAGAGACCTGAGTCGGAAACCTCAGATCGATATATGTTTTATAACCTGACCTTGCTCAACTTGACAGCGAAATTGACGGCTAATTGGGTGTCTTAGACTTCAGATTTACGAAGCGCAGGACTCAAACCCCGAAGATCGTTCTGAAATAACACTCACATAGAATCCATTGTGGCTTTGTCTATGGCGTAATCAAAGGAGTTGTCCAACAAGCCGTCCATTTGCCGTACATCCATGACTTTCCATACGGTATTGAGGTCTTTATATTTGGCATCCATGGCTGTTATCACTACGTCCGAGAAGTCAGTGTTCGTCTGATGGGTAAATCCAAGCCTGTGCAGGTCCGAGGTCAGGGTCTATTGCTTGCCTTAGCTTCGATTTCTGATTTGCAGGCTAAGTGGGCAGGAAAAGTGGCAGCGGTATAAATCCTCAAAATGCCGACGAAGACAATTTCAACGAGGAATCAGTGGCACTGTTCAGTGCCTTCTCCGCAACAGATGATCACAGATGTCACGTTATTACGGGTTGATACTCAAATCAGACATGGAAGACGTACACTGTTGCCGCATCCCAGGTGGAGGACTTTCGCATGTGGTCGTGACAAATGGTCCTTGAACCATGCTCCCAGCTGTTCCCAATCACGGAACCAGTCGTACGCCTCCTCCACTCCGATCTCCTCATATCTATAATTCCAGTAGTCGGCAGAGGCAAGTTCGGCGTTGTCTATAGGCATTTTAGCTATACCCCAAATTGCCGTCTGTGCAAGCGGTGCGTTGTATCAAAAATTAATAATATGTAGGGTGACGTATGGTTCATTAAGCTAAAATATATTAGGGCTAAAAGTTGCATAGGTAAGGTAAGGTAGGTACCCACGCGGGTAGCAAAAAAGCCCGTACTAGTACACCCTAGCCCGCAAACGGCTAGGAGAAGCGAGGCCCTTCCAACAGTTAGCGATAAGGCACGCTTTTCCGTGACAGGGATAAATTAAAACCCTCTACCCCTGTTTTCTTAATCATTGGGAAACTAAAAAAAAATCTGCGAATTTGGCACCCCCCCATAATCAAAAATTTGAATTTTGAATTTTCCTGTATAACCTCACCACCACTTGTTTTTACAGTCTAAAAATTTTACGATATCAACTTATCATATTAAGTAATCTATCTCTAAATTTTAGAAAGATTTAGATCTTAATTTTATAAGTAAAATATGAAAAGTAAGAATATATCGCGAACTTGAAAAATTTACCTCGGCTATTTTTTTACCGCCAAGACTATCTTAAGAAATTCTAAGAAATTATTAAACCTTTATTCTATAATAAAATAAATAATAAGAATCTTTTATAATTTAATATTCTTAATCTCTTATATAATTATTAAAATCTATAAATTTTTTAGAACGTTATAAGTTATCGTTGTGAGGCTATTTAAGAAAAGTACTTTTTCTGTTTTTTGAAGGGGGGTGCCAAAATCGCGATTCTAGTTTCCCAATGATTAAGAAATTAGGGGTACTCTAACCGATAGCTCTGACTCCAACGAATTATCCGGTCTCAACTGAAATCCATTCTCTCCATATATCTCTCCGAAGCACTGAATACAAAATACTAATTTTTAAATTGACAGCTATTGGGGAGACAGGAATATTCTCAAGTTCGAGTAGACATTGATTTACACATGCCCAAGCTCAAGTCAATTACCACACCTTTGGATAATGTGGTTATGTCAAGTCTCCAAGCTGCGACCAGTCTGTTTCCCTTGATAGAGCCGCCATGCCTTTCTTTCATCGATTTGATTACCTCCCCTTCTACAGCTGAGGTGAAGGATCAACGTGGTTGCCTTTGACTTGGGAAACGGGCCAAAAGGGTGACCTAAAGTCAAGCAATGGCATCCTTCCTCGGAGCGCGACTCAGAGCTTTCTTCTGATAGCTTCCATTATGCGTCATCCTTCCGAGACAAACCTGCTGCAGCGCCGCAGATAATGCAACCATCAGCCAATAAACCGTGCTTACGCCTCATCTTACAAACATTTCCCGCCTCCTTTGGATATCATAGTCCCTGGAACAAGAAACTCTCTTGCGACGTAGGAAAACACCATGAATATTCACAGCATCTGTTCACAGATGCCGCCTATGATCCGTAGTACCGAGCTGACACTGCTGACCTTGTGTCATCGTATCACACTGGGGTGAAAATGAATCCCACATTGTGGCAAGGGTAGTGAGGATCGAAGGGACAAAGAATTGAGCTGTCGGACCTGTGCCGTAACATAGCCATACCAAGTCACCATCAGCAAAGACAAATCATGGCAAATAAGATGTCTGTTGGGCCTCGGCGCCGGAAACATTGCTCTTCTTCCTCCCCTACCTCTCGTCATGAATATACGGTCCTTCGCTGTCCCACATCGATAGCATACACCTTGCGCCAACATGGCTGCTCTACCCCCTGCAGCGCCGGCATTTCAAAAAGCTCATATAAAAGAGAACCGCGGCCCTTCGGTAATTGGGGTCAGCGCAACCCTGATTGCCCTTGTCACCGCTGCTGTTTCATTCCGCTTCCTTGGAAGACGTATTAGACACCTTCCGTTGTTGATGGATGATTTGTTGACGATACCGGCATAGTTTGGTAACAATGCGACTGCACGCGAGCCTTGATACTAACCTGTGCTCAGTTCTTCGTCACCATGCTCTGTGTGACCAATTTTCTATGTATGTGCCGATCTGGTCTTTCTCCTGAGGCCGTTAATAGGCTCTTAGGTGTGCATTATGGAGTCGGCAAACATCTAATTGCCATCAATCCGGCGACTGCATATGAGATATTGCACGTGAGCAAACACCGAGGGATGCTGAGATAGATATGCGCCATGGCACTGACTCTTATTTCAGATCGGATTCTTTGATTCTTTATGCTAGTTCTTTGCGCATCTCTTCATCAAATTCTCCATTCTCCTGTTTTATCGACGAATTTTCACGACGCAGAAGAAATGGTTTAGATGGGTTACCTACGGATTATTGGCGTATGTCGCTGCGTGGGTCTTAGCTTGCTTCATTCTGGTAATGGCGCAATGGTATGTGCTCGATCGAGCATCCCAGGGATTTGCGATGAACTAGGTCCTAACCCAAATGTAGTCAACCCGTCAGCTATTTTTGGCTCCGCTTGTCGCCAACGCCCATATCGGGAGCGTGTAGGGTGGGAACCAGCGCGTCAGATACTTCCACCAGTGTCTTCAACACCTTTGCCGATTTCGCATTGCTAATACTTCCGATGTTCGTGTTATGGAATTCGCATATGCCTTTGAATCGGAAAGGTGGCCTTATTGGAATCTTTTTGGTTGGCGCCTTGTGAGTATCTTGGACGGGCTTCCGTGAGTTGATCTGATCCGCGAAACAGAGCTTGTGCAGCGGGCTTGGTCCGCATATGGAGTACCGTAAAGTAAGCAAATCTCTGGCCTGTGCCGATACAAATGTTGACATTGTACCCAGCGCCCTGGGCAACGAAACCGATACCAGCTGGACAACAGCGGAACCACTAACCTGGACAGCCATTGAAGCGGGCGTAGGCTTGGTCTGTGCTTGTTTCCCTGTCATGGCTCCACTCTTTGGCCAGTTCTTCCGCGAACATGTGGGTGCCGCGGAATCTGGCGGCAGCACTCAGAAGTCTCACAGCAGCAACGGCAGTAAAGGCAGCTCCATTGTCCACAAATTCACAGGACGCCACAACCACAATAGCTATATTAAACAAGACGGCGACGACAAAATACCCCTACATAACATTTCGTGGCCATTAGAGGCTCACGAAGCAGCAGCTGTGGACATTGAGGGCGAGCAAAGTGTGCCTACGGCAGCAACGCGAGTCGTGGATCAGGACCGCGGGCGAAGAGAACAGCTGTACCCAGGAGTGCAGGACCCAAGGGTCATCAATGAAGTCTATAGGGGAGTGAGCCCGGGCGAGATGGGAACGGATGAGGATGGGAAACCGCTACCGTCCAACGGGATCCTTGTGAAGAATGATCTCGAGTGGACAGCTGAGACCAGGCTTTGTCCTCCATCAACATCGTAGAGTAGACTTTCGCACAGCATGGAGTAGCATGGAGTCCGGTGTTGATCGGGTGCGCGAAAAAGAGACAGTAGAATATACATACCAGATGCTCTCGAATGTAGATAGATTCAATCTGACGCACATGGTACGGACAGTCGATGCCTAACAACATCTTCATGCAGCTCATGCTTCGACCATTTTGCATCAGTCGTCGTCTGACTTGAGCAGCTTATCGGCCCGCTTCCTCGTCTCTATCTCTTCATAGATTGCTTTCGTCGGCCAAATTTAAGGGGCGATTGAAAATCGCGCGTGGAGGCAAGGAGATTTCTGAAAGCTTGTTTGGCGTGTCTGGCTACCCTAGCGCGATTTTCAGCCCTATCATTGACGCGTAAAGTGGTTCGCGCTCAGACTGACAGAAAGCATCTTTCAAACAATATATTGTGCTTAAAAAGAAACTCTGGGGTAGTTGACAGTCTCAACCGCTTCACTATTGGCGGAGAACGCAAAAAAGCTGTAACGAATACCCTGCAGCAGCTATGTCGTCGAGGCCTGAGTTGAAGGTAATGCAGTCTACAAATGCATCTGTAAATCGCAAGAGCTCATGTTCGACCAGGTCGATGACGAGATCGGCTTCATAAGCTTCTTCCGGAATCTCCCAACCACGGATGAAGAAACCATTCGAGTATTTAAACGAGGTACCAGTGGAGGCGACTTCTACACAGCACATGGCGATGATGCCGCCTTTATTGCAATGACAGTGAGTGAGCTCCTTATCATTACCAATCTGCTCGTCTAATCCAATAGAACAGATTTACAAGACTACCTCCGTTCTCCGCCAGCTAGGCAAGACAGACACCGGTTTGCCATCTGTTACCATGACCATCACGGTTTACCGTAACTTCCTACGGGAAGCCCTGTTCAAATTGGGTAAGAGGATAGAGATCTGGGAGACCACGGGCAAAATGCAATGGAAAGTGAAAAAGCAGGCATCCCCGGGAAATCTGCAGGATGTAGAAGACGAGCTTGGTGGACAAGTGGACTCGGCACCCATAATTCTCGCAGTCAAAGTCACCGCGAAGGCGTCAGAAGCGAGGAACGTTGGGGTATGCTTCGCAGATGCCAGTGTGCGGGAATTAGGAGTCAGCGAGTTTCTCGACAATGATCTATACTCGAATCTCGAATCGCTCCTGATTCAGCTCGGCGTCAAAGAGTGTCTGGTCCAAAGTGAGGGACAAAAGAAAGATAGCGAGTTGTCGAAGATAAGAGCGATTGCCGAAAACTGCGGTATAGCTATTGCGGAGCGCTCTGTTGGCGATTTTGGTGCGAAAGACATAGAGCAGGACCTAACCCGGCTTCTACGAGACGAGCGCGCGGCAGGAACTTTGCCTCAAACGGACCTGAAGCTGGCTATGAGCTCCGCGGCTGCTCTGATCAAGTACCTTGGACTCTTGTCAGATCCTTCCAATTTTGGGCAGTATCAGCTGTATCAGCACGACTTATCCCAGTACATGAAGCTGGATGCGTCGGCGCTCAAGGCTCTCAATCTCATGCCAGGTCCGCGAGATGGGTCAAAGAACATGAATCTATATGGTCTACTCAATCATTGCAAGACGCCTGTTGGGAGTCGGCTGCTCGCACAGTGGCTCAAACAGCCATTGATGAGCCTGGAAGGGATCGAACGACGTCAACAGTTAGTGGAAGCTTTCGTGATGGATACAGAATTGCGGCAAACAATGCAGGAAGAGCATTTGAAATTTATCCCTGATCTATACAGGCTGGCCAAAAGATTTCAGAGGAAAATGGCAAGTCTAGAGGACGTCGTCAGGGCATATCAGCTTTCTATCCGGCTACCTCCGCTCATTGGCACGCTGGAAGGCATTATGGACGAGCAGTACAAAGACCCCTTGGACGCTGAGTACACTACGAAATTGATTGAGTATTCCAACAGCCTACTTAAATTGCAGGAGATGGTGGAATCGACCGTCGACCTTGATGCCCTTGACAGGCATGAGTACATCATCAAGCCCGAATTTGACGACAGCCTACGAATCCTGAGCAGGAAACTCGAGAAGGTTAAATACAATATGGACGTGGAGCACCGAAGAGTCAGCAATGATCTTGACCAGGAGATTGGGAAGAAGTTGTTCCTTGAAAACCACAAGACACACGGCCATTGCTTCAGACTGACGAGGAACGAAGCAGGCAGCATACGCAACAAAAGAGAGTACCAAGAATGCTCAACGCAAAAGAACGGGGTCTACTTCACCACAAGTGAGATGACCAAACTGAGACGAGAACACGATCAACTCTCGGAAAACTACAACCGAACCCAGACCGGTCTTGTTACCGAGGTTGTAGGCGTTACAGCGTCATACTGTCCCATTTTCGAGAAGTTGGCAGGCCTTCTTTCCCACCTTGATGTTATCGTCAGCTTTGCCCATGTTTCAGTCCACGCGCCAACATCCTACGTACGTCCAAAAATGCATCCAAGAGGCGAAGGCAACACCATACTGAAAGAGGCTCGACATCCGTGCATGGAGATGCAAGACGATATTCAATTCATCACAAACGATGTCTCTCTAGTCCGAGGAAGCTCCGAGTTCCTGATCATCACGGGTCCCAACATGGGAGGCAAATCGACTTACATCCGGCAAATTGGCGTCATCGCCCTGATGGCGCAAGTAGGCTGCTTTGTGCCTTGCTTGGAGGCGGAGCTCACCCTGTTCGACAGCATCCTCGCTCGTGTTGGTGCCAGTGATTCGCAGCTTAAAGGCGTCTCGACATTCATGGCTGAGATGCTGGAAACTGCAAACATACTGAAATCTGCCACTTCAGACTCCCTCATCATCATTGACGAACTTGGACGCGGAACTAGCACATACGATGGCTTCGGCCTTGCGTGGGCGATCTCGGAGCACATAGTCAAGGAGATTGGATGTTTCGCCATGTTCGCCACACATTTCCATGAGCTGACTGCGCTGGTGGATGAGTATCCTCAGGTGCAGAATTTGCATGTTGTAGCGCACATTGGCGACACGACTGAGCAAGATCGAAGAGAAGTCACATTACTCTACAAAGTCGAAGAAGGCGTGTGCGATCAGAGTTTCGGAATTCACGTGGCTGAGCTCGTCAGATTCCCGGAGAAGGTCGTTAACATGGCCAAGCGTAAGGCAGATGAGCTGGAAGATTTTTCAACTAAGCACGAGGCCTCGCACATCAAGCACTCTAAGCAAGATGTGGAAGAGGGCAGTGCACTGTTAAAGGAGATGCTGGTGCAGTGGAAGAAGGAGATAGTAGGAAAGGGCATGAGCACTGAGGACCAAGTGGGCAAGATGAAGGAACTGGTGATGGGCAACCAAAAGTTGCTCGAAAACCCTTTCTTCCAGTCGGTCAAAGCATTGTGATCTTACAGCAATTCATTGGAAGCATTCTCGCGATGGCATTGCATACATGTGCTTATACAGCCTTATCTAACTGTGAGGTTGCGTGTACTGTAGATAGATACCACCATGTCGGATTATTTCTCGTACACGAGACTTGTTTCACAGTTTGATTTTCGCTTCGATTTGCTCGGCAGCCTTGGGAGGGTTTGCGGTCGCCCGTTGTGAAACCAAAGAAGAGACGCCTGGGCGGTACCACGAATTTCGTCTCGGCTACTCTCCCCCAGGTGATTGGTAAAACCATTCCATTGCAGCTGCAGGTGTTGTTACTGGCCCACGTTTCCGATCTAGCGTGGAATCCACCTTAACACACAGGCGTACATGTCCTGATGGCTGCCATGATCCTTCATTCTCCTCGTGACAAAACCTTTGCTCCATGCCGGACCCTTGCACTGACTCTCAGTAACCATCGTTGACCGGCCATCATGATCAGCCCGTACGATCCTTCTGGAAAGATCTACACCATACTCTCCGAAGAATGGACCACCTGTCTCTGGTTCTTTGAACCCGTATCCATACCCCAAGTATTCCGCGAGCATCTGGTCCTCGTCCTCGGCTGGACAACCGGACGACGAGGCTACGTCAGCATCGCTATGGTCAGTACCGCTCTACCAAGCACCATAGCCACGTTCTGACAGTCAGCAGATCGCTCCCAACATCCCCAACGGAGCGAACCCAGACCACTACTTTCGAATCAGGTCCCCACGCCGTAGAGCTGTTGCCAACGAGATCACAGTCACACTGCGGAAGAATAAAAGATTTTCGGCGCTCGTGGAACTATCATATGTCAGGCTCGACTGGGTGTGGGAGGTGCCATTTGCGACCCTGTTGGTTGTACCAAGAACGGGATTGCAGTTAATGCTTAGAGCCGTGTCGATGGAGAAGATCATGAGGTTTTATTCGAAGTGGGGATGGAATCAAGCCTGGGGGCAGACGTATCGGCCACTTCCGGACTGTCTTCAATGGGCAGGGTACTGTCATGACCAGAATACTTTGGGACCTCCGGAAAGTGTCAAGCAGGGCGGAGAAGCTGAGTATCCTGAAATGACGAGGCAGCCATGTCATGTCTTGAACGGTTTAGCATCTTCGGGAACCGTTGAGCACGATAGAGGTGTTAAGGATGAGGCACTTGCGGGATCAGACAGTACCCGAAGCTGGGGCTCGGCGCACAGGCCAGACGATGAAGAGGATGGATACTTGGAAGAAGAGGCTTCTCCTTGCGCTCGGCAGGAAATGATCTATGCAGGGAATGCGCACTGTGCAGCGTTGGCAAAATTGCTTCGAGAAGCTCAGTGATGATTTTCTAGCAGGGATGCCCTGATATGAGTTTCAGCAAATACCCAGAGAAATGTACCTCTGATGTTAGCCCAAATCCTCTCCTTTGCAATCAGCTCTTCCGATGATTCCTTACCCTGCCTATGTGATGCAGTTGCTTGTCATAGATCACTTAGCCAAGTAGTATTCTAGAAGACTCCCCCACTTTAGGGCTAGCGAATGGCCTTCCGCGGTACATGCAGACATGTCAGTGCTCGATTCTTGATTCGTTACCATACTAGCCTCGCTGTTACCTCACCACCTAACCTCACATCGAGGACACCATCAAGCACACAACTGAGAACATTCCCCAAGACCGAAACGTAAGAGCAGCAACATGACTTTCAATATCAGCACGATCGTAAACGGCACCGTATACTCAATGAAGATCACGCAAGAAGGCAAAATCTACACCATTGATCGCCAGAGTGCGAAAACGTACGACGTCCCCATACCAGCAGGGTACAATGGACACATGGTTTTGGTGCTTGGAAGGGTACCATCCCAGCCCGGTTTGGTCAGGATAGTAACCGTCTGGATCCTAATCCAAGGTTTCAGGCCTCCGCTCACAGTTGACACAGATCATGTCGAGCGTTGATCCAAACGTGGATTGGAGAGACTACCTTCCCATTCGTCCATCTAAGAAGAACCGGAGAACGGGGATCCAGCTTTATCTGCGCAGCTCTGCTGACCGCTGGGTAGAGATGGATTTGAGGTCATACGCCAGGTTTGACACGGAGTGCACCATTCCTCTCCAGATTCTGAAAAAGACACCAGAAGAAGGGTTGCAATTTGAGCTTTCGAGCAAGTCTCGCCGATCCGTTCAACATTACCTCAATGGACGCCCAACCCAGGCTGCTTTGGAGCAGCCTCAACCAAACAAATAAAAGTAGACGGAGATGGAGAAGGCCAGGAAGGAAGTGGGGCCTTCTGATGATGCAGCTGTTTAGTATCCTAGCCTTCAAGCCTCCAAGGTATCGCGAAGAGATAGGCTTGCCGATACTTCAATGCTAGACAATGATCCCATCGATTGTTCTGGAAATGCTCCTTCCTAAAGGGTCGTACTCTTCACCCACGCCCTGTCGATTCTGCTTCATCGTTGTTTCGGATAGAAATACATTTATCTAACTCCCCTGGGAAGCGTTTCCTCGTTCAAGCATAATCTCTCATGAAGAAACATGACTGTTCACCTTAAGTCTCTATCGTGGTAGATGGTGAAGCCAGCATGTCGCCGTCACGCCTCCATGGTGAGTGGAGCGAACCCTGCACATCAAATTTCGAGGATCAGCAAAATCACCAAAACGTCAACACATGAGATGCACCCCACACAGTCTGCCACGAGTTGGCTCAAAACACCATCAACAAACAACGCGCAGATGACATTGCACCAACTGAGAACATCAAAGACTTGATCAATCAGCCATGGCGCGTACCTGGTTCGCCGGCCCTCCTACCGCGCAGACGGTCCCGCCGTCCAAGAACCCCAAGGGTGCCGTGTCCAAAAAGGGCGACCCAGCTCAATCAAACGAGGGCGTGTTATCCAAGAATCAGGTTGCGGTCAACGACTTCGCTACTGCGCATCAGATAACACCGACCAAAGCAATTCACTCGGACTCTGAATTGGATGGATCTGTCACTTGGGCAACACCGTTCTCGTCGCCAGAGAAAGAGCTGAAGACCCAGCCAGCGAAGGAGGCGATTGAGGTGATTGAGGCGTCCGCTAATTTGGCAAAGCTCATACAACAGCACTCGAAGCCAAAGGACCCACAAGGGGCGACTCCCTCTGAGGAGCCGACGACCTCCAGGCCGGTGGAAACGATGAACACATTCACTCTCTCCTCATCAGCACCGCGCCGGGCACCGATAGCTCAGATGGTACCCCTTTCCCCAAATGTGGCAGTCACCACCACACCAGCAGCAACAGCCGACCCGGTGAAATCGACAACGTCTCTTTTCGGTCCATGTCCAAGCCCAACGAATGTGTCAAGTCCACAAGCATGCTTTCCCGTAACAGCTCCATCATCGCTACGATCATCATCAATCCTGCCATCTTCGCCAACAGCATCAGCGAAGAAAGCCATACCCACGAAGTTCACATCCAAAAACCCTCAAATCACACTAACGCCAGCACCGGCGACTGCGCCAAGCGCATTCAAAGACGCCGCTCTCGCAGCCCACGTCCAGAACAGGAAGCTCCTCTCTCCCGTGACGCAACAACCAACCGGAGTCAAAAAGCGCCAACACATCAGGACCTCTTCCCCACCCAAATCAGCCTTGACACCAGAGTCCGTCCCTGAAGGAAAACCCAGACGCGGCCGCCCTCGCACGCGGCCTGAGGTGCAGCCTCCTCACCGCAACAGACAATACCGGCCTCCTATTCAGCCGAGCACGCCAAGCCCTCAAACAGGGGTTCCCAATCGCTCCAACTCATCTCAGTTCGCCCCCTCCGCCTTCCCGCTCCAGCAACAGCAAGCCGTCACGTTCAACATCAATGGCGACTCGAAACCCAGTTTCTGCTCAGAAGAGCCTCGCCTGTGGCCTGGGCGCGGTGATTACGTTGGCACGCTCCTACACTTCGACTCAAAGCCTGAAACAATACACTCAGAGCCTATTCAAGCTTGTACCAACCACGCGGCCCACCAAGACCCGCACGAACCTCCCGGTCACGGCGTTTGTGCAACCTGCCACCATGGTGCTCGTCGTTCTATCAAAGCAACGAGGCCGGAGCTATTCGGTCCAGCCTGGTGGCCGCTATGCAAGGCCTGTGGCGACAATGAATTGCTGCATACTGATCCTAAGAAAAAAGGATGTTCTTGTGGCAAGCAATGGCTCTGCTTTGCGTGCCAAACCCAGGAGCTGGAGAGGCGTACTATGAAGAATTGCGTCGAGGCTGAGTTCAGGAGGAGAACTTTCATTGGGAAAGGAATGGATGGAGACGTCGAGACTGTGGTAATCGGTTGGGCTTGTGAGTGTGGAGGGGAGATCGGGCCAAACGCCACACTAGTTAAGTGTATTGGCTGTCAAGGGTTGGGTGTTGGAAAAATTGATTCGCTGGTGGCAATTGCCCGAGAAAGTGCTTTGATGAAGACTGCATTAGCATGGACATGAGCAGATTTCGAGGGTTTGGATACGGTGATCGAAATTGGATTCAACACGAAATGGAATGTGGTATGATATGCGCAGGATCCTGTGTCAAGGCGCCAGTTGTTCTCGCGCAGGATGTACAATGCTCAGCACAGCGAGTGTGGGAGACTCCGTGTCTACTCAGTCCCAGTATTGGCACCTGCATGTTTTACTTCACTGTACATTCATTATATGTGAAAGAATCAAACTAGATTAGCCTTCGGGTACAGAATTGTGTCCAAACGAGTGTGGAGCATAATGAATCTCGGGGCCATACACTGAACTTTGCTCAACGGCTAGACCTTGAATTCTATATGCACTAGTTGATATCGACTTGGCTTTAGGGACGACGGACCCGTTGCACAGATATGCCATTTGGCAATTTCGCAAAGGTGTTTCTTATGGCTGGAGACTGCTCTGTGAGCCGTTTCCATGCTTCGAGGACGCCCGCACGCTGCGCTGGCAGCATGCTGTATTGAAGGCTGTAGAGGCTCTTCCTGTGAATCGGCGGTAAAAATTGACCGGTGACTAGGCATAGAATAACACTAGGCGAGAAGTAGTGCTTATGAATACGGTGTCCGAGCTGGAAGTACTGATTGAACATGGCCCGCAAAGAGAGAGGGACAGACTACACGGCTAATCAGTGGCCCCCCTTGTCTCTTAGGAAGAATCCTTACTTTGAGCATTATGTACGATGTCGGAGGGGTATCATTTAGATCGTTAAAAGGTGAAGAAACAGATGGGGTATCCCGAAGCTCGAAACAAATGCCACCTAGAACAAGTTAGATTCAGTCAGGACTAAAGGCGAAACACTGACCAGGAAGACGCCTCGAGTCCTTCACTCGAAGCATTAATGCAAAGAGAGGGAAATGATTCAGGCAAGCCAGCGACGTGTCTAAGGCGGCTTTGAGAAATATTATGGCCATCCTTGCGGAGGTGAATGTCAGGTAAAATACAGCCACAGTCGGCAGCAAGAAGAATAGCAAAGTGAACAGTATAGTTCCTAGAAGCAATTGGTCCAAGTCGTAGTCGCATGAGTCAATTCGATTGCGTAGCACGTTGTGCTTTTTGCCCCTGAAGAGGTGGAAAAGAGACATAATGATGGTGAGCTGCCAGTGAAATATACGAGCTGATGCGGTATAGAAGCAGTAAATGTGTACAGTCAGTAGTGACAAAAGGTCGGAGAACATGGAGATGGGCATAGTGGCGCCGGCAAAACTTGAGAAGCCAATGAAGTAGATGACGTGAGGCAATAAAGGTTGTAGCCCAATCACACATTCTGTATGAGTCAGCATGCGAAATGTCAGACGAAAAGTGCATAGGGGCCAAGTCCCAAGTTACCTTTCCAAAGGTCAATAACCCAGAGAAACAGGTCACCAAGAAAGATGGCTAGTTCAGTATTGAGTTTTAGACCTGCAGGCCAATCCATGAGCCATAAGATCATGTCTCGCAAGCCTTCCACAGTCCAGCCCATAAGGACAGTGTTGATTTGCCAAGCGACCCACGCAGCATTGTCGATGATGTAGGAACCCAAGGCGATTCCTATAATCACATCATTTGCCACGAGCCAGAGGCTGTTGAAGAAGCGAATGTAGTCTGGGTGCCTGTCTGTAATACTTTCCCAGTCGTCCTTCCTTTTGCGTAGGGTCAGATACTGCATGGGCCAATAGCAAAACTGCTGCAGTCGGATATCCACCTGCTGCGCTGTAGCAGATATATCCTTCAACGCTGCTCTATCAGGGCGAGGTCTCCACTCAAGCACACGTAATATCACCTCCGCAACTGTCCGATGAAATATGAGCGCCATCAAAAAGGTCCTGCTCAGAAGAGGCCACACCCAGATGGTGATAATACGCCATGCAACGTCGATAATATAGTCCCGGACAGTAGTGGCTGATTCTACGACTTTCTCGCTCACACTTAAGCTTCTTTTTTGCCGTGTCCTCAGAAGGTATGAATTTCTTGCCAGAAGTTTTGCCAATTCAGAGGAGCAATTGATCTGTGCCAAAATGGTTGGTAGCATGACCTCTTTTTGTGACAGCGCATGCCTGATCACGGTGTGCAGTTGAAGCTTCTTAACCAATTGTGGTGTACCGGTACTCTCGGTCTCAGTATCCAGATCACCATTTCCCAGCTTGTGCGGCGCACCGTCACTTCCTAGATTCTTGTCTCCTAATACAAGCGAGATAGGGTCTAGGGACATATACTGCATTTGACGTGGAGAGGGACGATCGAACATGATGACTTGGACACTGACATTGCAAGTCTTTGGACAGAATACACTAGGAAACGGACTAGAGGCTTCAGTGTATGCCAGGAGGTGATCAGGGTTGAAGCTGCCAGTCGCGACTGTTGGATTTACAGATCCTAAGACATGCAACGAGCTATTCCCACACAAATCGTATATCTGCCGCATGGGGTGCGGGCTATCTCGCACAATAGTGCCTACTCGAAGAGCACTTTCGACCTTCCGCGCCTGAGCTTTGTTAGCGAGCCTCCAAATGTACAATTCTACAGCGGCTTTACCTCCACATCCTGTAATATAGCCACAACGAAGACATCGAAAGGAGAATTTCTCCACCCTATTATAGTCCCTTGGCTCTTATTTCTGGGAACATCTAACGGCCAGAAGATCCTGAGCAGTCCATTTGCCGGGACCATAGTGTCATTGTCGGTGAACTTCAGAAGGAGCCCCGACGCCTTAGCTGCTCGCGCGCGGAGATGCCGTCGATGGCAGAACGAGGGTGCTTGACATATAAATTAGCAAGATTGCTCAATATTCACAGACAAGGTTCGAGACTCACATCGTTTGTCTCGTGTGCTGCAAGGCGTTCAATGGGCAAGATAAGAAGGAAGAAGACCAATGAGAGAAGAGTGAAGCCTCCAGCCGCTCGAGTCTGTGAGATGTTAGAATGAGAGATCTGTGACCAAGAACAATATCAAGCTCCTCGAGCTTACCACGACACCGTGATCAGCTGCGAATATTGCTAGTTCGTAAAGTCTTGTTACTAGATCCCAACGTGCAGTGATGTAACCAGCGACGAAGATGCCAAGAGTGAGAATGGAGAAAGGGTGCATTAATCGGCTCCTACTATACGTACGAATCAAACGGTAGGCCTAGTGAAATAAGCAAAAGAGTCGAGTTGCGGACGCTGCTGCTAAAAGTTAAGCTGTCACCAGGGGTTCTCCGCAAACACCTCCGCTCTCTGAATGCCAAGACTTTGCTGAACATTTACAAAGCACAAGGATTTCGATCCCCGTGGTGCCTGCAATACTGTGGTTTTGACATTTGATCGTTTGAACTCCTTCTTCACGTTTAGGACCCTCGCTATGGCAAGCTACGCTCACGCTATGATAGTACATATTGGAATGAGAAGAAACGCCACGTCTACCCACGAAGATGTGATACTCCATGCTAGACCTCCACCATCGCTCTTGCTCCATGAAAATGCTCACGATCGATACTCTTAGATGGTAATTACATCATTGCCTCACGGTCCCACACCAATGTCTACATTGAATTTCCACACGCCTGTAGGATGTTAGAACGAGTCCGGTTGTTCTTCGGGGAGGCTACTCACCAGCTTTGAGGTTTTGGGCTGTGTCGTCCAGTAAGATGACTCTCCTCTTGTTGCAGTAAGATGTCTTGTCCATCATGTCGACCTTCAAAGCTGCCAGCTCAGTAGTAGGCTTTTCGAACATCTCACTGAGGCCCTCGACGGCCATCTCGAGATCTTTCTGATTGTCTTCAAAGATCTCGGTCAAGTTGTTTCGTTGAAGATAGTATGCAAACGCGTATGTCCACTTAAGCGTCTGCCGGCATTGCTGTAGTGCTTGCGATGCTGTCTCTAGAAATTGGACCTCGATCCACGACATTCCAGATGCCGTCTGCAGATTCATCATTTTCCTTTCGGTCTTCAGGTAGAGATCTTTGTCGAGCTTAGCTGACTGCTCGTGGTTGGCGTAGCGGTTGTAGTAATGTAGATATCTTTCGAGAGACTGTCTCGATTTGGCCTGGGCATCACGTCCATCGGTGCCTGATTTCTCCTCGAAACGGTTGCAGTTGTACCAGCTCGTGCCGTGCTCCGACCACAATCCCATGCACATCCAGCAGAACTCGTGTTTGCATTTCCGGCATGTCATGTGATTACAACCGCCATTCTTCTCAATCGTTGAAGAGCATTTAGGGCACTCTTTAGTGTTTGCTGATATCCAATTCGCTGTTTCCGAATCGTCTTCGCATTTCTTGACCCATTGCTTTACCAGTGAGCATGGTGCCGGTTGGTGGTCGCTCAGGGTGCAGCCAAAGCAAAAGCGATGTTTGCATGAGCATGCAACTGTAGGGACTATTCGGCTGAGATCTTTTTTCTTAATGCCACATTCAATGGCATACTCGCAATTGGGGGCTGGGCACCACTTCAGGTTCTCTTTGTCGTCAACGTAGGTACGCGTGAGAAGCACTTGGTATCTGCATGTCGATCAGTAATATCATTTATCTAATTGCTGATCCAAATACCTTGACCTAAGCTCTGCTGCAACAAGCAAGTCCAACGACTTGGCGTCTACAATCCGATGGCAGCCGCGGGTTGGACACTGTATCCTTGCCGCCTCGCCTTCGTCCTTGATCTTCTGAGCGAGATACTGTCTGTAGCAATCGGTACAGTAGCGATGTCCACATTTCAATGCGTACGTCTCCAAGCCAGGCGTGTCTTCGCAGCAGATATCACACGTAAAGCCTCTGATCACCTTGGTCGTTGGCGTCTGAGCAGCGTCTGGCCCTAGTCCGGCAGCCTCTAAAATGGTATCAGGTTTGTCCATGTATGCCTCGATGAGTCGCTCTTTGTTCCATCGAAGGTGCCGTAGAAGTATAGCAGAAGCTTCCGATGGCTGGCCAAGGATCGCTGAGACTTCGTCGATTTGCTTGTCCTGATGTAATTGTATATCTGTTGGTGAGAAAACGTTGTATTCAACCTCGTAGGACTTCCTTGTGGGCTTGAGATCTTTGTCTTGCGAGAAGCCAACATCCGGCTCTTCCTCATCGTCGAACTCTGATGTCGAGGTCACAGGGTCAGCCCGATCTATGTGAGAGCACAAGACGAATACGTACCATCTCCTAGGCTTCCATCGTCACTTTCTTGAGCAGCTCCGAAATCATCTTCGTCTTGGCTCGATAGACCGCTCATAAACTCGTCGTCCGAATCCATGGTAGTCAATGGTGGGGTGTTGAGTGCTGCCCCGGACGAGGCTGTTGCGAAATCTTCACTGAGACCCTCGCTAAGCTTGGTTGTTTTGACGGGTATATTGGCTTCCTTGGCTGTCTGAATAGCTTTCCTCTTTCGTGTTAGAGGAGACGTGGTGGAAGATGGGGAGAAGCTCGGTGCTGGATCTCGCGGATGACGAGACCGATGCACGAGCTTCGAGGGAGATGAGGTTGGGATTAGGGGTAATGATTTGGTGTAGGCGAGGAAAGAAGAAGCAGCTATTCTGTTGAAGCCCAAATTGCAGTTTGAAGGTTCAAGTATGTGTCATAAGACAATTAACGCTTCGAGTCTCAAGGGGGTAAGGAAGTGGAACAACGATTAGTCATTCGATAACCCACGCCCTAGTGGCTTACGCCACACTAACACCTATGGTGCCTATATTACGCCGGAATTGCTCCTACGGTCTTTCATCTCTTTGACTACTGAACTATCAATGTGCTCTGAGCTTCACTCCATGTGTCGGTATCGCCTATCAATGTCTTACAGGTGGAGCAGGCGTCAAGAAATTGTCGCTACCTTACCTTACTTTGTACGTACTCTAGGTCCGGCTCCTTGCATACGAAACAGATCCAATAAATCACAAGTGCGAACCATCCAATCAGCAGCCTGCTCGTCATACTAAACCTCACACCTCATTGCTCTTGAAATGTCGTCTGCTTGGGTATATATTGCCCTGTCAGAATGCCCCATCTTGCGAGACTTTACATCTCATTGGGCAATCTAGAGCTCTTGCAGTATGGCAGTTTAATGTCGCGTCAAGCCATCCACCTGTATCAGCACTATTTTCTGTTGGCTAGTCTCTTTTCGAGTCATGGTCACCATGAGAGACGGAGCCTTTAATCGATTTCAAAGCAATCGTATGTATATATGCATTCGTCTTTTCTCCCCACTCCATAAAATTCCTCCACCAGCTCCACCGACTCAAATGCATCCTCTTTAGCCAGAGGAAACTGAACAGACGCTTACATCGCTACATGATGGCAAATCTACCAATTTAAATCTTCGCCGGAGTCCCAGTCCCCAACACACAATTAACAAACAAAGCTCTCGCTCTTTGCCGCAAGCATCTTAGTGACCTCGCTTATAACCGCAGCGTAAGGGCCTGGCTCTTCGGTTTTATCATTGCAGCAAAGACAGCCGGGCTCCAAGGCCGTGATCTCGAGGCCCATGCAATAGCTGCTATCTTGCACAACCTGGGTAGGGACGAGATCGGCGATCTCGTGACCCAGGAGAAGCGCTTCAAAGTCGGGGCGTACATCTCGGACATGACTCCTATTAGGTACTGGATTTGAGCCGTGAGACATGCTTCGCGAACAAAGTGACCTTTCATACTCCCAAGTAGTGTCTTGTAACTCAAATACCCACCTTGGATAAGTAATGCTGACCCCAAAATGTGTGTATTCATGCACATTTTGGAGCTATCCATAGTCCGGTGGCAAAAACCTGCTCCTACTGCTTAAACTTGTTTCACTAATGTTGATTTCTTGCCTTGAATAAGCGATGCTGACTCCGAAATGTGCGTAGACAGCACGTGATTTTCTCCAAAGAAAAGCAGCCGACTAGGACGAGCACTGCCTACCGCTCGTATGGGATGCAACTGCGCTGCATGCCATCACGAGCATTGCTGTGAGCTGCCCCTACAGCCCATCATTTCTTATTTCATGCCGTATTTGGAGTCTTGAGACCCAGTTCAGAAGTAAATACACTCGCGCAACGGTCTCACAACTCAATGCTCCCCTCAAAGCGGCATGCTAAGCGAGAGAATTTGCGGTGGCACAAGGAACCCGAGGTTGCTCGCCACGAGCTATGGTATCAACGCTGATTTCGCCGGACCAGACCGAGCAATTGGCGGGCATCTGACGTGGGACACATGGAACGTTGTTGTCAAGGGATTGCCCAGATTGAGAATGAAGGAGGGCGTTCGAAAAATCTGTTGTAGGCTGTGCCGCACGAAGCCCGAGACTACCTACGACAACTTTGTGGGACAGTATGGGGAACGCTATGTCGAGGGATACACTTTGGCTGGCACGAAAGACATCGACTTCGTGGTAGCGAGCACGCTTGGTTGGAAGGTCTTTCGACGTTGTGTCGGCGCCCCTGTGCAGGTAGCGGACCCTTTGACTCGTGTGCGGTGGCCTCGTACTCTTTCAGAGATATCCTGCCAGAGGGTCACAAATGAATGACATAAAGTAAATTTTCTCTCAAAAACACAAGACCCTGGAGCGCACGCGTTTGGGCCGTTTTCAGCGAAATGGAGCATGAATCTCCTCTCGATCCCAAACGTTTATAGTACACTTCAGGAAAGATCGACGAAATACATCTCACACGCACACACACACACATATTGTCATCAGCCATCAGCAGGGCACTGTGTCGCAGACAAAATCCCAAAACCTTTCGCCCTACAAAAGCGCATACCCTACCCAATGCATGCGTGTCACAAGCCTGTGTACGCCTAGATGACAGTCATATCATCAAGATCGGTGTAGCTCTCAAACGAGCTCTTTAGAGTCATCAACCGGTCATCCACACCTGGCAAGAACTTCTCCCACCCTCCCTCCGTATCACCTAGACGTTTCGGAGTCAGCATAGTTTTTTTGAGGCAAAATGCCGACGTTATAAGACAGGCTTGGGCTTGAATCCGTTCACGAGACTCCACTCAATACCAAAGGTTCGACTACGGAGGGTGTGCCCCGAAATTTGCACTTACTCGCAACAACCTTCCCACCCACCTTGTCCCGGCACAAAGCAGCGCATTGATCCGGGGGAAACTCCCTGATACCGAAGTTTGGCAACCCTCTCTTCTGCCCGTTGAAGTAGTAATAGTCGTAGGGATCGCGAGTGTTCCCGAGTTCAAAGCAGAAAGTATCCCCAATGTTAGACCTGCTGCATTCTTTTCGTTTCTCTTTCCTCCATAAATCATGGGCATTCCAGCAGTCTGGCACCAGGAAATCAACTCGCTTGGAGCCGATCGTCCCCCAGCCTGTAGTGCGGACATCGGAATCGCATGTCCATGCCAACGTGTATTCTTGCTCATTGTGATAGTTCCGATAGTCGAATTGGTAGTAATGACCCACATTCCTGTCTTCATTTAGGCCTTGGCAGTAGCATTTCGTGATATTTAGCACGTCGCCCCAGTAATAGGGTTGTTTTATAACAGGTGGCCAGACCGGGGGCGACCAGGTGGCCTCAGCAGTGGCAAGCAGAGCGAGGAGCAGTGAGGCGATCATGGTGAGAATGATGGTATGCATTTGTGGAGATCTGTCTTTTGATGAGTGTCGATGAGATCAAGATTGTGAACGGCGCCTTAGTGTCAAAGAAAAGATTGTCATAGCAAATTTTTGTATATTGGATTAAAAGAAGGCTTGGCACATGAGCAAATTCGAGGCAGCGTTTCGATCGACAAATGCAAATTCCAAAGACAAGCATGTCATGATCTGACCTATTCTGGGTTCCCCAATATGCCGGAAAGAGACGGCGCTCGAAGCTGTAAGAGATACTGTGCGGAAGATTATGACCAGTACGTACCACTGTTGCTGGGAAGCGAGATATGTAGAATCTGTGTGGGGGAGAGAGAGAGAGCACAAGGCCTCACGCGTTCTGGTCCTCGATTCAAGGACGACCTTCTTCCTTGCAATGGTTTGAACTAGTTTTTATTGCGGTATTCACGGATTTATACTCAACACATGCCTGAAAACGAGTACAAGTTGCACGAACGCAGGAAGCATTTTCCAGCTAGAGAGGGGTTTTATCCAGCTTATCCACGACTGACAGTATGGACTTCTGTGACAAGGGGCCTCGTGGTCGGGCCACCACTTGGGACTTTTTTAGGTATGTTGCTTCGTCGTGACATGTTTCGCAAGCTCTGTGTTCATTTGCAAGCTCAGTAAATCAGGCCTCGAATAACGCCCAACCACGTCGATCATCTGTTTGGCAAAATCAATCGTCGACAGGTCAATGTCTGCGTAGAGTATACCCTCTTGGTCTGGAGCTAAGGGTTCCACTAGTGGTGCGCCGTCAGGCCCGTAAATCTATGGAGGGCTCGGAGTCAGCATCGCCCTCGGTATGAGCACTCGAGCAGTGAGACGGCTTAAGTGGAGTAAAAGGACCATTCAACTCCTGGAAATGTCTTGCAACTCGAAATGTGGTACAAAATGGACATAAGTTGCTCCAGAATGTACAAACCATCGAAAAGCCCCTTCCTGGTGCTTCACAGAAGGGGCTGTCAGTCAACTTATTCTTGTCCTTGTTTTCCGCGGTCAACATCTGTGTGCAGACCAGGACGAAAGTGGCCCCCTCAAAGGCCGTGAACTGGCATGCACGAGATTCTGCTTCAGCGGTGACATGATATGGCCACTAGCACATTTCGGAGTCAGTATTTCCATTTCGGCATATATGTTCGAGTCACGAGTAAGTGTTCAGAACTTCATGGAGTATTTGTTCCCGCAACATGTCTCGTTGGGAAACTTAGTGTCAAAGAGGAAGTCGCGATTCTAAACAGTGCCTTACAGGTACGTCCTTTGGCTGTTTCCAGAGAGGCGACCATCCAGTGACATGGATCTCCACACTCTGGGAATACTCGTAGTAACGAAGCAGAGGATGTATGCGTTCCCAGCAACTGAGGCCTCCTACTTTGCCAAACGGGGTATCCACTACCGACTTCAGGGAGTCAGCCTGACCATCTACGCGCATTTTAGGGTCAGCGTTGCTTCTTCAAGGTAGATTTTCAGTCCGATATAGGAATAATCATCGCGTAAATGTACATACCGCCCCATAGTGATCTTTCGACGTGCGTCGGCGTAATCTTGCGGCGGTGGAGGACGATTTCGCCAGCTGGGTTGATGAATGACTGTGCAAGGTTCATCGTAAGTTTTGTAGAGGTCCTACTACGCCTAGGAACCAAAAACGGGCAGCCTCGTGACATACTTGAGCAATGTAGATACTACTTCTGTCCCGCTCACTGTATCCCAATACTACATACAAGCTCGCTGCTTTGACAGCCTTCCTAATCTTCTCCATCTCCGGGGACTCCTTCATCAGGGAATTGTTGACATATTCATGAATGAATTGAGTGTTACTCAAAGGGCTGTGGTGCTAGATACTCCATGGATAGCCTGGATTGAATACTTTGGGGAAGCCCAAAACATTGGCCCCCTGGGCGCCAGCATCTTCAATCCAAAGAGATGGTCTTGTCGACTGAGGTCTGGAGATTGTTCCAACCGGGTTCTGTCTGCACTGCAGCGACTTTGACAGGTCTTGCCATTGCTGTAGGTTGTATTCTCTTTCTGCATTCTGATGCAAATGCTGAGGTTGAGGATGGAGTAGCTATCAGCTGGGATCATCATGAAAGACATGGCAACTGTGACCCCTCGTCCGTGTTAGCAGGGACTTTGATCGACAGCCATCCTGATGAGGAGGGTCAAGGCCTGTGGACATGGACTGAAGCTCCGTAGGGAACTGATAAGAGAAGTCCCAACTTTCAATAATCGCTGTCAAGGGCATGGAGGAGCTCGAGGGGCAAGGTTGAAGAGCGTAGGGCTGATGATGAAGCCGCTAAAGAAGCGAGTCTTGGCACACACCTAAGATTGTATTTCGAGACTACCACTTCGATTGCACCAAGAACATCACTCGTCCCTCAGTCGCAATAATGCCTACGCGACTGACCCAAACCCGCAAACAGTAAGTCGAATCCCTTTACTAACCTCTACGGTCCTCAAGCATTTATCTGCCGCCACAGCTAACATAACTTTTCTGTCAGCCGCGGCCATGTCTCCGCTGGTCACGGCCGCGTTGGCAAGCACCGAAAGCATCCTGGTGGACGTGGTATGGCGGGCGGGCAACATCACCATCGAACGAATATCGACAAATACCATCCCGGTTACTTCGGAAAAGTGGGCATGCGATACTTCCACAAGCTGCAGAATCAGTTCTGGAAGCCGGTTATCAATTTGGACAAGGTGAGCGAAGAGCGTTTTACATCTATCAGAGGACTTGGGATTTGAGAGAATGCACTGGAGGTTGGCTAGAGGTTTGGGACCTCGGCTAAGCAAAGACCTGCAAGATATAACGCACAATGGGCGGCCCGGAGGGAGCGTAGGAGGGTCTCGCAAATTGAATATGAGAGATCCAGTGTCCAGAATCAATGACTCAAAGCTAATCTCATGTCTCTCTCTACAGCTCTGGTCACTAGTTCCCGTCGAAAAGCGTGATGAATACCTATCGAAGGAAAAAGGCGATACAGCACCCGTTCTTGATCTGCTGCCATTAGGGTACTCGAAGGTCTTGGGCAAGGGACGGATTCCAGATATACCCATGGTGGTGCGAGCGAGGTTCTTCAGTCGGGAAGCGGAGAGGAAGATCAAGGAGGCAGGAGGAGTAGTCGAATTGGTGGCATAGTGTGATCTAAGAGAAGAGCGTTATGGTGACTTGCTATTGATGCTCGCTACCGGGCCATAGCATAATCAATGACTCCGATTCAGAAAGCAAATCGGATTCTAGACGTCTTGCATGCATAAAATTGCTAAAGCCCATCCGCAAAATACATTGTTTTATCAAGACCCCGAGGTATTTGATGCAACGCTAATGCCTTCAAGTGCGGAGCTTTGTTCTTGTGTTCTCACTACAACGCACCCACCTCTTCTACTTCAGTATCGGGGTATGTCTCCTCTGCCAAAAAGTCGCTCGCTAATGCCGCTCTAGCAGACATTCGTTTGCTGGGATCTAATTGTAAACACTGCTCCAAGAACTTCACCGTCTCTTTGGTTTCCTGGTCCATGTGTTCTCCTACTTTCTCTGACGTCGACCACTGAACAATCTGAGACAATGGGAACCCTTTCTCACCGATGGTTGGGATGTTGCAGTCCCAGACAGCGCCATGCAAGTAAGCACATCCTCTCATCCTCTGTTTTCCAAATATCGTCGCGATTTCAATCATGGCTTCGACGTCATCCCCAGAGTGAAAGAACGGAAACCTTTGTGCCAGAATAGTTAGTAATATAACACCGGCTGACCAGATATCGATCTTCGTTGTTTGAGCAGTGCACTTGAAAAGGACTTCGGGTGCTCGAAAGCCTCTTGTTCCTGCTCTGTTTGCTCGACGAGATGGTCGTTGATCGTCCTTCGGGTATCCCGTTGGGGTTGGCATACTATATGCTCTGCTCGATTGAATTTTGGCTTTCCTGATGTTCACCTGTTCTTGACACAAACAGTGGGAGCATTCGGTTCCCTCTCGCTGTCGTTATATCAGCGACAAGCCAGTGAACATCTGTTTTGATCGTTTACCTCGGCGAGGCCAAAGTCCACCAGCACTCCCCTCTGCCGCTCGACGTCAAACAAGAAATTCCTAGAATCGTGAGCGGCGCCCAAAATGCTCCTTTTGATTGCTTACGTTGGCTTTATGTCTCGATGAATAATTCCATGTTTGTGCACTGCGGCAAGGGCCTCAAACAGAGACCGAAAGTATACCTTGATTTCATTATGGCCCATCGAATGATAGAAGGCCTACTTGCGATCAGCTACAGAACCGCACAGGGGCCACGAAGTGAGGTACCCGGAAATCTTGATGACGAAAATGTGGCAGCACGGCTACAACCTGGTCCTGATGCCTGCAAGCGGTGATCAAAGGGCAGACAGCTTTGCATCCTCTCAAGTCATGCAGCAGCTCGAGTTCATTCTGAATCCTCATTGGGCTGCTAGTAACATAGATTTTTTTTACGGCGACAAAGCGGCGCTTAGGCTGGCGGCATTGATCATGGCTGGTTTCCAAAGTTGAAGCGTTCTTCCTTCTTTTGAGAGGAGGGGATGTCCACTTCGAGGCATCCCTTTGTTCTACGTCCCAATCGTTCTGATAGTATTCGTAGTGCAAGTCTTCGGCCTTGTAGACGGTTGAGAAGGTTCCTGGAGAGATGAGTCAATGGGAAATTCGAGTAATACACCAACGACAAGAATGACCTAGCATTACCTTCCCCAATACGAGCAATCATGCGAAACCTCATCCCTATTTCTCGAAAAGTGTCTTCTAAGCTGGCCATGTCTTCTCTGACTGTCTCGTCGACTGCATATTCGCTCTCTGCAGATTCCTCAGAACACTCAGAGCCCTCTTGCTCATCCTCGCCCTCCTCATATTCGTCTGTGTCATATTGCGATCCAGGACTGGATGCCAGTTTGTGGCTTAATTTGTTTGCTGGCGTAAGGTGTTTGCTTGTAATGAAAGGGTTCTTTTCCGCAATTGGCACCGCGGGCCTCGCCAATGCCATCGTCTGAGTACCCAGAAACCAATTCACTGACTCAGTCACCTCAGATGTCCATTAAAGCGTCTTCCCAAGCATGCATACGGTGGTAATGTTTCACATCAATCGTATCATACGAAATTCCAATACAAAACAGGCTAAGTGGGGCAGGCGCGGTACGCGTCTAAAAGTAAATAAACATGGTCCGTGCACTAACGAACTACAACTTCAATTCATGATGAAAGAATACACCGAACAGACCTTCGTTTTAAAGAGATCTTACGTATTGTTTTACTATGGGGGACGAAGTGGATTTTGACATCAATGATGCGCTCAAGTACTATCTCAGTGACCCCGCTTCAGTAGCAACCCCCGAGGCCGATGGAGCGCTATTGGACTGTGAGAACGATCCAGAGTCGCTCACCAACTCTTTAGTAAATGGAGTGCTTAATCCGATCGTGGACTCAATCGCAGAGAATCCGGACGCCCTGACCAGAATCTCCACATTCGATTCCTTACAATTTTTACTCAAGTGTGCCCCCAATTTTCTTGCCTCTCAACGCAACTTCCATAGTGAACCAGACTCTGAACTTTTCAAACTTTCCAGATCAGCTTCCCTGCTGCCCACTCACTCCCTGAGCAAAATCTTCGATCTCATAATTTCGGGCCTTTCATCAGAGGCCGACGCCGTACACATTGAGCTCGAGACCGAGGAGCAAGATGCCTTTCGACATCAGAAACGGTTGTTAGAAATGTATGCATTTCTGTTGCAGTGGTCAGTATCCGTTGTGGAAGTGAAGGCCGCAGAAAAATCAAGCGGTCCGCCTGCAAAGGGTCGAGGAGCTGGGAAGGGTGCAAAGTCAAAAGGGACAACAAAAGATGGCACTTGGGATTCCTCAGCACAGTTACAGGTTGCTTTGGATACGATGTGCAAGGTCTTGAAGCTGAAGCTCGGGAAAGTATTTGTGACGACCTCTGAACGAGACACTTTCGTTGGCCTTTTCACAAGACCCGTCTACTTAATCCTTGAGAGCGAGCAACGGATTAAGAACAGTGCTTTGCGAATGCATGCCTTCAAAGTGCTCTGCATTGCAGTTAAGCATCATGGACATGCTTTTGGTACTACCCAGCCGAGAGTGAAAATGGGCATTGTTACTGATGAATGGCAGGAGCGCAAACTTCAATTATCCAAAACCTTTCCTACTTCGAGCATCTTGCCGAACCAATGGCGGAATTTCTTCACATACTCTCAGAGCAATACGATTACCCACAATTGACAGACGAGGTCCTAAGGTAGCTTTGGTCCAGATGTATTGCTTCTATGTATGACATTGACAAGTCATTGTAGGGACCTGAGCAATAAAGAGTTCAACAACAATGACACAAGAGGCCCCAAATCTGTCTCGACGTTTATAACCAAGCTCTCGGAACTCGCTCCTCGCCTTGTCATTAAGCAAATGACATTGCTTGTCAAGCAACTGGACAGCGAGGTAAGTTGGTTTGCCTTATTTTTCCAGTGGACCTACTATATTGATACCATCAGGCTTACACGCTTCGGTGCGCTGTTATCGAGGTATGCGGAAATCTAATAGCGGACCTCAGCAAGCAAGAAGAGCGAAACGAGAACTCTAAAACACAAATCAGTGGCTTCTTTGACATTCTAGAAGAGCGATTCCTGGACACGAATCCCTATTGCCGTTGCAGAGATATTCAAGTCTACATGAAGCTGTGTGACTTGGAGCAGAAATTTCCCAAACGCCGTCAAGCAGCGGCAGAGCTTGCCGCTCGAAGTCTTGAAGATAAGAGTAGCAACGTTCGAAGAAATGCCATCAAATTGCTTGGCAAGCTTGTGTCGACTCACCCATTTAGCGTCATGCATGGTGGACAGCTATCATACAAAGAATGGGATGACCGACTGCAAGCCGTGGAGCATCAGCTCGACGCATTAAAACCTCCGGCTGATTCGCCTGGTCTCGGCGAGAAAAATCTCCAGGCAGAAGCAACCGTTGACAGTGCTCTGTTGGACGATGCGACAACAATGGAGAGCCCTACAAAGGAGGCCGCCCCGATGAGCGATAAACAGCAGGTGGCAGCACTAAAAAGAGCTCAAGAGGATGCAGCAACATCTGAACTTATGACAAAGCTTCAGTTGACGCGGAAATATTACATTGAAGCCATCCGCTTCATCGAAGTATTGCATGCTGGTACTCCCGTGGTCTGCCAACTTCTATCTTCAAAGAACAAAAGCGAAGTAATAGAAGCAATGGATTTCTTCGTTGTCGTGGACGCCTACAAAATTGAAGCGGCGAGGACAGGCATACGCAGAATGCTGCGCTTAATATGGACAAAAGGCAACAGTGACGAGGGAAAGGGGGTCCAGACACATCTCATCGACTGCTACCGAGGTCTCTTCTTCAGCGCTCCAGGTTCGTTCAGTGAGAACGACGCGGCGAACTATGTTGCGCGAAACATGATCAGCTTGACGTTCGGTGCTACTCCAGCAGAGCTGACGTCTCTGGAACAGCTTCTGAACACGATGGTCAAGGCCGACCACGTTTCGGATTTGGTAGTGGCCAAGCTGTGGCAGGTGTACGGAATCCAAAAGCAAGAAATCTCTAAAAATCAAAGGCGTGGAGCGATCATAGTACTAGGAATGCTAGCTACTGCAGACCCCGATATTGTCGTCAAAGAGATGGGAGCCATGCTTCGTATTGGTCTGGGACCTTTGGGACGAGCCGACCTGGCGCTTGCAAAGTATACCTGTCTCGCTCTTCGACGTATGAATCCGACAAAACGTCAAGGCAAGGAAGATTCAACCGCAGCATCAAAGCTTCCCAATGATCATGCCATTCTTACTAAATTAGCCGCTATGACCGAAATCGTCTCTGATAGCAAAGAATGGTGCGTACAATATAATTCCCCAACCCTTGTTATTTGAGCGCTCATAGTGGGGTTAGGTTCGGTGTTGCCGAGCAAGCCATCGGCGCCATATACATGCTGTCAAAGCATCCCGATACACTCTGCTCGGATATACTTCGTAGAAAGACAAGACACATATTCGAGCCTCGAAATGTAGTACAGCCAGCTTCAGAGCCGATGGAGGGAATTGAGGGTCAAAGCGGGCTGCCCTCTCCGCCGCCCGAAGAGCCTGAAAGGAAGCAGAAAGCATCTCTAGCTTTATCTCAACTGCTCTTTATCGTTGGTCATATCGCGATCAAGCAAATCGTCCACCTGGAGCTTTGCGAGTTGGACTTCAAGCGGAGAAAGGCGGAGAAAGAAAAGTCGAAAACAGCCAATGCTTCTCCGGTCAAGTCGGCAGGAGTCGATCAAGATGAGCTGGACCTGATTGGCGGTACTACCGAAGATGATTTCACAGAAGCCATGACGCACATCCGTGAGCGAGAGCTTTTGTACGGAGAAAACTCGCTTTTATCGAACTTTGGGGCCATGGTAACAGAGATCTGTTCGAACAACACGGCCTACCAGGATGAGGATCTCCAAGCTGCCGCAACTCTCTGTATGGCTAAGCTGATGTGTGTCTCGTCCGAATATTGCGAAAAGAACTTACCTTTACTCATCACCATACTCGAAAAATCGCAGAATCCCGTCACTAGAAGTAACGTTGTCATCGCGTTGGGAGACATGGCAGTCTGTTTCAATCATCTCATTGACGAGAACACGGACTTCCTCTACAGGCGACTTAATGACAGCGATGCTTCGGTCAAGCGAACTTGTCTAATGACCTTGACCTTCCTCATCCTAGCAGGTCAAGTCAAGGTCAAGGGTCAGCTGGGCGAGATGGCGAAGTGCCTAGAAGATTCGGACAAGCGCATCGCGGATCTTTCACGGATGTTCTTCACCGAGCTCGCGACAAAAGATAACGCGGTGTACAATCACTTCATAGACATGTTCTCATTGCTGAGTGCAGAGAGGGATCTAGAGGAGGATGCTCTGAAGAGGATTATTAAATTCCTATCCTCATTTATCGAGAAGGTAAGCCTATGCAACGTCACGTTTATACCACTTCCAATTAACCCGTTCACAGGACAAGCATGCGAAACAATTAGCCGACAAACTGGCAGCGAGATTGGCCCGCTGCGAGAGTGAGCGACAATGGAACGATGTCGCGTATGCTTTGTCACTACTTCAGCACAAGAACGAGGAGATCCAGAAAACGGTCAGCGGCGGCTTTCAATTCGTTCAAGCTGCTGCTTGATAAGCGTTTTCCTCTACGTGTTTCATGCGTCCCATCGGCATGGGCGTCTGGAGTCAGAGTCAAGGAATAATCATGTATATCTAGAGATACCCTGTTCATGTCGAAGGTGGCCGGATGGGCAACTGGGGCTGTGCTTCGTCCTCGTATTCATATGCGGCCGATTTTTCCTTGATCAAGAGCATGAATCTGAAGGCGGAATTACCGTTCAGATAGTATCGATGCAGTCGCTTGCTCCTCAAAAACCCCAATCGTTCATACAGCTTCATTGCGGCAGTATTTGTGACCTCAGTCTCGAGCGCGATCTGCGTGATTCTCAGCATCAATTAGCAGCAGGTCTGAGACTGCAATACCTCATCGGCGTCCCGTTCGATCATGACGTCGAGGGTTTTTCGAACCAGTTGCGTGGCAATCCCCTTCCCTCGATAACCCTCTCTAACGGCGAGCATGGCAATATAGCCTCTCATGGGTCCACCTCTATGAGGTTCCAGCTTGGAGATAACAACGCCGATCAGACTTTCATCCTCATCCAAAGCCTATCCTTTGGATCAAATACTGCATACGACCTTTGAAAATCCCGCTTACCATAAAACACAGATCGCCCCATTGGTAGAGGAAGTACCGGTAAACGTAGATGCTGTAAGGCTCGGAGAGATCGTCTGATATGAGTTGCCGTATGGCGGAAAGATATGTCCTTTCTTTGCTACTATGATACTGGACATAACGAAGCTCTGCAGGCGCATCCAGGGTAGCTTTGCTCATTTTTTGATATCAATGCGTGTGTCTGAAGCCTCTCTACTTTCCAGTCATGTCAAAGCCGTTGACATGGTCAGCCCTACGAGGCGCAGACAGCAACACCGTGCCGGGAGTTTCCGTCGCGAAGCTATTAATATTATGTACGAGCTATCTCTCCAATTGTCGACTTCTCCTCGGTCCGTTCACCGAGCAGTTTCCTTGAGCTTCAACGTGGCTTATCTAAGAGAGGATGTCGACCTTGAGGAGTCGCTTCTTGGGTGACACCTCTTCCTCCACAGAGCCTTCGTGCGAGCCCTCACCAGCGAAGGGCGAGCCCGTGACCTTGGTATCACATTCACGTCTCAAAGAGCTCAAAGGGAAGAGAAGCAAGCGATGGCAATTTTCTATCTTTGGTTTGGGGGGCCTCTTTGGTCTAGTCGTTGCTGCACTTTTTGCCAATCAGCATGATGTTATCAACCTCGAGGGTCTGGTAGATTTTAATATGGAATCTTTGCTCGATGTCATACCGGCGGGCATTTTAAAGGATGCGAAAGACATAACAGTACGTCGTGCCTCGCTTGCAAGGTCTTTGGAGAAGGGCACAAGCTGAAGCTAATCTACAGCTCATGCTCACAGCGACATGAGCGCGAGACCGTCAATTACGACTCCTTCTCCGTCGGCCTACATCTACAATCGCAAGGCGTCCGGGCTTTGCATCCAGTCATTATGATACCGGGCGTCATATCGACTGGACTAGAAAGTTGGGGCACAGAGAAAGAATCGATACAGTATTTCCGGAAAAGGTTATGGGGCAGCTGGAGCATGATGAGGGCTCTGGTGTTGGATAAAGCGAGCTGGAAGAGGCACATCATGCTGGACAAGCTCACTGGACTCGATCCCCCGGGAGTGAAGCTTAGGGCTGCGCAAGGGTTCGGTGCGTTATGTTTTCCGAGCCGTTTCTTCCTAATGTGTATTGCATTTTGAATCGCAAGACTTGCGGCAGGAATAGATTACTCCTGGAACCTGTTACAAGACTCAGATTTGATCACAAGAGAGACCTGCTGACCCCGAAGTCACATAGATGCTGCAGATTTGTGAGGGTCTGTTCGAATGGGGTCGAAGAGCTGGAGCACTGACAGCCATGCAGCTTCATCACTGGGTATTGGATTTGGGGTAAGATTTTGGAGAACTTGGCGACTTTGGGATATGATCCGTAAGTACACCCTGAACGATGTGCGCAGGCAATGCTCACATAGCCCAGAACGAATGCATTCACAGCTGCTTACGATTGGCGACTGTCTTGTGCCAACCTAGAGACTCGTGATCATTACTTCAGCCGCTTGAGGTCTCACATAGAAACGGCAGTGCTAACATCAGACGAAAAAGTTGTACTCGTTTCCCATAGCAGTATGTTATACTTTCCGAGGCAATTTCCCCCAACCACGCAGTCTTATGAGTCGTCACACATATCTCAAGAGTCAATCTCGCGATTCAGCATTCTTCCTGAAAGAGTAATGCTGACTCCGAAATCATCAAGTGGGTTCTCAGGTCCTTTTCTACTTCTATCATTGGGTTGAGGCTTCAGGACACGGTGGGCCAGGTTGGGTCGATAAGTACGTGGACTCTTGGATCAACGTCAGTGGTTCCATGCTTGGCGCTCTTAAAGGCCTTCCGGCGGTCCTCTCTGGTGAAATGAAGGACACGGCGCAACTCAACGCCTTCGCTGTTTATGGTCTGGAGAAGTTCCTCGGCAAGGATGAGCGCTGCGAGATCTTTAGGTCCATGCCTGGCGTTTCAAGTATGCTACCCAAAGGTGGCAATGCGGTGTGGGGCAATAAAACTTGGGCACCTGATGATCAGCCTGATCAGACAGTCAGCTTTGGGACGTTCATTAACTTTAAAGAGAGCAACTCGACACAGTCACCCAGCAATCTCACTGTGGAGGAGAGTATATCATATCTTCTGTACGTTTTTCCAGAGGCCATGCTTCCTCTTTTGAATAAAGTCTTGAGTCTTGAAACATGTCTGTGGAGTGTCTATTCCGTAGATATGTTTCGTGACTCGGTATCTATCTCCTCAAAGGCAATACTGACTCCGAAGTCTTAATGCAGCGAACACAGTGATACTTGGTACAAAGACCAAGTTCTCGATCATTACTCTCATGGAGTGGCACATACTAGCGCCGAAGTTGAAGACAATGAGAAGGACCACCGCAAGTGGATGAACCCCTTAGAAACCCGTCTTCCGCTCGCGCCGAACCTGAAGATATTCTGCTTCTATGGCGTCGGGAAATCCACAGAGCGTAGCTATTTCTATAGGGAAGACCAAGACCCTAACAGTAGTTTGAATGTCACGATGGATACATCTCTAACGATGGGGGCTGTCGATCATGGCGTTATTCCAGGAGAAGGTGACGGTACGGTGCCGCTGCTGAGTAACGGCTGTAAGACATTTTTCAGATTTATGTGTCCCTGTTCGAGACTGCTCTTTGAGTCGCGAGGCATGTTGGAGGGATTAACTACCCATTTGACACCTTGTTTACTCCTCAAACCTGTCTTATTACCCAAGTCTTTATTTACGAATGCTATTGCTGACTCGGGAAATGTGCTAGATATGTGTGCTAAAGGATGGCATCTCAAGAGATTTAATCCAGCCGGCGTGAAGATAAAGGTTTATGAGATGCCGCATGAGCCTGATCGATTTTCACCTAGAGGTGGGCCAAACACTGGTGAATCTGACCCTGTCCTTTGATTTTATCGGATGGTGCGATTACCTCCACCGTTTTTCAATATCCCATGATCCGATGATCCTATGAAACAAGGACGTTGATTCGCCATGTTCTCGCATTGCTGACATCCATAGGCGACCACGTCGATATCCTGGGTCGGTCCTCACTAAACGATTTGATATTAAGGGTTGCAGGCGGCAAAGGCGATCAGATCGAGGACAACTATGTTTCGAACGTCCGAGAGTACTCGGAGAAGGTGAAGATCTATGAGGAATAGGACGAAGCCAGTGATCAGAGCGAAGGGAAGACTTGGACGATCAGCCTAATCTTGGTTGCGCATTTAGACGGAGTTCTTAGGCATAGCTGGCAGACATGGGTTGATACCACGGGATTACCTAGAGCAGCTAAACAAGCTGGGACAAACTTGTGTATAAGAGAATGTAAGAGTATGTCCGTACGACCATGAGGAGAACAGAGCCTTGGCTCAAGTATATACTCTCTTCAATGTAGTCTCTCTGCTGCATGTCTACAAACTCGGGAGGGTTACTTTTAGCGTTGGTGCCATGACGGATCGTGCGGGGCATTCGCATATTTCTGTTCCTAAAGATGACCCCTCACGCGGGTTTCAAAAAAGCCTGCACACGCCAAGAAATCCCCAATGATACTCTTTGAAATAACTCCATCAATATTATCTTTACAAAATATGTTTTGTGGTGAGACTTATTGTTTCTGATGTAATCTTTGACATATATAGCGAAAGCCTTTTGTTATGACCACTCGTTGACAAGTTGTGGTAGATTTGTAGATTTTGGGGTGTGCAGGCTTTTTTGAAACCCGCGTGCCCCTTAAGGTATTGGTTTAGGTCTGAGCTAAGTAAAGTAGGCTAAGTAGGCGGCAGGGGTGCCTCGTGCGTCGTAGCTTGGGGGGGTAATAGGCGCCCAATAAACGCCTGATACCGGGGCCTGAGAATCTTCCTCTCGTGAGTCGTGACCACTGGTTACCTTACTTACTTTAGATCTCAAGACGCTTAGTTGATTGGTTCCACTTACTGAATATTCAATAACACAGGAAAGAAAGTGTTATTCAACTCTTCAAAATGCTTCTCTTCAACATGTTACACTCTTGACCCAGATAGCAGTACTCTTCTAACACCAGACTTACCGGCCTCAATGACTCTTACTCGTATTCACAGCACAGACCTCTTTCCGCGTTGGCCTCTCTTCTACACATGCGCTCCATGACAACCCTGAAGGCTTCGAGATTCCAAGATGAACGGCAATGCGAGCGTAAACGGCCATGCGGGAGAGGGCAAGCCTGAGATACATACGCAGATATTACGAGCTTTGGAAATCATACACGAGCCCAGATCGTCCAACGCCCACCGCCAAGATGCATCCCGGTATCTTGAAGAGATCAGATCTGATGAACAGGCCCCATATCATGGCTTTGCGCTTGCCTCAGCAAAAGACCAGCCAGCTATTGTCCGTCATTATGGCTTATCCTTGATCGAATACGGTGTACGTCACAGATGGCCAGGGTATACGCCGGGGCAGAGTCAGGCCCTGCGAGACTGGGTGGTGACCCTATCACACAGTACAGCCGATTCCGATCCACCGTACATTACCAACAAGGTTGCCGAGATATGGGTGGAGATAGCCAAGAGAAGCTGGGGTCTGGACTGGCTGGACATGGACGAACTCCTAGTTCAGCTGTGGGATGGCTCAATGGTGCAGAAGGCTTTGGTACTCATTATTCTGGAGACTCTGTCGGAGGAAGTCTTTGGGGACGACGACACCACAGCAGCTCTACGGGGCAGTGATCTCAACAGAGCCTGTGTAGAAATCTTTACTCCAGCTAATGTGCTGACGGAGGACTTTCCAATTCGAGAGACCGCTGCTAGTATGAGATATGGTGCAGATGGATGGCTATCTCGCATGGCAGATTTGCTTGAGTGGTGCATCAGAGACGCTAAGATTGATGAGAACCGACGTGCTTGCGGTGTGAAAATTCTCTCTACCTTCAAGTCTGTCATTAGCTGGATCATCCCCCGGTCTTTGGTCACAACCCATGCTTTAAATAGGATCTGTGCTTGTTTGGCAGCGTCAAACGTCCCTCTCCAGCTGGTGAGCAAGTCTGCCGAGTTGGCGCCTGGTAACTATGACATTGACTGAGAAGCCCAGGCCGCTGTCGACTCTTTATACTCTCTGTATAACCGTTCGAGGTTCTCTGAAAATGATTTTAGGGACCTAGTAGGCCCAATGTTCCAAGACGAGACTATCTACTTGCTAAAGCAGCTTTACGAGTGGTTGATCGTTGATCCGACTGACATCGATGAAGCCAAATACCTCCTTCTTAAGAGGTTCTCTGAGGCATATGCCACTCACCAAGGCTCTTTTCATTTGCTAATTATGAGGCAGATGGTATTCAATATTGGCAGACTACTGGAAGAAAGCCCTTCATTCGTACCAGAAGGGAGCAACTGGGGAGGCTTTTTCGACATTTTGCTCAACGTCATGAAGAATCAAAGTCTCCATGTCTCAATTCCGGCTCTACATCTATGGGTGAAGCTGCTTAGTTCCGACAAAATTGGTAACTCTCCTGCGATCATGGCTCTTGTTAGTGATTTGCTCGAAACATGCAGCCAACGCCTTGTTCGATTCGAAGACTTACCAGTGGACTCAAGCAATCCAAGCATAGTCTTCCTTAACGAAGACGTTGACACAATGCCCGAAAGACATGCTTTTCTTGGTAATTATGCTAGGTTTTGCAATCAGATTGTTGAGCTCGTCGTTCAGAAACAACCCATAGACGCATTATATCATATTCTTGGACAAGCCGATAAGGTCCTGGATCACGTATATGACGGAGAGCCGCCCTTCCAAGGTATGGAAGCAATCAGAATTGTTCATGAATGCTATTCACATACTGTATAGCTTCAAACTACACGAAGACATCTGTCCCTTACTTGCGGATCGATGCCCAATTCACGGTTATCGAGGCTGCGCTGAAGGGCTGCTTGAAATGGCTGACCGCTTCGGGTAATCCTCAAACAGTAAGTCGATCCTTGGTGCTAGCTGTCAGAATTTGACGTATGAATAGGAGCATGAGCATGAGGTCATGACTTCAAATCTCCAAGTGTGGTGCGATAGGCTATTAGGTCTGATGTTTGAGGTACGCCAGGCATGTCCTACGAAGAATTCCAAACTCACATAGTGAAGGACCCTATGATCAAACAGCGAGTGATTCAACTTGCAGTAGGATTTGCTATAGGACCATTGAAACGTAATGCACAGTTTGCATTGAAGATCTTCGACTACATTCTAGACACAAGGTGTTCTGCGCATCCTGCCTGCCTGGCATATACGGATGCCGTCAAGGATCTCCAAGCTGTCTCCCTTCACCAATTGCAGAGGCTTGCTATGCGATTCCCTGACTATCTTGTTGTAAGTGGAACCTTCAGAACGCTTTGAAATGTGCTTACGTCTCTAGATCATATTCGACGAAGTGGAGAGGAAGGTTATGTCAGTCAGTCAGTCAGTGGCTTCAGATGAGCAGACACGCGCCCGCTACTCCTCAGTGCTCTTCATCATCATGTGAGTTGCTAGTAGCGTGTAACCGGAATTGGAAAGCTGAATCGTTAAGGCATCGTGCGACCAGTGTGGACGTGAGGCCGCGCGAAGAACGACTGGATCAGTTCCTCCAGCCAATGATCGATCAGTGGCAAGACAGAACCCTGAGCAACTCCTTGTCGTCTTTCGAGAATTTTAGCAGACTACTCGGACTCGAAAACCTCCAGCAATATCTATGTTCTCGAGCGGTGAATAAACTGCGAAACTGGTCAGAGCATCCACTCGACGACCAGGGCAAGGCCCTTCAAATACAAATGCAGAATGCACTCGATGTCAGTTTGTATCCTACACTTTACCAGCATTGATGCTTGTGGCTAACATTCTGTAGGCTCTTCCACTACGAGCCACAAAAACCGTAATGAACATCAGCGTGGAAAGACTGGAGCAAGGATCACAGCCCTACGACATGGCATGCCGTCTGTGGCATAAGAACATTCCCCTGATTCTGCCCAATCTACTCAAATTCATCAGGTGAGGAGGCATCGTATAATGAAAGAGACGTGCCAATCACTGACCTCGGTAGTCAATCGCAAGCCTTCCACGATCCGTCCAACTGGCCTGCTCTGCCCCCCGAGATGCAGGATGTTGTTCGCAGGATCCTCACAGACCGTTTTTGGCAAGTTGGCATCTCCCAAGGCAGCCGAGATGAGTTTTACGCCAGCGTTGGAGATACCAAGACAACTCTGGAGGGATTTGCCTCGTCCATCAGAGCTACTGTAAGGACGGTCCGCGAAACAGGATACAGGCTACTGAATTATATGAGCCTCCTTGGAGAGCACTTTTACAGCTTCGCAGAGCTGCCGGGTCCACTAGCTCAGGCTCTGTTCGCTGATGCATGCGCATTGTCCCCACATCAAATGGCTATCCTGGTCGATACAATTCGGCCGATCATCGACAACTGTCCGGAGAAATATCGAAATCACTTTCTTCCCCCAATTCTGTCGGCACTATTTGAGCAACTCGATCGCAAAGCAAGCTTGGAGTGGGAAAGGATCGAAGAGAGAAGCAAAGCAGCCTCAGAGGATGATGACTTGACGAGCGAGATGAAAGATGAAAGTATACTGCGGCAATTGACAATGGCTTCGGTGATGTTGGTAGTCGGGCTTCTCGAGCCAGCAAGACCGAGTAAGTCGCGGCACATCCTTTGATTACCTTGATAATAATCCACGATCAATAGACCCCCCAGCTGCTCCAGAAGTACCCGATAAGATCAATGGCGATGCAGCAGGTCCAAGTGCAAACACACCAAGATCGTTCATACTGCGGACCCCAGAAATACTGAAGCCCGTCATACTATTCTGCACCCATGCGTTGCGTATGCGTGACACCCGAGCATGCTCTCTCATCGCCAAAGTCCTGCGTTCGATAGTCCCTGAGTTTGCTGGCGATGGCCCTGTTGAACCCGATGTACGAGAATTCATCTCCACGGAAGTCCTCAAAGCATGCATTACGTCGTTGCATGACCCCTACTTTGTGGAGCTGCAGAAGGACTTCGCTCAGCTGATTGCAAGCATCCTCATCTCCTACACACCACGCACAGAAAGGCCGAAAGAGATCCTTCTCTCCTTGCCTGAGATGGCCCCTGAGAAGCTAGATCGTGCCACACGCCATCTCTTCAGGGCACAGCAGAATACTCGACAGCAAAGAGCCATCATTCTAGACCTCCTAGAAGGCTTCAGAGGCATTGCCATCCACGAACAGGGCAAGCTTCCAAAGCCTGATGCAAAGAAATTGAGATCGGCTTTACAAGAGAAATACATGACGGTCGACGTCCAAGCGAGCGATAAAAGGGAACTGAGCCCAGATCTAGGAGGAGTTGCTGCTATGTTTGGATAATGGGACACAAGGAAGTGGCGTTTACTGCGCTGCGCAATAGCCTGGCGGCGGAAACTTCTCACATCACGCAGCGTGCATTGTGCCAATTTAAGCGATACCCACGATTTTCAGTCAGATGGTGGTTTCACAATTATGTACAAATAGTACATCGGTGGACGCCATGACTCCATCGATCCTCTCCACAGTGATTGTTCTACTTCGTAACGTTCTTGGGCGTGATGGTATACGTAGGGCGAACGAATCTGTAGGCCAAAGGTGTCAGCGAATCCCATGCTCAAAGCCCGGTCACCCCCGGCTCTCATGATTGGAGCCAAGCACACTCCTAGCTCTCCTCCTCCGCCTTCACAGCCACGGAAAGGACAACCAAAGCTCACCTGTCCGAATGATAGACCTTCGACTCCCCACCCATCAGCTCCTTCTCCCTCGCCTTGTCAGCCCACGTCCGCCGCACCAGATCCCGGTCCTCCTCCGCTTGAAGCATGGGTATCAGGTGTATGCGTGCCCACATCTTCTCCCGAGCGAGTTCACTGTACCGGGCCAACGAGTCAGCCCGCTGTAGACCCCATTGACGCCGAATGCCCCTTCCGATCCTTCCTGCTATCCCCGCACCGGGGGCGAGACGGAAAGCCCAAGCCCCAAATCCCGTCTCCGTACGCCCTCGTCGGCTGCCGACGCTGGGTGGAAAGGGTCGGAGGAGATGACGACGACGTACTTTTGCTCTCTGATCCCCTTGCCGGTTTTGTAGAGTCCGTAGGTGCAGATGAGGCCCATCGCGAAGAGGTAGTAGGAAGGGCGGAAACCGCGCGCGGGGAGGTTGCGCTGTTGGATGGGACATTCGGTCAGCTTGTTTTTCCTGGCGTCAGTTGGCAATGGGTATGAGCGGTAGGCTGACCTTGTACTGTACGGGCTCGTAGCCGCCGGATGGCGGGAGGTCCTGAGCCATGGCTTTGAGGGACCGAGGGTGGTTGAGATGCTCGAGCTACGGTGAACCTGGGAGGAAGGTTGAGGATTGGGCTAGACTGGTTTAGGTATAATCACTTCTGAAAATCAAATGCGACGACTTCAGACGAAACAAATGCCTTGTCTCTCAGTGATGGGCATGCTACTGATTTTCTAATTCCTGCATATATTCCATACCCCAAAATTTCCGCTAGAATGCAACAAATTTTTATCCTACGTTGTAGAGATGCCGTTGCCCGGCCGCAAAAGTCATAATTGCCAGGCTCTCCTCCAAGACTCGAGGAGAGTAGTATGCAAGAGACGTATTCCCAATTGAGTTGTGGATTTAGTTGAATTATGAAGATACTCTCATCCCGTCTTTGCTGATGGGGGGACGGGCTAAGAAGAGATGACCGAGCAGGGACGCATGATGGCGTGCAAAGCACTGGAGGTGTATGCAGGTTCAGTTGAGGGTCATGATCATAATGTGAGGAGAGTCGTAGATCATCTGGAAAGTGCAGGCGAGTAGGAGGACCCCTGTATCATATCTGTGAGTGACGATTGAGCCGAAGAGGCAGCTTATGAGGCATATCCGATGGTGAAAGGGCCACTGATGGAGCATTTGGGTCAGTACTATAACAGCGGCCTAGAGGATATCGGCCACCAGGCCTCTTTCGTTTGGTACGGACCTCGGTGGGCGCAAGCTGCTACTGCACCTTCGCGCCTATAGAAAGCGTATACAATTGAGGGAGGTGACCGAGTGCCCTGCATTACCCATTTCCTAGGACTGCGAACCAAAGAGGTCGTCGATAATTTCTGCGACCGCGATGGAAATTGCTCCTATCATCCTGGAGACAGCAACTATCCAACATCCTGCGCCAAGTTTCCAGGGCTGCAAGGCAGTGCTCGTGCGAGGGAAGGGCATGTCTCAATGGCTCAAAGGGCATGAAGAGCAATTGCACGAGCAAAGCTGGGATTGTTACCGCCGAGGTGCTATCCGGAAAGGCAACTGAAAAGCACACTCCATCTCGAAGCCGAAAGGTACGGAAGCCTGGCAGCTGTACGATCTGTCGAAATATCCTGGTGAGATCGAAGACCTCGCTGAGAAGTGACCGCAGAAGCTCGAGGCGCTGCTGGGACACTGGGAGATGTATATCACGGATTGCGGTGTGAGAGCGTTGTAGCCAGGACTGGGAAAGTATAAGATGGCTCCCAAGGATTAAGTGGCCTAGACGTGACCTGTTCTTAGAAGTGATTAAAGGTTGATTTTGACTGAGCCTTTAGGAAAATGCGTCGATGGAGTATCATCGGATGAGTGCTTAGCTGAGCGGGACATTGCCAGTAACAATTGCCACCATTTTTCATTTTTTATTCTTCATAATCATTTTCGAGAAATGTTCAATCTTGCACCGCAACTACTTTTTCTGACCGAGTATCAAATGCAAATTGAAGATCGAAGAGTAGCAATATGATCAATACATGATGATCAGGCTCATGCTTCCTTCCCACGGTAGTCAGCATAGCTATGCAGTTGCCCAAAATTACCAATCCACTCCAATTCAACTCAATCCAGCGCTCGTCATTTCCCTTTCCGACGGTCCCTAAGTCGGTGCCGGCGATGTTTCCTCCCGTTAGTTACCATGTAAAATCGCTTACCTCACCTCACACTCGTCTGTCCCACTTCATCATACAACTACCATTATCTTTACCCTTGAGAGTGTCTTCAATCCTTCATATTCTTTCCACATCATTTCTTCAAACGACTGCGTGCATCATCTCCCGTCTGTCGCTTCCATCATGGCTTCTCCCGAACGTGCTCCTCGTCTTCTGATGGTCTCTAACAAAACTCCTGTCGTCATCAAGCTGTCCACGGAAGGGTCGTACAGCTTTTCTCAAGGCTCAGGTGGTTTGATAAGCGGTGTAAGTGGCCTATCGCAGACAATACCATACACATGGTACGGCTGGCCCGGTCTAGAGATTCCTGAAGCAGAGACTGCTGCCCTGTCCAGTCGGTTGAGAGACGACTTCGCATCTGTACCAGTCTTTCTCGATGACGAGCTTGCGGACCGCTACTACAACGGCTTCGCGAGTAGGGTTCCTTTAGCCTTACACACACGGACATGAGCTGATCGCCTTTCACTAGATTCCATTCTATGGCCTATCTTCCACTATCACCCGGGTGAGATGAACTTCAGCGAGGATGCCTGGTCAGCATACAAGAAGGTCAACCGGATATTTGCTAAGACCGTTGCCAAAGATGTGAAGGACGGAGATATTGTCTGGATCCATGACTTCCATCTTTTCCTTGTGCCATCCATGCTGCGAGAGGAAATCGGTCCCAATGTGAACGTCAAGATTGGATTCTTCCTCCACACGACCTTCCCTTCCTCGGAAGTCTACCGTATTCTGCCTGTCCGGAATGAGATTTTGCTTGGAGTCTTGCACAGCGATCTGATTGGGTTCCACACAAATTCCTATGCACGCCACTTCTTGAGCAGTTGCTCTAGCGTCCTGTAAGCATGATTTCTGGGCAAAGAGGAAAATGATGGCTAACAAGCAACCAAGTGGTCTGCCGACGACGAGTCGAAACGTTACATTCCAGGGCAGGATCGTAAATGTTGGGACATTTCCTATCGGTATACAACCAGAGCGATTCACTCAAACTCTTGCCGAGACCAAAGTTCAGGAGCGGATAGCAGCGCTCGAACGCGAGTTTAAGGGACGCAAGCTCATGGTTGGCGTCGATCGGTTGGACTATGTCAAAGGACTTCCGCAGAAGCTTCGGGCTTTGGAAGTGCTTCTGACAAACCATCCCGAGCTTGTTGGGTCTGTTGTCTTGGTACAGATTGCTATTCCCACTCGTGGTGAAGTGGAAGAATACCAAAATCTTCGTGTGCTGGTCAACGAGCTTGTTGGTAGAATTAATGGAAAATTCGGTGAGCCAGCCTCGCTTTGGCCTTTCCCTCAGGGATAGCGCATGTCCTAACAATTTACTCTTCTAGGAACGATCGAGTATACACCAATTCACTTCATGCATCAGTCCATGGCTTTCGAGGAGTTGTTAGCTCTCTACGCCATGTCGGATGCTTGCGTCATTGCATCAACCCGCGATGGGATGAATCTAGTATCCTTTGAATACATCGCTTGCCAACAAAAGCGCCATGGTTCATTGGTACTTAGTGAGTTTGCCGGCTCAGCTCAGAGTCTCACTGGATCCCTTATTGTCAATCCGTGGAACATAGACGAGATGGCAAGGGCCATGCAAAAAGCTCTTACTATGGAAAATTGGGAACGAGCCGAACGGTTCGAGCAGATGAACGGCTATGTTCAGAACAACACAAGGTATGTTCGAGCGTCTTCGTCGACTAATGCCCATACAGCGAATACTGATCAAGCCGTTGTAGTGCTTTCTGGGGTGCGTCATTCATCAAAGAGCTGAAGAGCGTTGGGGAGGAGCCAGAACGCTTATTGAAGTTCGGCCGGGATCCTCCTCCGATCAAGATAGACTGGAGGAGCTATGACGGTGAAGCATGAACTATGAGGCCGGGAGGTTTCGCAACCCTGAGTTATTGTTATAGACAGCGGCATTGATAGACAGCAACATTATTAGACAGGGTCATTCCTCCTCTCCTTCATGAACACCAGCCGGACCAAGACGGGAAAGGCGCTCGCCCACGTGATTTAGGGCTGTTCTCTGTTGGCAGCGGCCAGTTCCATTCAACGCACCATACTCCATACACCTTACGCCATTCGCTGAATGCAATGTCAATGTCTCCTAAGCCCCACTGCCCCCATATCTTTATTGCGACTGCTTTTTCTCCCATTCCTCAGGTGTGAAGCACTTTGGTGTCCAGGCATGAATAGCTGCAATCTCACTCTTCAAGGCTGAATTGACGAGTCGATGTCGTGCGAGACTATTCTTCTTCTCAAAGAGGGGTGAGACGATCATGGCTTGAAACATCTGGCCACAGCCGCCTGAGAAGGGTCAGCACGAGCAAACCATGCGCTTCTCTGGGCATATTTCACTGACCTGACATGTCTTCTATGTCAACATGTTTCGCTTCTAGCTTCTCGGTTATGGTCCTCTGCAAAGACTCGGTGGTGATGCCGGACGTGTTGGCGACGCTCTCTGCTTGGGCGTCGGTTTCCGCCGCCGACGGAGCGCTCATCTTGGCGTAGGATTGGGGGAACGTCGCGCGAAGACCGCCAAGTTTCTGACCTGAAGAACGAAGACGTACGAGACTGTTGAGGCGCTGCATGAATGAACAAGATACGATGGGAAGACCACCTCCAATTGTCAAACGTCCAGAGATACTATGCGGAATGACGTAAAGTAACCTCGATCTCACCCCTTATCAGGTCTAGGGTGACCGCCGCTCTACCTATTCAACCTACCTTACGTGCTTACGTGGATTGAACACGGCAAAGCGGCGGCGCTAGTCGTCAATCGGGTAAGGCGTCGAGACCAAGAAGATTATCTAAACCCCACATCCATTCTTAAGTAACCCTCTGCTCAAACCCTCTTCACTGTTGCGCTTTGAACGGCGGTTCGCTCCAAACTGTTCCAATAGAGTTCTTAGCTTTAGCGCTGCGCTGATAGGCTAGAGCAAACAGTTGGGCAAGTAGGCTGAAAGCCTTGGAAGCCAAATGCTGGATCGTGTCATTGCTGCCACTGAAATCGGGAGTAACAAGCACCCGGCCTGGGAATAATTCCCTTCGTGCAGACGTTTCTGCAAGGAAAACGATGCACGTGTCACCATGTGCATCAAAAGCTGCAAAAGAAATTGCGTTATATGCATAGCGACGTTTGAACGTGCTTGAGCAGAAGACTAGGCTCGTCACCGTCACCACCGGGATGTCTGCGAATCTTTGCGGCGAACTCGGCGAGCTCCTTCTCCGTCATATTATCTATCTTGCTGTTTCCTGCTTTCATGGGAACTTTCACCAAGCTTTTCTTAGAATATTGCTCTTTTGATTTGGTTCCCTATTAGGTCAGCAGTATCTATCGCAACATACTCAACGGACTCACCACTCTGGTATTGGCAACGTCTGGCGTCTTCGTGTTCTCTAGGCTACTTGCAGCCTCTAGTCATACAGATACCTTCGCGGGCCTTGTACTGCCGTACGTCGCAAGTCTCAACATGTCTAAACTATTCCACTCCGATTTTAGCACATTTTTCGAACAGGGACCGCAACGTCTGAAAAGACAAATCTCGGCGTGCTTAAGCATTTCCAGCCTCGGGACTCGTGTACTGCAACCACTACAGATTTTCATAGGACATTCTGCACCGTGATCCTTCCATTCCGGTTTTGGCACAGACCTCGAGCGCCGCCCGCAATGCTTCCAAAGGCATACTTCATCAATGAAGATTTGCATCCGCTTTGTTTGCAGAGACCACTTTACATGCTCGACAGATGATCGCTCCTGTGTGCTTCCGTACATAGCGGCCCAGTTCTTCGCTCTTTTTGAATCTTTGCCCACAATTGGGTTACTCGCAACCGGAACCGAGGTTGCATTTTTTACGATGATCGGCATACTCTGTCTTCAGAATGGGCTTATTGCAACTTACGCACTGCGTCCATAGACAAAGATTCTGGTTTCGCAATGCATTCGTGGTGTTTGTAAGTTTGCAAAGCTCACATGTGATCTTTCCCCTGTGTTCTCGCATATGCCTGCTGTATTGGCTTGTTTCTTTTTAACGTGCTTCACGGCTGGCCACTCACAGACCCACTCCGGGTTCGAAGGTCCTGCGCCCCATTGCTCTTGCTTGTATGGTCCCAGGTCTTCCATGCCTTGGAAATGCGTGTTGTTCTCATGTTCCCCCACAGCTCTCTGTGGAAACGGTCCCTCACAATAGCGGCATCTGAATGTCATCGGGCCCGTTCGAACCATTAGAAATGAAGTCTTCAACTTCTTGAGCGTTCTCGACCGCGTAGTCCTGTAAAAGCTCTTGCTCCGATACGTTATCACTGGGAAGGTTAGCACTGTCCTCAGGTCGCGCAGCAATTCGGAAATAAGGTCAGCAAATTGCTGATATTCGCCGAAGACTTTTGTGGAGTGTCGATGGTTTTGCCGCCTTGTCGGACCGTTTCCATGCTCAATGGGACCATTCTTACCATCCTCAGCGGGGATTTGATGCAGAGCAGGATGAAAATTCCTGTGCGACACGAGGCTGCCGAACCTCGGTACTTTGTTGCCTTTAGGTGTTGCCACGGCAGATTTGGAAGACAAGCAATCTGCCAAAGCAACGACCGTGAGGATGCAATTGTACTGGGGTTCCGAGCAACGATGCAAGATCGCCGTCCCACAGCTGACGCGCGTTAATGTTGGAGCTCGGGTGTCATCCTGTGCTCATGCCTGGCAAGCGTCGTTGCTGTGCTGTGGAGGAAGAGTGTCCGAATAGGACGGTGTAAGACTTTTTCTCTTGAGCGTGTCGATGATCTCTTAGCCGAGAAGGTAACACAGAAGTCAAGAAGGCTGGATGCGGGTCCGGAAATCGTGAGATCCAGGCTTTCCGGGTTACTTGATCACTTTGCAGAGGGCGACCAGTCTTATCTGAGGGGCACCTCCGTACCAATGTTGATCTGGTTTGCAGAAGTCAGCAAGTGTCGCCGCTTACAGAATTCTAGTCTCCGGGACATGACTTGACGTGGCAAATCTCCGGGCCGGCATAGAACTGGATGTGTTGAACAGGAAGAACGCTACAACGACTGATATAAGATCTTCACCTTGCTAAAAACCAGCGCTTGGGGTTCAATGTCAAGACCGATCTGAGACGGCAGCTCTTGTACCCTTGGTCATGGTGGCGACCTTCTAGAGGATCGCCGCAGGCTTTGGAAGTTGGAAGCCTTGGCTGTGAAGAAGTTTGAACTTAGAGGAAATATGCCTTCGGCTCACAGCAAGCGTCTCGGTCAATCCTGACACGCGTATGCATTCTCGCAGAAGGCGTATCCAGCATCGTTAGCATTGATACACCACAGTCCGACTTTCATCAAGGTCTCATTCTCCGCGTACGATAAAGTCAGAGCCCCCATGATCTACTCCGTGTTACGCCGCTTCGTCGACCAATTGTTCCTTTGACGAAGTCTTGTTTAGCATGACGCCGCTGATAGTGGACCGCAAGTATTCTTGAATTAATATCGAGACGGCATCTGCGGAACCTCCTCAGAGGTTTCCTGGGCTTCGGTGCGTGAAATGGATGTCGATCATTGTCATTAATCCTATCAGCCAAGAAGGCACTTATCTAGCCCTATTTGCCTCATGACTATCCGATGGTCTGCACATGAGTGTCGTTGCTTCAGGATCTCCACACATATCCTGAAGTACCTTGTATCGAAAGTCTCAAGCTTTCGCCAGATCATTTCCCTCCTCCAATTTCGCAAGTCCGTACTTCTTCAAACGGATAGCATTGATGTTGATGAATCCGGTTGTATCCACAGGGTCGAAATTCAATACGTCCATCGAGGACTCGGACTCATCGTACAGCTTCTCAGTCTCTGAGCTTCGGCCCATTATGTCACAATTGCCCTTGTAAAGTCGGACCTTGACCTCGCCATTCTATAAAGCATGAGCTGATGAGATTAAAACGACGCGGGGAAACTTACGACGCGCTGCTGGGAGAAGAGAATACTGTTCTCTACGAACCTGTGCAGAGTCCAAGTCAGTCCTATCAGTTCCGGAGCGGTGATCGAGAATAGAGCATCCTAAAATGGAGGGAAAAGTGCGTGGCGACTTACTCTCTTTCGGGGCTGAAGTAGCTGCATCGCGAAGAGTCAGCGATGAAAATGATTACTTGATGATTGTAACTTACAGTCCATTGTATAAGATCTCAGTCCAGGTGCTAAGATAGAAGTCAGCTCTGGAAACCTGTAAAAGCCCAGAGGCCAGCGAGGACGTACTGGGTAACAAATTGGTCGCGAAGACTTCGGACCCTACCATCAAGGACGAGCCCCTCGAGGTCAAGATGCGCCCAACGTAAAATTGTCATAGCCGGCGAGTCGTAGCACCCTCTGGATTTGATTCCGATGAACCGATTCTCGACTATATCAATCCTTCCTGTAGCGACGATTAGTAAAGTCGAGAGGATTTGAGGAAGGCGCATCTGTTACCGATGCCATGCTTTTTGCCAATGGTATTCAGAGCATTGAAAAGGTCCAAACTATCCGTCCATTCCTTGCCTTCTGAGCTGACCTTGACAGGGACGCCCTTCTCGAAGCGAACGGTGACCTCCTGCGGGTTATTTGGGGCCGTCAAGGGGTCATCCGTGCGTGTCCACATGCCGTCAGGAGGAGGTCGTGATGGATCCTCTAGTTGTCCGCTCTCATAGCTGCAATGAGCTATGTTGTCGTCCCTATCTTGAGGTCAAATGATCGTCTCCTGGGACAACAACAAAAGACCATAGAGTGCAGATGTGATGGAATGAGCGTCGTCATCATACTTACATTGAGTATGGCTTAGCCTTAGTAGATGTGACAGGAATGCCCATCTTCTCGGCGTAGTCAAGTAAATCGTTACGGCCTTGGAAACGCTCGAAAAATTCCGGGTCTCTCCACTGACGTAGTTCTTGGAATCAGTATTACCACTCTGAAGTTGAATTCAAGACGAATGTCCCGAGGATGAAGCAAAAGGTAGAGGGATACTTACCGGTGCAATTATTTTTATGCCTGGAGCAAGGGTATGGAATGCTAGTTCAAACTTCGACAGTCAGTACTGTTATCGTTGAAATCGCCAAGTTCATAAAGATGTTGACAGACAACAACTAGCTTCGAATACTTACGCGCACTTGGTCGTTACCCTTTCCTGTACAGCCTGTGAAAGGTCTCAAAGTAAGCGGTGGTCTTCTAGCAATGCTCTCAAGAGCGCCGAATCCAGACACAGAGGGAAAAATGCTGGATATTTACCATGGCTCACGATGTCACAACCTTCCTCTTTGGCAACCTGAATCTGAGCTCTCGATATCACGGGTCGAGCAAGACTGGTACCCAGCAAATATCGGCCTTCGTACTGGGCATTGCACTGGATAGCTCTGAAACACTTTCAACACGTCAGGAGGTCGCATTAACTTATGATGAGCGATGGATCCGTACGAATTCTTCAATGAACTCTTTTCGAACATCTCGTATGATTAGTTTTTCCGCACCGATTCTGAAAGTCTTGGTGTCAGTATCTATATTGCAGACTAACAAGCCGAGATAAGCCCTCGGGATTGAAGGAGGTCTCGAAATTGCACTTACTTCATGGCTTTCTCCCTCACCGCCGCCCAGTCTTCCTCCTGCCCGACATTGCCCAAAAAGCATACGACAGTATACTGTGCCTCAAGGAGATACTTTAAGATGCAGGAGGTATCAAGCCCACCACTGTAAGCTAGACAAATTTTCTGTTTGGGTGCCATTTTGAACAGTGCGTGACGGTTTTCGAAACGACTGTTGCACCGGCGAGTGAATAGCCAGCTACCAGGATGTTATAGATCTGTTGCACTTAGGGGCGTTGGTGGGATAAGGATGTTTTTTTGGGAAAGGTAGGAACTTTGCAAATTTTCGTGAAATTGACTTTCGGCGTGGGTGTCGAGCCGACGATAAGCGGCTTAACGCCGGCTTGGCATTATCTCAAGTATCTGAAGGCAGAATAGTCTTAGAATATAAAGTATTAAAGTAGGTAATTAAGTCTTAAGCGTGAACATTTGATCTCAATAATATTAATTGACTCAATATGAATTAATTTAAAAACAAAATCGTATTTATATTTAAAAAAAATATATCAAACTTTAACTATCTTCTTATATAATTAAAATATATATATTATATAGATGTTACGAAGTAACTCGGAGGAATAGATTGTAGCGTGCCTTTCCCGGTCAAAGCCTTTATGTAAGCTCAGGCACCCTATGCGGCAAGAATCATGAAGGCAGTAAAAGCATGGATGGAGCAGGGTCGTTGAATGCGTTGAATGGGTGGTACGCAGAGCGGATTAACCAATATCAGTTAATCACGTTATACATGATCAATTCATCGTGACATGCTTTCAGCTCGTCCTTCGCTAAATGCTACCCGGCCATACGCAAAAAGTCAGCCATACCTTACGCAAAACCCGTTTTCACATTGAATTTACACCACCACAACAACGAGTATGTGTAACAATCGTAACTTAGCGAGGGACGAGCTAAGTGCATCGCACGATTAGCGCTTTTGAGAAGAGGTTTTCTATAGCGAGAGTTTCAGAGAATACTAGGAGCTTAAGGATAGATACCAAAATCTTCTTCGTCAGAGCTCTCGGAAGTATACAAGTATTGGAGGGTTATGATTCTCACGATCCCCATTATCAAACACTACACCGATAGTATTACCCACAGGGGCAGCCATTTTCAACGCCATCTGGACTAGACTGTGCGAGAGACGGCGCTTCTAGGTGTTCAAACCTTAGGGGTGGGTGAGTAGAAGGACGAGCAGAAGGACGAGCGTTGTGTGCTCATTACCTAGGTAGAGTGCGACGTAGAGGACCACCAGGCTGGGGTACCGTATCACCTGCTGCTTACCCGTAGAGCGGTAGCCTCGAGCGAGCCCTAACAGAGCTGGGGCACATTTCTGTCGTCTTGTAGGTATTGCAAGAGTGAGAGTCGAAGAGTGATCATCACGGAGTGTGGGTGTCGCGTCACCCCCTGCTCAGCTACCTCACTCGCTAAAGCGGCCAACGCCTGGGGTACATTTCCTTGTGCTGCCAAGACTTGGGATTCGCTACCAGCAAGATTTACCCGCGTCCATCTGTTGGGCCTCGATCATTTGCTCCATCTGGTGACCTGCTTGTTGACTTGCGTTCATGCTTCGCAGAGCCTTTGTCCAAGCAGCAAAGATGAGTACCTATACCACCGATAAGGCCTCTCCATTCACTCGCGCTGTAATCAGCTCCATGAGAAAGCTGTATGATCAGGCGCGTCCCTTCTAGCGCGAGCGATAGGCTGATGCTTTGTTTATTTGCAGATATCCTGAAGCATTGGCTGATCAGAGCTTCGATAACACTGGATGTTGGTCTTGTTAATTGCCGTTCGTTCGAAAACATGCCCTGACAAGATGCAAAGTACTCCTAGAGGCCCCCTTTGATCCCATAAGACGTCAGATGAACTCTGTCCTCCTCACCATCGATCTTACGAAAGCGGTTGCCGATGAGGCTATAGAGCGGAAGGATTGCGTCGTTGTTTCATACCGTATGCTCGTCTAGGGACATGGCTCTCAAACAACGCTCTGACTGAGTCAAGATCCTATCATATTCAAGGGCTTCAAGGCTCTTACTCTGGCAGACACCCAGCAACAGTCCCTGCTACGGCTCGCACTCGAGGGTATAAGCGTACGGCAAGCCTTATCAGTCATCACCATGCTGTCGCTGATACTAGCGCTATAGGTCTATAGCCCACATACAGCGGTTGATGCAGCTCCGGGAGGCCTAGGCGATTGGCTTGCGGACATCGTTACAGGAACCCTACCAGGGCCGGAGCCGGAGACCCATACCGCAAGGCCAGAGGGTGGAATCACAGATGCCGCAGGCAAGGATGCAGACGGTAAACCGGGGGGAGAAGAAGTGGGAGGAGAAGGGGATGGCGAGGAGTCAGCAGACAGGGAGAAAGCCCCGGAGCCAAAAGCGAAGAAACGGCCTGGCCGACCCTCAATGGGCCCACGCCAGAGCACATACTCAAAGCCAACCTATCCAAAGCCCGCTGAGCTCGACAAGACGGATCTTTCGCCCTCAACGACGGGTCATTCGCGCAACGTAATTCATGCGATCAAGGGCGTTGAGGGTTTTGGCGAAGCGGGCATGGGCCGATTGGTAAAGTTCAAAGAGCCTCAACCCCTCACTCATCTCATCGAGCGCATTGCCCATGGCGTTGGCTCGCCGAAAGGATTCCCCGTTGCCATACCTCAGACACAGCAGGTCGAGGATATCCAGATACGCTCTGTCGGCATATGCGCTGGCTCCGGTCACTCTGTCCTCAAGGATGTGGATGCAGATTTGCTCTTCACTGGGGAGTTGTCGCATCATGACGCGCTGGCTGCGACGGAGAAGGGGAAATGTGTGGTCACACTGTTCCACAGCAATACCGAAAGAGGCTTTCTGAGCAGCGTGCTGAAAGACAAGCTTACGGCTGTGCTTAAGGAAGAGTGGAAGAAGGTTAGGGAAGAGGTGAAGGGGGAGGTCGACACTAATTGGGATTTAGCGGAGGAGTGGGAGGACGCGCTGAAGGATGAAGATGTGCTGGTAGAGTGCAGTGAGAGGGACAGAGATCCATTTGGCATAGTCATATTGCAGAGTTCACCGCAGGTGGGAAAGCCTTTGTCGGACGGATCATGAGAGCTTTTGCGAGGCTTTCTATTGAGCTTTTTGGATCTAGCTGCTTTGCGAGTTCAGCTGTAAACACATGATACCCTTCTGTTTCATGCAATTCATTACTCATATCGGTCCTTATTATATCACGTCTCCCAGTGCTGTCCCGGTTCAGTGAATGCGATCTGATGATGATGTGGCGCTCAGAGGTCGCCGAGGACCTTCTCAGCAGCGGACTCTGTGTATGCAAGTTAGCATCTGACTTGAGTGATAGTTTCTGAAGCTTTGTTCAGCTTACCATTGACTCCGGTGTTGTCAGGCTCCACGTGAGCGCTCTTCACTTTACCATCCTCAACCACCAATGCGTAACGCTTGCTACGATCCTGGCCAAAGACAGCAGCACTCTCAAACGAGAGGTCAAGGTCCTTAGTGAATTGACCGGATGGATCACCAAGAAAGCGGACCTGTGTTTGAGGATCAAATAAGTTGGGAGCGGATGACAGGATGAGGGTAGGATGTCATACATCAGTCTTGGAGGTTGGGTCAAGGGTTGCACCCCAGGCTTTCATGCTAAACAGGCATCAGCGTCCAACACATCACTGCGAAAGACACATCGAACAGAACTGCCTACACGAATGGGTCATTGACCGAGACAACAAAGACCTTGCCGGCATTCTTGAGCTTGTCGCTGCCGATGTAGCCAGGGATATGCGTAGCCGAGCAAGAAGGGCCTGGTAATCGGTAAGCGTAAGTCTCACGACTAGGGAGCTATTGACTATGTTGAAGCTGGTCCACTTGGGTGGTTGAGGAGTGTACTTACTGAAGGCTGCTGGCACGCCAATGATGAGGCCTTTACCGGACGCGAGCTCCTTGGACAGGTTGACCTTATCACCAGGGGAACCTTCGACGAGGTCGACATTGGGGATGGAATCACCGGCTTTGACCATGTTGACGGGTGTTTGATGGAAGGTTCGGATGGGTTTGTATGTTGATTGAAGAAGTGTACGAGCTATGCTTCGAGTGCTGAGCATGGATATGTCTATGTTTGTCTTGAGTGGTTGATGGGAAGGAAAGACAATGACCCCTCGGACGCAAGGGTGGGTTATCGTTCTGCTTCCGCAGTTCCGCCGAATTTTTGCCGTATGCGTAAAGAATAAAATAGTCCACCGTACTCTTACCAGCTTAAAGTACCAGCTTACCGGGAGCAGTCGAGAACCCAAGCACGCAAGATCTAATCCTCAGTCCAAAGCCGGGTCGCAGCTCATCTCTATGGGCCTACAGTGATTGACGGGTTAGGTCCATTCCAAGATGAAGATTGATCTCTAGCTTTGCCTCAAAAAAGGCTCCATGTCGAGATCGGGCATACATCCAAGGTTTAAAGCTTTGACCGGGACACACGGTGTGAGGGCTAGGCCTCCCAAATATGCAGGAAATGGAAGCATTCAATCACCGACAGAGGATTACCAACCGCTTGATACCAATCTATCACGTCCATCGATCCGCCTTTCCTCTGATTGGATGGATACTTGGTACTTGAGTGAGATGCGTGGGAGGGAAATTTAAGCAAGGGCGAACATGGAGAATGTGTATTGCGGCATGAGATGGACATGTTCATGTTATGTAAATTTGTAGTCCTCTGATATCTGACCTACCTACCTTAGCTAGATTCAGCGTTGAATCAAATGGAATACTGCTACCGGCAATTCGACGCGTGAAATGACATGGGGAGAGGGATAATTCAAGCCTCGAAAGATATCCTGGCCGGTGCAATCCACAATCAACTGATGCATTGTTGATGCATTATTGATGCATATTGATGCAGCAGGACTCTTTCAGGAAGCGATTGTAGAAATCGTTGTGCTCATGAGTCGTGTAGATACACACGCACTGAATGAAAGTGATTCAATCGCCACCTGCCCCGCGCTCACGCTTGCCTACTTTAGCTCTCGAGCCTAATTGTCCACCATTATTCTCCAGATGCCGGGGACAGAGAAAGCGAGAGAGGGCAATTAATCACCATCCCCATCGCCCATTACTTTCCCTTCGCCAATCGAGTCGATCCAATGCGCTTCGACGATAACATGGACGACCGGCAGAGTATTGGCGGTGGGAGCGCAAATAGCTCCAGCGATTTTGTAAGTTACTTCTCCGCCTATCCACCATCCTGACAATAGCGACCTGCTCACTCGTGTCCAGGTGCGAAAGCTTTACAAGTACGCCTACCTTCATACAATCATCCCTCCTCCCATGAGCATCATGCTGATGACACGATAAGAATGCTGGAGGACCCGTCATACTCTCAAGTCGTCCGGTGGGGCGATGACGGCGGAAGCTTCGTAGTACTTGAGGTGCGAGCAAATGGACATCACCCACCAATCGCTCTAGCTGACTCCCTGCGCAGAATGAAAGGTTCACCAAGTCTATCCTTCCCAAACATTTCAAACATAGCAACTTCGCCAGCTTCGTGCGCCAGCTCAACAAGTATGACTTCCACAAGGTGCGACACAATAATGAAGAGAGTGGGCATTCTCCGTACGGCTCAGGTGTAAGTGGACTATACGAATACTGCGTCTGCTTCACGGCTGATGATCCTAGGCCTGGGAGTTCAAGCATCCTGAGTTCAAGGCGAACAACAAAGATTCGTTGGACAATATCCGGCGAAAAGCACCAGCACCCCGGAAACCACCCCAGGTCGTCGAAGAGGCAGCTCCAACCCAACAAATGGATCTTGTGAACACTCAATTAGTAGCCACACAACAGCAACTTCAACAGCTCCAGCAACGTTATGAGGAACTCAATATACATCACTCAATACTTACGCAAGAGCTAATGAATGTACAAAAGACGGTTGTCAATCATGAACACGTAATGCAAAATGTAATGAGCTACCTGCATTCTGTAGATGCAAGGCAAAGACGGGATAGCAAGATCGGAGGACCGTTCGCACACACCGTGGACAACAACGTACCGCCAGCTAACGTGGACCCGGCACAGCAGCAGATTTCTCCCCTGGAGGACGAGCCCGCTTCGCCATTGCAGCATGCAACAAAATTGTTGCATGATCTCAATGCCGATGTCCAATTGAACTACAAGAATCTGGAGCACATGTCGGATCTGCACAATCGGAATGGCGTGATGTCCACTCCACCTCCAGATGGGTCTCGCGTTCATGCAAGGGCGCCAACATCCGCTGGCTCAAGCTCATCAATGGATTATGCCAAACTCCATGGAGATTCAGAAGCCATAGTCTATCCTGTCGGCCAATCGAACGGTATCGATCCAATGTACAGCGAGCATATCCACAATATACCATATCCCATGCCATCGAAAGAAAACGAGGCCGTAGACTCGCGAATGTCCGCGCCAGCAGCCCGGAAGAAGAGTACGCAGGTCGATCCGGGCTGGGTTAGGGCTCCTCAAATATTGCTCGTTGAAGACGACCCAACCTGTCGAAGGATTGGAAGCAAATTCCTGTACTCTTTTCGCTGCGCGATAGACAGTGCCGTGAGTTGTTGTCGAAAGTGGATTTCTTGGGAGATGCTGATGGTTGTAGTTCGATGGGTTGGAGGCCGTCAACAAAATGAATGCAGGTTCAAAGTATGACTTGGTGCTAATGGATATAATTATGCCGAATCTTGATGGCGTTTCGGCAACACATTTGATACGGCAATTTGATCACACCCCAATCATAGCCATGACTTCAAACATACGCAGTGATGATATCTCGATGTACTTCCAACACGGTAAGTAGTCTGCTTGTCAATTCAACACAGAGTCTTGACGAAGAGACAGGTATGAACGATGTCCTCCCCAAGCCTTTTACCAAGGAAGGTCTTTTGAACATGCTCGAGAAGCATTTGGGGCATTTAAAGCACATGGCAGATGGGATGGAGCCGATGGCGCCTCATCCAGGGTCTTCGATACCCCAAAGTTCCGCTGCACACTCTTTAAAAGACGAAAGCTCTCCAGCTCAGTCACCGTCAACTATATCGAACTGGCAATCGCCAGGACAATTTACTGGCATCTCACCTACTCACGCAGCCACACCACATCAGTTCATGCACCCTATGCATGCCGGATATAGTCAGGACCAAAGTCCGGTCCAATTTCAAACTCCTCACACGCCTCTCGGTGCTCCACGGCAGATGCAGCACCGAAGACAGATCTCAGAGATCGGAGGTGAAGACATATCGAGTGATCCCAAACGTCAACGGATGTACGACCAGTCAAACCCTCTAGGAATGAACCCAATGCACCCAAGCCGGCCCCGATAGCACAGTGTGACCCTTGCCCGTGAACAGCTTTCTGATTTTTGCAAAGTTGCATCGATGTTGTCTTAAAGATTGCGATGGCCATTTAACAATGATATGTTGCATATATTAGCAGATGTGCAAAAGGGATAAAAAGGCGATTCTCGGGGATCCTCTACGGCTTTCGTTTGGCAGCGTGGCGTGATGAGTCTGGGTCTTCATTTCTGTGAGTTTCATAGAGCCATCCTAGAAGAAGAGGGTTGGCTGTCAGGTCGAGAAAGCGCTCGATGTAGGATTTGCAGGTCGACGAGAACGCATTATGACTCGAGTCTATTTGAGTTATCTGCAAAATGAGTAATTCTCTTGAGGAGAAGGTTTGGGGAATGAAGAGCGAGGGGTCGTTGATTTAAGTATTGCTCTATAAGAAATCCAGGCCTTGAGGTCTTTTTGTTCTGGACTCGTGAGGAACACTTTCCGTCATGAATCTAGATCCATGCCAAACCATTTAACCGAAGATACTCCGGCACGGTGACGCAAAAGATTGTGCATATCCCGTCCTTAAGCTAAGGTACTTTAAGATAATTCACCCTAGAGCTATAAAGTTACAGAAAGTGCTGCTGTAGTGATGCCCCCAAAGAATACCACCAAGTCGGCAAAGGCAAAACAAAAGCCGCAAGAAGACCAGAGGGAAGAGTCATTACAGGCAGTCGTTAGTGTTTGTCTTGCGTAAGTGAAACAATTAGACTGACACATCATAGGTTCTTGCCGACTCATTTGAGACGAGATTCAGACCTTTTACCCAGGAACGTCCAAGAGTGATTCCAATCCATTCATATATATCCGTATAGGTTTTTACTAACCGCATAGTGTCTCCTTCCTCTCACGAATACCCCGTTGATTGAATATACTCTCGAGTTCCTCGCCAATGCCGGCGTCCAAGATGTCTTCGTATACTGTGGGAGCCATGCGGACCAAGTTGAAGACTACATTAAGTGAGTTGTTTTCCATCATTGAATCTGGCGAACTTCTCCACAATGTCAATCGCTTCTTCTTATCGCTGACTTCATATATCTCCTACAGCGCCTCGAAATGGAAACTCAAGTCATCTCCCTTCCGCGCTCTGACATTGCTCAAGTCCACCGCAAGCTCTGTAGGCGACGCAATGCGCGACCTGGATAATCGCGACCTCATAACAGGCGACTTCCTCCTTGTCTCTGGCGATGTGGTCTCCAACATGTCCATTGAACCCGCTTTGGCAAAGCATCGAGCACGCCGAGAAAAGAATAAAGACGCTATCATGACAATGGTGCTCCGGGAAGCGGGCACTGGCCATAGGACCAAGAGCAAAGGCTCAAGACCAGTATTCGTCATCGACCCGGGTGCGGAAAGATGCCTTTACTATGAGGAGATGGGTAGTCGCAGGGGTAGAAGCAGACATATCACCCTGGATCCGGAATTGCTTACATCTAATGCCGAAATCGATGTTCGGGATGATCTCATTGATTGCCACATAGACATCTGCACGCTTGATGTTCTGGCACAGTGGAGCGACAACTTCGATTTCCAATCCCTACGCAAAAGTTTTCTACATGGAGTGCTGAAAGATTATGAGACCTACGGGAAGACCATACACACTTATATCGTGACAAACCAATACGCTGCTAGAGTCAAGAGCTTACGCGCGTACAACGCCATCAGTAAGGACATTATGGGACGATGGGTCTACCCCCTTTGTCCCGACAGTAACCTTGTGCCTGATCAGAGCTATCGCTTTAGGAAAGGCAAGGTGTATCAAGAAGATGCAGTCGTGGTTGCGACGACGTCGATTAAGAAGACGGCTATTGGCAGTCAAACCAATATAGGGGAGGACAGTATAATCACTGGAAGTACCATCGGAAGAAGATGCAGGATCGGAAAAAATGTCATCATCGAGGGAGCCTACATCTGGGACGATGTTACTGTTGGAGACGGGTCCATCATCCGCGAAGCCATTATAGCCAACGAGACCACAATAGGGAAAAACTGCACAATTGAGTCTGGAGCATTGATCTCGTTTGGAGTGAGCTTGCCGGACCACATTGGTATCTCGATGGATCGCAAAATCACTCGACATCAAGAAAGCTTCTTCGATAACAGGTTGGACCCTGAGGATTCTGATACCTCCAGCGTCGCATCCTCCCGTCTCGTATACCGCCATCCTTCAGCTTCCAGCTCCGCTTCTTCTATATCTACACTGGCATCCTTGAACGACGATTTGGAACCTATACGAGACTCGTCCCGCCGTAGTAGCTTCCGTTCCGATCCTTCAGACGACGCGGCGGAAACCCGAGATTTCCATCTGGAAGCAACCGCGAGCATTCTCGATGGCCTACAGAAAGGGGACCCCCCTGACACTATCATACTTGAACTGAATGGCTATCGCATGTCCACAAACGCAAGCCAACATGAGGTACGCAAGGCCGTCGTGGCGGCTTTTATGAAGAGAGTGTCTAGTCTTAGTGGTGAAGATAATGCATCTGGTATCAGTGCGCGCGAGGCTGTAAGGGAGGTCTTCAGCAAGTATAAAGGACTTGTCGAGCGGACGATGTTCGATAAAGACGTGGATGAAAAAGTCGATCAGGTGGATTTCTTGCTATTGCTCCAGAAAGAGGCGTTTGGCCGACCAAATGGAGATCAGTTACTGTTGTTCGTAACCAAAGAGGTGTATGACTCGGACATCATCGAAGAAGATGGGCTGCTTCAGTGGTGGGACAATGAGCGGAGTGCGGAAGGGGAGATGGGAAAAGTGAGGGATCTGACGGAGCAGTTCATCACCTATTTGAAAGAGGCCGAGGAGGATGACGAAAGTGAAGATGAAGATGAAGATGAAGATATGGAGGACTGAGAGGCTGATAGTGATTCGATGCCATGCCCTTTATGGTGCAGCGAGCAAATGTATAATAATCTCCAAAACGGCCGTCCGGCATAGGTATCCCGTGCTGTGCAATGTAGCAATATTACTCCAGCCCTAGATTACTATGCTCCATCATCACACTCCCAATGTCACGAAGCCACCGCAGTCCCTTCGACCATACCCTCCACCCTATCCTCTGCACTCTCTCCTGTCTCCGCATTCCTTTCCCGCCGCCTCTCCTTTTTTCTTAGCGTCTTCTCCTGCAGCCTCCTTAGTCTCTCCTCCTCACTCAGAACCGGCGGTCTTTCGTCAATGCTCGGGCCCCAGGGCGCCACTATCTCGGTGACCACATGCTTGATATGCCGACTTATTCGGCGCTCGGCGGCGATCTTGACGACGTCGCCGGCGCGGAGGGAGGAGTTGGGGTCGGAGACGAGGTAGCTGTTGTTGCTTCGGAAATGCTACGGAGGCCTTTGTCAGTAATCGGCAAGTGGAGGGGTTCACGGCGGGCCAGAAGTTTGAAATGATCGCGCACCTTTTTGAGGAACTTGTTGTAGGTCTGTTTGGCGGTGCGGACTTTGACGGCCTTCATCATTTTGCCGGCCGAGACGACGACGCCGCAGAGGACTTTCGGGGGCGGGCCAAACATGGCGGTGTAGGCGAGGTGTATGATGGTACTGGATTTAGGTTGATAGCTTAGCAAGGGCCAGGCATACGCCGGCACGTTCACTGTCTTGGATGCCGGTAGGTCAAGGTCAAAGAAAGGGCGGCGGCCATGGGCGACATATTTGGTATCAGATTCAGTAGGGTCCCGTTGCCAAGACATTTCAAAAGCGCGTCATAATTTTAGGCCACAACCTCCAAACTTCTAGTAAACACTCCACCTGCTACTATTTGGACTCAGCACCTGCCTCTGCTTTGCAGCGCTCAAATATCTTACTCTGCAATTTTTGAGTCTGGGTACAGCTTTGTAGAAGCTTCGCTCTTGTCGACAATATGTTCATGCTCAGGAACGGTAAGTCGCTATTGATCTGGCATTCTGCGCACTTCCCTTCCTGTTACCTGATGACTGCTGTAGTGTACTTTAGCAGGAATCTACCCAAAAGTTGGAGGGAATTTAGTACTTGTTACTTCTATCTCTGAGATTCAATTGTCAGCCTTCATAAAAGCACACGTAGCCTGTGTCGCAGCTTCTACAGTCACAAGCTTAACGTCCGCTCCTTCCGTCAACGCTAATTTTTACTCTCACGTATAGCAACCAAGTATCTCTTTGGCAACGCTTCAAAGGAGTCTATCATCGAAATACCACAAGGCAAACTTTACCTGGTCCGCCCCTTATCGCCCAAAGGAACTTCAGAACTCATCTTCAAAGACGCCGCTGCGAGCATTAGGCGTACAACCCAAGAATACCATTACGAGATTGTCATCCAGCGAGCTTACGAGGAGGGCGAGGCAGAGCTAGCAGCAGAAGACGATGACGAGGATGGTGCCGCAGACGCCTTAGATTCTGAAAAAGACGAGAAGACTTTTCTACTTGATCAGAGCTTGCACTTTAGATCTGAGATTAGGGAGGACGGAGAGAAAGTCTTTGCTTGGCAGGATCTGAGTGGGGACCCTGGAGACCTTTACGAATTCATCTGCGACGAATCCATCAAGCCTGGAGAAGTGAGCACCTTTGAGATAGTTGCCATCGAATGCCAATACGAGAGAAAGTACCGGAAACCGAAGGAGACTGCCACCGATCGACAGTTGCAACAGTTCAACTTCACCGAGCAACCCATCCCGACCGCTAGTCCTTTATCGAGTCCCACTGTCAAACCTCTCACAGCGCCTCCAATGAAGGGTAAAGCCATTGCAGACACGCCAGCCGCAGGTGTAAAGGAGAGGACAGCTGTGAAGAAGTCACAGAAGCAGAAGGCTCCGGGACGAGAGATCACTCCTACAGTAGCTCCACCATCAGCCGTGGTGCCTACTGCAAGGGAGACTCTCGTGAAAGAGAGGGCCGAGCTTCACCTATTTGATTTTGAGTCGGGCTCATTCATACTTCAGGACCCTGCCATTGTAGCCACCGTCTCAGAGACGGGCAACTGGCAATACTGGCTACAGATTAGTGGTACAGAGAAAGAGTGGCTTGGTCAGCGAGTTGTTGCAGACCTCAACCCTGTCTTCAACTTCGAGTACCTGTCTTTCATCTTCAACCACTACACCGAAGATGGATCTGCCTATTCGTGGCTCCTAAGATTCAAGGATCAGGAGACCGAAGAAAGTTTTCAAGACGGGTTGATGCGAGCACTTTGGGAACAGCTGAATGAGACAAAGTGGAAGAAGGTCAATAAAGATGACCAGCAATATGTTTTGGATGCATTTCAAGACCTTACGATGGAAGATGCACCTGCCGAGGAGGATGAAGAGGAAGAAGAGGCCGAAGATGACGGACAAAAGAGTGAGCATTACGACAGTGACGAGTCTGAAGATGATGTCGTGACACGGGACGATGATGGCAATGTTAACTCAAAGCTGGCTGTTGGCTACAAGCACGATCGGTCCTTCGTCGTGCGCGGATCAAAGATTGGTGTGTTCAAGCACACTCCCAACAACAACTTGGAATTCTCAACAAACATCTCAAAGGTCGAGACACCAGGTGGCAAATTGTTCAGTCCAGACAAGGTCATGCTGCACTCTGAAGACAACAATATGATTCTCCAAAACAAGGACAACCCCAACTCTCTGTATCGGATGGACCTCGAGTACGGGAAGGTTGTCGATGAATGGAAGATTCATGACGATATAGGCGTGAAGTCCTTTGCACCTGATAAGGTATGTTTGCAAGATCCTGATCCTCGATGAAATGAAACTAAGCGGGCCCAGAAATATGCGCAAATGACGGGAGAACAAACCTTCCTCGGTCTTTCTGATAATGCCCTATACCGCATTGATCCCCGTCTGTCTGGTAACAAACTTGTGGACTCACAGCTGAAACAATACGCTTCAAGCTCAAAGAACAGCTTCTCCCACGCAGCAACCACCGAGCAGGGCTACATTGCCGTTGCCTCGGACAAAGGTGACATACGTTTGTTCGACCGTCTTGGTATCAATGCCAAGACGGCTATCCCTGCTCTTGGCGAGGCAACCATTGGGTTGGACGTATCCGCTGATGGTCGTTGGGTCCTCGCTACCTGTCGAACGTACCTGATGCTCATCGATGCTTTGCAACACGATGGTAAGAACCAAGGCAAGCTTGGGTTTGAGAAGTCCTTCGCCAAGGATTCGAAGCCTCAACCTCGCCGTCTCGCCCTGACACCCAGCCACGTTGCTCAATTCCAATACGAGACCAAGACGCCTTTGTCTTTTACACCTGCACGCTTTAATACTGGAGTTGACGACAAGGAGACGTCCATAATCACAGCCACAGGTCCCTTCATCATTACCTGGAACATGAAGAAGGTGCTCGGTGGGCGGAAGGATCCTTATACCATCAAGCGGTATGAAGAAGAGGTAAAGGCCGATGATTTCAAGTACGGCAGCGACAAGAACGTCATCGTGGCCTTGCCCAACGAAGTGAATATGGTAGCTAAGCAGAGTTTCAAGAAGCCAACCCGGGAGAGTATTGCTGCCACTCCGAGACAAAGTGGCGCAAGAAGGAGATTGGGCAGGGACGAAGTCGTTAACTCACCGTACTGATGCCGGTCCTGGGGTTTCTTAGATGGTGATGAAGATGATGTGGGTGCGTTGTGCTGGTTGATGACAGCGATGTTGCTTAGCAGATTTGATGATTCCAGGCGTTGTATTTGCTTCGAGATATCCCACCAGCGTTCGCTTTCAGAGCGACGCTTTAGGTAGCACTAGATGGAACACAATGATAGTTAAACGCTTCATGCCGTCGTGGACGGGCCAAGATTTTCCGCAAATTGAAACGACTCATCTATTGCGGAGGCTTTAAGGAGAGAGACACTCGACTTCAGCGCTCGATAATGAAGCACAAGATGAGAGATGTTCCAGTGCTGAGCTAATTCTTGATGTGCGCTCTGCCACCAATCCTGCTTACAGTTGCTGAATGTGATGAGCCCATCACAGAATTCTTCCCAGCAACGATGCATGAGAGACTCAATGCATGCCGTCCAAACGCCACAGCAATGCCGCAAGCCTGCTACCGCTGCTCAGAACAGCCCCAACAGATCCTCATTAGTCTTCTTGCCCCCCTGAAGCTGCTGCCCTGCCGGCGGTGGCTGACTCGCAGCACTCATGTCCAAGCTGGCGAACCCACCGAGCACATCCTCGTTACTCATGCCCATCCCGTTTCCGTTCGCTGGCTGCCCGAAGCCGCCGGCGCTAACATTCGACAGTCCCATCAGGTCGTCTAGATTACCTCCTGAAGACGGCATCTTCGGCCCGTCGGCCACAGCCGGCGAGGCAACGCGCTCCGGGGTGCCCGCCAGACCTTCCAGGCCAGACATGCCTGACAGCGGAGACTTTTGGGCGGACGCGGGTGCTGCGCCGTCGAAATCGATGTCGAGCAGATTTTCGGCATTCGCTTGCGGTGGGGGAGCGCCGGACACCGCAGCTGCCGCAGCAGCGGCGGCGAGAGGGTTTTCGCGGGCATTTTGCATCTGTTCTTCGATAGCGGCCTTCTGGACGGCGTCTGCACCATAGCGACCTTGACCGATGAAGGATTCGGGAGGCTTGTGATAGACGGAGGCGAGAGTTGAGAGTTCTGTGAGTAAGCGTTCAAGGAGGGCTGGTGGGAGAGATTGGATGGTGGTTGTGATGGGAGGTTTGTCAGAAAGGACGACGCTTTTTGCGATCTGCGGGTTGCTGGAAAGGAGGCGCCAGTAGACATACGCTCGGTCTCGGACATCGGGATTATCGTTTTCTGCGGTGGCTGACTGGAAGATCTTTTGGACCAGAGTTTGTGCTTGAGGTTGATCGGGCTTCTTGAGGAAGAACTTGACAACGGCCGTCAAGATTTGCAGTTGTGTCTGCTCGCAGTCAGTGGACGTTTTGGTCTAGCCAATCTTTGGCGTCACATACTTGTGTAAATTCTTCCATGAAGCCGTCCACAAATCCAGCAAGGATATCACCAGCATTGCTGATCTTCTCCGCATACTCCCCAACAATCCAGATCAATGATCCTCGAGCATTAGGTTCGTCCAATTCATCGATACATTTGCACAAGGTAGGGATTATCCCCTCATAGCCTGGGTACTTGCGGAAGATGTCTTTGATGACTACGATCGCCTCTTGCACCACGTAGTTGACCTTGGTATTGATGAGATCCAGCAGAGTGTTTACGCATCTCTCTGTGGCACTTTCGATCTTGATAGCAACTTGCCCAATCGCTTTTACAGCCCGCTTCACGATATCCATGTCAACTTCGAGGGCGTATTCCTTCAGCTCGGCCAGGAGCTGATCAACGTTTTTGTCATTAGCTATTCGTACCATAATCTCAAGCTTTTCGAATTTGATATATGAAGGATCGTTATATTTGCAGAAAAAGACACGCAGCTCTTTGCTCAAAATGTCAGGTTGTTTTTGAAGAAGAAGATCAATGTTTCGTAAAGCAACATATTGAACTTCGGGTGGTGAAGCGACAAGCGTGACTGGCAGGCATTAGCACAAGAATGCCTAACCTCTATGAAGAAGACAAACCTAGCGGAGGTGCCATCTTCTTCAAATAGGATTTCGCAGTCTCTGGACTTATATACTTCATGTGCAGGAAGACACACTTGACCGCAGCAAGTACAACGCTCGGGTTGACATGTTGGAACTGCGGTGATACTCTCTCGCAGATGTGCTCTGCTTCTTTGACGTCCGCTGCCTTGTGATCCGCTAACGTTGATAATATCGTCACTCTTCCCCACTCCGTGCATTCGTTCAAGGCCATCAACATCTTCTTAAGGGCGTTCGATGAGATTTGTAATGCTCGCGTCTCTGGCGCGGCCTCGTTGATTTCTGCCAGCGCTGTGACCGCGTTCGCCACAACCATAGGATTTGGGTCTCCCATCAATTCTTGCAACGTCTCCAGGAACCCGTTCTCCAGGCACAAAGCAGGATTCAAATCAAAGAGCTTGGCCACGCATATTGCTGCGGTCTTTCGGACGTAGGGCGATTCGTCTCGTAAAGTCTTTCTCAACGGCTCCTCCATGTAATCCACCATCTTCTCTACCCTGATGCATCCCATTGTCCGTATTGCTAGCGCTCGTACCAATGGATTTGGATCTTCTGAATCTTGAACGAAGGTATTAACGGCGAGAATGCAAAGATCTGGATGTGATTTTGCGTAGTTCATGAGGTATAGGTAAACGAGCTTTTTCTGATCCAGGTCCGCCGTTGCTATGTTCTTCAGGACGTCTGGAAACAGTGCGGAGACGTCTTTGCCTAACGTCATGGACATGATTGTCTTCTGAATAGCTTCCTTCCGTTCATAGGCATACTGGGAGACCAAACCTGCCCTGAGCTCGAACGTTTCTCCCTTCCTAGGGGCCGCGAACTGAGCTTTGATCCTGTTGACCGCCATCTTCGTGGCCAGTATCTGGACGTGCGACCAAAGCCGCGCCGCTACTCGACTTGATCAAAATCAGCAGGCTGCTGTAGATGGCGGAGTTGTTGATGTTTATTCCGCGCTGGCGACTAATTGTTCGTATTCGACCTCGCTGTATCCTAACAATGATATCCGTTCAGGCTGCCGTGTAGAACTCGCAGTAGGGTCAAAGTGTGCTTTGCGAGAGAATTGATTGTTGACTTTGCGGTGGTTGCTGTCACGAGCTAGTTTTCTCCGCGAAGCTTTGTATCAACCCCCACTCTTCGACCTACTACGTATACCTGACAACGACAGCCTGAACATTTACTAGAGACTGGAGCTCAGAATGGTACTCGCTCTCAAATCTGGCGCCTTGACCACAGTGTACTGACTTATATGCAGGCCAACCTACCAAACCTTCGACGCCTTTTTGTCGATGCGAGGACTGAGGCTGAGGAGAGCTCCTATTCCAGGAACGCTGTAAGACTTCTCGAGCCTAATTCATGATGTTACAGTGCTAACATATTGGAAAGTTTTACAATTTAATCCTTTTCATGTCCTCCGTTGCTGCCTTCAGTCTGATAGCTCAACGGATGAGTAATGGCAGGACCGCTTTAGGGCATTGATCAGACTTGATGGCATTAATTCAACGATGCTTCATGTCTCAAATCTGACAAGGAGCTTGAGCATCAAAGCAAATAGCACAGCTCGATATCACAATCTGTCAATAACCCCAATATTCTCATTCATACAGGCCCATACTTCAAAATACTTTCGCAGCCAGCCTTTCTTGATGGAATAGCGGAAGGGTAACAATTAGTCGGTCTCTTCGCCGTCATCATCGTTCAGGAAAGCAAGTTCTTGCAGACCTCTTGCCAGTCGCCTCTTCGGCCTACCCGAGGTTTCATCCTCTCCCTCAGCCTCTGCCTTGCCCCATTGCTTGGCCCCTTCCTGTACAGCTTCAAGATCGGCCCGTAACTCTCGCTCATCCTTGATCTGGTTGGCCTTCTCAACGGAGTATCTTCCCGTCATCCCAGCGTCAGCCAACAGCTTTTTGAGGTGAACGATCTTTGCCTTGGAGTTGTCATATGGAGCCAGCTCTTTGTGCCACATTTTCCTTATACCGCATTTAATCAACCATCCTTGAAGTCGCTTGATCTCCTCCGCGCCCGGGTCGGTAGACTGTTCCGAGGACTTCTTGCGCTTCAAGGTTTCCGTCTTCTTCGCGCTAGGCTTCGCCGAATCCGACTTTCGCTTCTGGCCCTTTGCTTTGCGAGCTTCGTCCAGGACCTCAGACATCTCGCTGTCCGATGCGTCTGCTTTCGCTCCATTAGTACTCGCACTGGGCTTTGCGGAACCCGATTTTCGCTTTCGGCCCTTTCTCTTGGGCGCCTCATCAAGGACCTCGGACATCTCGCTTTCCGATGCCTCAGCTTTCTTTCCATTGGCCTTCGAGTTGCCGCTGATGTGATTCGAGATTTGATCAGCTTTCTCGATGGTTTCCGGCTCTGGAGAAGGGCTCGAGGTACTCTTCCCTAGTTTGGACACGGGTTTCGTGCTGAGAACCTCCTGCTCTTCACTACCAGGGCCATCCAAATCCGAGATCTCCTCCTGATGACGTTCTTTCGGTCCTGTCTTCTCACTGCAGGCGCGCTTCTTCGGTTTTGGTATGGGCTTCTTTCTCGGTGCCTCCTTCTCTTCACTGTCAGAGCCTTCCGGATCAAGCGTTTCCTTCTTCTGACGCTTGTTAGGTCCTGCCTTCTCGCTGGAGGCGCGCTTCGTTCCTCGAAAATCCCGATTCGGCTTCTGTGGTTTAGGCAGGTTCGATTGTGCCCTTTTGCTTTTGGGAGGTGCGCGTGGAGACGGAATTGAGGAGGGCTGTTCACCATTGGCATTGGCATCGGCTTGGCTGTCCTGAGAGTGCTCGTCAGCCAAATGTACGCGATCAGAGAACACAGATTGATTGAACGCGTACTACTTCAGATTGAATAAGGTTTCTGCTTTTTCCTTTCCACGCAGGGTCATTCTTGAAGAAGTCATCTTGCAAATCGAGATCTGTTTCCACAAATTTGCGTATTCGTTTGACTGTTAGTTGATCCAGATCCCCACTCCGGTAGACCTCTCTGACTGCATTCCGCAAAGCCTGTTCTAGCACCACTTCCGAAGGCGCGCCATCGGAAAGTGAGGATTCGGACATCGTCGAAGAAATATATGATTACCAATAATAATTTAAAGGACAAGCTGTGACCATGTGTCGATGCTGAAGTGTACTGTAGTCTGTGTATGCAATAACAGTTGCAGCCCCGCGCCAGGGCGCGTCTGATTTTCTCCGCGCCGCCGCACAAGGTTCCCCGCGGGCCGCAGCTATTAGGGCTGAAACACCTAAAGTAGAAGGCATAGATTCTCCGCAGGTACTGCCAATGACCATGATGGGATCAACGGGGCTGGCTAGAAGGAGCGTGGAATTTGCAGTCCGCGGCATCGGCATTGGCTCAAGGAGTCGGCATTCCTGAAGGCATTGTACGGTTCCAAGAGGCTGAGGTATTGAGTTGCCTCGCTTGTGTCCTTTGCCATGAGAACCTTGGCATGTTTTTGCCATCAATCATGCGGGTGGAACTTCACTTTTGAGTCTTTCGTGGAATTGATATGCTCCTGCCGGGGACGCTCTCGTTGAAACTTTTTGGCTCTTTAATACTGACTGCTTCAAGATCTACAGATCTGCCCATCGCCTCCAACACAGACACTACACCAGAATATCCCTTCGGGATCCATCTGTTCTTTTTATCTGTAGCAATCGGTCATAATGGTCTCCCCAGAACGCCCGTTGGTAGTCTGGCTCATTGATATCGGCCTCATTGACATAGCAACCCATATCAGGCGCTTGGTCTCTCAATGCTTTCGTCAATGTGTCCGTCAGTTGCTGTGCTGCCGCTACCTGTTTCGGCGGGGCTCTTGAGTGGGTAAGAGACTCTTGTCACTAGAGTGCATTCTCCTCAGCTGCAAACTTCCGTTTGGCATGCATCTGAGCCCGAAATGCAATTGAGACAGTTCACTCACTCATGTGTACCACTGTTCTCTTGAAAGGCCTTCAAAACAAGTACCACGCTCTCTTCATTTGCACCCGGTTTCGATCCCAAAGCCTACTCCCGGCTAGGTAGTTCGTACCTACAGTATCTGCTATGTGGTATGTAGCAGATAGTGCTTCAAGACTCATTGGCTGCTTGATACCGGTAAGTAAAACACTCTAATTTTCTTGGGCTTATGGTTGATTGCGAAATTCAGACTGTGCCAGTACTCGGCCTTCATGGTACTTTGACGAGAACGCAACTTATGTGATATCCGGCGGCCTTGGTAGACTCAGAAGCAGCATTGCTCGGTGGATGGGGACAAGAAATGCTAGACACTTCATGTTGCTTTCTCGATCTGGGGCTGGAGGAGAGGCTGCGTTGACACTACTTCAAGAGTTGGAGGCGAAAAGTATTGAAGTGGTAGCCCCGCCCTGCGACATCACTGATGAGAGGGCCTTGGTGGCGACACTAGGACATTTCAAAGAGATTTCCACCTATCAAGGGCTGCATTCAAGGATCAATACTGCTCAAGGTAAGCTCTGCGACCCTCCATTATGTGCTACACACTCCAAGGTATTGCCAGGACAGGCTTTTCGAAAATATGGACGTAGAGATTTTCAAGGCTATTATTCAACCCAACGTCCAAGGCTCGTTCAACACACATGCTCATCTACCAAATGGAACACATTTTCTCGTCCTTCTACCTTCAACCAAAGGAGTCTTTGGATGTCGTGGCCAAAGCGATCATGCCGCGGGTAACACTTGTTAAGATTCGCTCGCTGATTATCGCATGTCGCTTGGTGAGAAGAGTATCTCCTTAAATCTAGGGCTGATGTTAGCGGTAGGTTTCGCTGCTGAGAGACAGCGAGTCAACGACTCGCTGCGAGCTGCTGGCTATAAAGGGATCCATCAGACCGAGTCCTTTCCCATGCTCGATCATTGTTGCAATCCCAATCCCCCTCTTTGTTCTGCTTCGGAATCGCAGATCGTAACTGGTATCAGCACTCCTGCGCCCCTTAAGTCCAAAGTTATGGCGGAAATCTTCTGGATGTCGAGAATTTTCTTCCGAACCCTCGGCTTGGCGGACAGGGTAATTGGTTATGATGCTGAGACATCTAAGCCCACCGTCGATTTCACGGCATTGCTGGAGTCGCAAACTCGTTGATAATTGCAGGGGAGATCATTGCGCACGCACTATCTAAAAAGCTCTCGAGTGCCTTGTCTATACCTGAGAACGGCATCGAACTCGAGGAGCTAATATTTACTTACGGTGTTGATTCACTTGTGGCTGTGGAGATTCCATGCTGGTTTTGAAATAGTCCAAGGCTGAGGTCGCTGTTTTCAACATCCTCATCTCCAAATTGAGTGTGTTTGGAGCTGAGAAAAGCGATTCTGTCCAGGCCTCCCTCAAAGCCAACGGCGTAGAGTAAGAAAGTATCAGATAGATCCATAGACAAAGAGAACGCGAGTCGATATCTTCCAGTTTTGAATCAGAACGCCCCCACTTGTAGTTGCAAAAGCAATAAACTGTCACTCATAAGACTATGCGCGAAGCAAAGTAATCAGATATTGGAGTTGTATAAAAGACTATCTATGTAAGATTCACGACCTTTTTGGGGAATAGGGCCCAGGGTTGGCAACTTACGGCCTGTTCGAGTTCGGGCTCCCAAGGCGGCTAGATGTCACCGCGAGGCTGCCTGCAGGCAGCGCTGTTTGAAACTCCAGAGGTCCCCTTCCGTCCTTGCTCTCAGCATACAACGCTTTGCACTCTGTGCCTGTCTTCGCCACCCAACCAGGTCTTCTTCGGCCCATTCTACCGCGGACAATCACTTCCTTTACGAGGTCTTTGTCTGATTGTTCTATTTCCTCTTTCTCTCGCTCAACTATCCAGATGGCTTTCGGCGATAGCATTAGGGTTGAGAATGGGTATCAGAAGAATGCTTTCACGCATTATCCTGTACTCATAATAGGCGCTGGTGAATCTGGACTTGCCATGGGCTGCCGCTTGAAGGAGAAGTTCGGCTTTGATCAGTTCAGGATCTTCGATCGCCAGTCGGGCATCGGAGGTGAGCCCCCTTGACGGGCATTTGTTATACTTGTAAGGCTAAGGCAGAAGCTCAGGTACCTGGTGGATCAATCGCTACCCGGGAGTTGTAAGTTCATTCACAATGGGCGGACCGTGGAACGAAACTGATTTAAACCCTCTAGGCTTGCGATGTGTAGGTTCACTATTCCAGATCGCTGTCATGCATACTTCTGACAACAAATATCAGACCTTCAGCGCTCTACTCCTTCTCTTTCGCACCTCTCTATACGTCCCAGTCGTTGTACCCAACAGGACCGGACTTCGTCAAATATCTTCATGGAGTCGCCGCCAGGTATCAAATAACAGACAAGATCCAATGAGAAACAGATGTCACAGAGCTCCGGTATGTTGATAGGGAAGAAGAATGGGAGGTTACTCTATCGTACTTGGCACCTGGAACAGGGGATCTCTCCGAGGCCCAGCGACGAGAAATGATTGCCAAGCTGGGCATGAAATCTGTATACCTCAAGCAAGAAAAGGTCCGAGCAAAGATTGTAGTAAGTTGCGTTGGGATTCTCGTCGAGCCTAATGCCTGGCCGACGAGTATTCCCGGACGCGAGACTTTTCGAGGGGAAATCTTCCATTCTGCTCGATGGCGAGATGACACAGACTTCAGAGAAAAGGATGTCGTCGTTGTTGGCTCAGGTTGTAGTGCCGCTCAAATCGTTCCGTCCCTTTTCGAGGAACCTTTCAACGTAAGGTCCATCACACAGATTATGAGAACTGCGCCTTGGGTCATGCCAAGGCTGACAGAGCCATTCGGAAAGGCGAACTATGCCCGCTATGCTCCGATGGTATTTCGATACTTCCCGTTCTTGGGTTACCTCATTCGTGTCTCCCTATACTTACTTGTGGAGGTGATCTGGCTCACGGTCTTTCAGCAAAAGAACGCCAAGTGGCGCGCCCAAATTGAAGCCTCCACGCTTGAGCGCATGTATAGCATCATACCAAAGAAATTCCACACTACTATGAAGCCCAATCATAGCTACGGCTGCAAGCGTCGAGTCTTTGACAGCGCTTGGTTAAACTCCATGAGCAAGCCCAATTTTGACCTCACCAATCGGCCTCTGAAAAGTGTTGAGCCAAACGGCGTGGTTCTTGGTACCAATTCTGGCGACCCCAACAAGCCTGCCGAAGATGCTCGCGTCAATGCAGATATTATTGTTCTAGCCAATGGTTTCGAAGCTCTTCGTTGGTTTCATCCTCTGTCCGTGTACGGCCGCAGTGGAAGATCTATGCACGACGTCTGGGATGAGCGTGGAGGCCCACAGGCATATATGGGAACTGCAATGGACGGGTTCCCAAATTTCTTCATCGCCACTGGCCCCAACAGCGCAAATGGGCACGCATCGCTTATTCTAGAGTCCGAAAATATCACGGAATACATCCTGAGGATTGTCGAGCCCGTGCTGAAAGGAAATGCACTCTACGTAGAGCCCAAGAAGGACGCGGAGATCAAGTGGACAGCCGACATCCAGCGAGAGCTGAAAAAGACCGTCTTCCCAGGGTGTACTAGCTGGTACCAAGATGAGAGGGGCTGGAATTCTACCATGTATCCGTATGTCCCTATGCTCATGTTTTGGTCGTGTTACTGGTTTGATGAATGACATCTCTGCAGGCGCTCGCAGACCGACTTCACATTCCGTTGCATGTTTCCTAACTATCATGATTGGGACGTCGCGTACACTCCAAGGGGCCTTCTCAAGCGAAGAATCCAGCAAGCGTTGAGCTATGCTGTTCTCGCTGCTATTGTAGCTTGCGTTGCGATTGCAAGAGTATCAGGCATTGGGATCATGGGTCTGGCCAAGGGTCTTTTGCCGAGTCTCTTGACTTCCTTGGAGTACGGAGCCATCTCTTGCAGGGAGAGATTGAACCAGTATCTCCAGATTTGATGCAAATCATGCAAATCGAAGACCAAGGCTGGGAGATCCAAATGTATAATAACTTGTCAATCATGGAGGGACGATGATGGCACTGACCAAAATAACATGCTGTGATTGTCTCTGATCATCAGGCCTGATGTTTTTGACTGCGTGAGCTAAGATTGGCTGACCGAGAATCACAGAAGCTTCAGATAGTACGAAGAAAGAAGTGGACTCGGCGGGTATGTGAGAAAATTCGACTTTTGAGTGCTCGGTGAGGGGGCGCGATTTTCTCGAGGCCATAGCTTTCTGCACACGCTAATTACTCGGCGTTCGCGGGGAACCTACGAGTACCTTAAAATCAATCCTAGTCCTATATCAATTTTTCACCTTCCCTGGAAGTAATCCTTCAACGGCCGCTTATCGCATTTGAAGCCTATTCAAGGGACAGCTTGCTCAACAGAGAGAACCTCCTGCCGAGATATTCATTCGTTCCTTAGCACTACTTCTGGGCATGCTGTCTCCAATGCACGGAATCTTGTAGTGGAGACCCCAAAATTGCCACCATACAACAGTACTCGAGCATTGCTTGTTTCAGGATTGGAAGGTGAACAAGGCACCGAAGTAGCAGTGCTATCCCTTTACTTTTATGTTCGCTCTTGATGAGCGTCAAGGTTTCAGTATTCTCTTTCTCCTACCATCGAGTGATCATGAGAGCAGCGGCGAATAGTTCGTCTTTGAAGTCTATGCAGCTTGCTCAAATGGATCATCCGCTTAGCACAGAGTCCGGAGATGATAAGGCTCTGCCATTATCGAAGAATAAACTCAAGAAACTCAAGCGCGACCAGGAATGGGAAGCGAATCGGGCGAAGCGAAAAGAAAAGCGCCGAGAGAAACAAATCGAGAAGAAACAACGCAAGCGGGCTGCCCGTCAAGGAACTGCGCCAACTGCCCCTACCAACCAAACACCGGCTCGTGAAAACGGACAAGAGCAGATTACGGAACCAAAGAAATCGACCCGGCAAGAGTACACACAGCTTCCGATCACTTTAGTCCTTGACTGCGGGTTCGACGATCTAATGATGGATAAAGAGCTCAAGTCGCTAGGCTCTCAGGTCACGCGATGCTATTCTGATAATCACAAAGCTCCACTGCAAGCCCATCTTGCCGTCAGCTCTTTCGGGGGACATCTGAAGGAAAGGTTTGACGGTCTCCTCGCTGGCCACTATCGTTCGTGGAAAAATGTCAGGTTTTTGGAAGGTGACTTCGTGCAAGCTGCCACGCAGGCGAAAGAGTGGATGAAAGGAGAGCGTGGCGGGAAGCTTGCGGGTGCTTTAGCCAAGGAGGATGATTCACCACAGACATCGCACGAGCAAGACGAAACTGGAGAAGTCGTGTACTTGACAAGCGACAGTCCTGATACATTGACCGAGTTGCGACCGTACAGCACATACATCATCGGAGGTCTGGTGGACCGCAACAGACACAAAGGTGTTTGCTACAAGAGAGCCATGGACAGAGGCATGAGAACGGCAAAGCTCCCAATTGGGGATTATATGCAAATGGCAAGCAGATTCGTTCTAGCTACCAACCACGTCGCGGAGATCATGCTCCGCTGGCTCGAGCTGGGGGATTGGGGCAAAGCATTTCTTCAGGTGATGCCCAAGAGGAAAGGAGGAGTGCTGAAACCCAACATCAGAGATCCAGATGACGAGGCAGATAGCGAAGTTTTGGAGGAAGAAAACGTGGAGGTCGAGGTTTTGGACGGGAAAGTCGAAGACGAGGACGCTGAGGCCTCGAAAGGGGAAGATGGTTCTGGGTATCGGATGGTAAAAGGGTAGACAGGCGCCGCACAGCGAAAGTAATGCCAGCTAGGCCATGTCATCCTAAAATGCACAAGCTTTCGGTTCGGATGGCAAAGGACATGAAACCCGAGTACCGCTATATTGGGAATATCAAACAATGATTTTTGACTGGCGTGGAACTAGTCTCAGAAAGGCCCCACGCAGTGGGTCTGAGTAGGAAACCCTGCCAAGCCTCATTTTTTTGGTGGTTTGGCTGATATGAGATATTCACCCCTGGGTATATGTTAGTATTGGTAGGTTTCGGGGTAGCTTTGACCCGGAGCGAGCTACCCCGAAGCTATTTTACTTTAATATATTATTACTTAATAACCGAACCATCATATTTTATAAAAATTTATTTAAATATTCTTAATGAATATAATACTAATATATCAAATTTTCTAAAGTTGAAGTTCGAAATTTCTAAAGTTATTAAGCTTTTTAGTTTTTTTATTTAAAATATCTTAAGTTCCGGGGTAGCTCTGACCCGGAGCGAGCTACCCTAAAGCTACCTCGGAACTATTCTAAAGAAACTTAATAATCTAAAACTTCGATATATTATTACTCGATAACCGAACCATCACTTTTTATAAAAATTTATAAATATATTCTTAGTATATATAATAATGATATATCAAATTTTCTAAATTTGAAGTTCGAAGTCTTTAAAGTTATTAAGCTTTTTAACTTTTTTTCTAAAAATCTTAAAATAATATAATAATTAAATAAATTAAAAAATATTATTAATAAAACTTTATATATCCTTACTTATATCTATAAATTATAAAATATTAATTTAAAATTATAAATTAAGTAATAAATTAATTAAGATAATAGCTTAAATAGATAAATATTAAATAAATATTTAATAAATATAAATTTGTAAAAACTGGCCTGGCTTATTCTATAATAATATTCTTAAATAAACTTATAAATATAACGAATATTTAAGGATTATTTTTGAGGTTTTCTCGGTACACGTTAAAGAATAGGAGGGGGGTTAAAAGTATAGTTTTTAAAACTCTAATTTAAATCTTCTAAAAATAATTATTTAAGATATTTTATTGAAAATCGAAAAAAAAAATCTAATTCTACGATATTTAAATAGTTATTTTATAAGATTTTTTTTTTATTAGAGTGCGTAGTAAAAAGTTATATATAAAAGAAACTACTTATTTTCTATTTCGGTCAATTTTGGTGAGGATCCCATATAAAATAACGGTCAATGTAGCGATTCCAGGGTTTCCTACTCAGACTCTAGGGGAAGGGTATGACGAAATTTCGGCCCGGAAAAATGGTTTTTCCGACCTATCACTACCACCAACCCTTCCGAATAGAGTCTGAGTACTGAGACTAGCGTGGAACCAAAACAGCGGCTGCCGACGTCACCGTGCAGCTCCCGAAACCCTAAGATCGACGTTCTTGCATGTTGGCCTCGTCCTGGTCGCGACAGTTCTTTCCTCACAATTGTCCAATACAATAAATCTTCATAACAATGCCCTTCCACGTCAATTGACCTGACCAATGTCGTCCACCCCCAAAAGCGCCTCCACAACAGGCCCCTCCTCACGTTCCCCATCCCAAACCCCCACCTCCTACCTATCCTACCCCGTCTCCCACGTCGTCTCTGGCCTCTATCGGCGCCTGACCGAACCCTCTCCCAATCGCTCCGCCGTCCCGCGCCTCCAGACTCACACCTCCGACCAAGATCCAGCAAACGACATGCCGAATGGCGTTTATACACCCCCGCATCGAACCGCATCGCCATTCCAACCCCCGCCCTTGACGCCCCTTGCGCTCTCCGGCTCTACGTCTTCTACAATCTTGTCGAGAACTGTCGCCGAGGAGATCCGGCTGCTTCTACCTCCGCGTCTTCAACTCGCGGAGCGGTGGTCTCTAGCGTACAGCCTTGAGCAAGACGGCGTCAGCTTGGGCACACTCTACAACAAGTGCGCATCGCCTGAAATACCCCGAGATGCTTCGTTCGTTCTCGTGGTGCAAGATGGCGCCGGCGGGGTAGGTCTCCTCCATTCCCCGTCCTACGCCCTTTGATAGCCTTACTAACGGGGGGTTCTGCCAGATCTTCGGCGCCTACCTAACCTCTCCCCCACACCCCACTTCCTCCTTCTACGGCACCGGCGAATGCTTCCTCTGGCGCGTCTCCATCCTTCCCTCCTCCTCTCTCCTCTCCAATCTCCCGCCTCCACCCTCGGCGCCCGATACCGAGAGCATGGGCCGGAGTACCACGATCGCGAGCCCGACAGCCCATTCCCATTCTTCATCACATCTTTCACCATCATCTGCAACGAATGGCGGTGATCGGAGTAGTGACGCTAACAACACTGCAAGCGCAAGTGGAACGTCGACGCCGGATCTGATACGATTTAAGGCGTTTCCGTACAGCGGCGTGAATGATTATCTGATTTTCTGCGAACAAGGTTACCTGAGTGTGGGCGGCGGGGATGGGAAATATGGTTTATGGTTGGATGGAGTGCTGGAGAGAGGAATCAGTGGTCATTGCATGACCTTTGGGAATGAGCCATTGAGCGAGGAGGGGGAGAAGTTCGAGGTGGTGGGCGTGGAGGTGTGGTGTGTGGGTCGATAACGGCCATTCTCTAATCAAGACGAGGAGAATAGGGGTGGTGAGCCTGGGAGTTCTGGGTGTATCCACGAATGGGCTTTTCCCATACAATAAAGCATATACCTCGCCCTTCAATGAAAGGCGGCAATCAGCTAAGCAACACCCTAATCTCTCCACTCGTCCTAGGGAATAGCGACCTCAGTGGCACCAGCTCTTGCTCTTCCTTTTCATTTTCCTCTCCAGCTTCGTGCACAGCACTCTCCCTCAACTCATCGACCGCTGCTAACTTCCCCTCCACAAACTCAAAGTCCTGGCAGAACCTCTCAGCCGCATTCGCCGTCACCTCCTGTGACAATTTGGTGTTACCCAAACGCTTGAGAGTCTCCATTGCGTCCATAAGCGCTGAGGGTAGAAAATCATCGAGAGTCTGGCTGGCGTTGGTGAGTGGCTGTAGCAGGAATGGTGTAAGCGTAGGGACTTTAAGAAGACCATCCGGAGTGTCTTCTGTAGGCGCTAGTGCGACGAGCAGCGGATGAAGCCCAGAGGTATGGAGAAAGAATGCGTGCTGATATTCTGTGAGGCTGGAAGTCAGGCTTGCGAGTTGCTCCTTCAATTCCGACACTCGATCTTGGACGAACTCATAAGTGGAGAGGGTATTTCTGGCTGCGAAGAGGCAATTGGCGATGAAAATGCTGGCGGAGGGCTCGTTGGTTTCTTTGGCCATCTTCTCGCAGATGGAAAGGAATGGGTTGAGGGCATGGGAGATGATGGGCTCGAAACCTGCGACGCGGGAAGAAGCTGGGGTGAGAGATGAGTCGTATATTTTCAGGAGGGTGGTGAATTGGGTGAGCGTTTCATCTAGGAAGTCGGGTATCCGCAGATCTGGGGTGGGTGCTGCAATGTCTGCCTGTATTGCGGAGACATTGTCGGACACGAGAGTCCGGAATTGGCGGAGGGCAGACTGCTCTAGCGAAGATAGTGTTTCGAGCAGACTAGAGTTCGGGCCTAACAGCTTGATGAATGTGACGCGATAGAATATGACGAGGTTAGCAATCTTGTACAGTAGCACTGCGTCTTCATGGTTCTGAAGAACTTGCTCTATCCGTTGACGGAGCGCTCTTGCTACTCCAGCTATGTTGCGGTTGACGAGCTCTCCCAGCGCTTTGCGTCCGTCAAAAACCTCGTCGTTGCCTGTCGACCAAGGCTCGGCGTGCCTGCCTGCTTCGAAACCTTTGCTTATTTCGTCTCCGTCAGATATAAAGAGTGATTCTAAAGCCTCGCGCTCAGATACAGTTGCAGAGTGAGTCCATGCAAGCATATCACCCACATAGCGAAGGGGATCATGGGCATAAAACTCAATTGGTTTCGACATTGGGTTCTGATCGTTTTCACTTGATAAACCGGTCAACGCCGAATAGAAGGCATCAGTCAGGACACCCTCTCGAGCTTCCGCAAATAAGTCTAAACAGCTTTGGAACAGCGTTGGTCGTTCTGCAAGTGCTCGCAGGGCACGCCGAATGATGGAGCTGATCTGTGGACTCTCTAGATTCAACGTCTTGAATTCTTTCTGAATCCATCTGTAGAGCTTCTGATAGCCGATATTGAGGTTTCTTGAGCTCTGATCCATAAGCTCAAGCCCAAGCCTTTGGTTCTCGGTCCCAAGTAGGACTTGACAGTCGACATAGATCTGTTTGACTCTTTTCAAAATTGCAAAAAAAGTGTCATCCACAGCCTCAGCCGCACCTGTTAAGACTAGTAGATCTTCTTCTGAGATGATGAAATGCTTGTTGAAGGCATCTAGCAACTGCTTTTTTGTCTCTAATTCCTGCTTTTGGACCAAAAGCGTGGAGGCTTCCTTAAGTACAGGTGCGCTTTCATGACGAGCCGCCGTCACATGGTGACGCATATCCTCGCAGCATTTGTTCAGACTGTTGATGGCAGTGCCGATGCGTTTCAATTGCTGACGCCTCTTCAGCAAAAGCAATCAAAGGCGTTGAACCGGACGAACCTCCGCAACATGACCAAATTCATGGACAACGGATCTATTTCGTTGTATGACCTCTTTTTGGACATCGAGTCGCAGCCTCCGCCTTGTCTCTGCTGTGTTTCTGATCTCTTTCTCATCCAAACTACGTAGGGCATCTCTGATCTCAGAGTCTGCATAGGATACGGAGAGAACGCCAGATAGTTTGTTGGATAGCGCTGTCGACCTCTGCGGTGTCGACGAGACGGTCAATTTATCATCTAAGTGCTCGGAGAGATCGTTAATATAGATTTGAGTACCCGCCATATTGGGAGACTAGGGTCTGAAAACACGAAGTTCCTGGTTGGAAAGAGGTTCATGAATTGTCGAACTCCTAGACGGTGAAACATCGGATGCTTGGCACTAGGTATGTTGGACCCACCCTTGGGTGCGGGAGCATCACGCAACACCACCCACCACTTCACATGACTCAACAACGACACGCGACTCGCTCTGCAGGACTTTTGTGTTGAAAAGTATCGAGTATGTTTGTTAGCATTTTGTGGTGACGGGATTTTTTTCGTATGCAGATGTCCTGATCATCAGAGGCATCTGTCCACAACATGCGTGAACCCTAGGCAATCTCACTTGAGCAGCCCAGCTGCACTTCCTTCAATACAGTGATGACTTCGAACATACTATCCAGGTTTTTGCCCCCTGCTGCGGGAGAGCCCTCGGTGTATGAGACGTTGCGGCAGCATGACGAGCTGTCAGATCAATCTGACGTGGAAGAAAGAGCAGCTATGATGTTAGATGAAGAGAATCTCAGTACTGGCTTCCATGACTACGAGCTTGATGATGCTCTGGCCGATGCTACTGCCGACCAAGGTGCTCCGTCGAGGATAGGACATTCGAGCCGGCAAAGCCAGGGAACCTCTGCAAGAAAAGCCCAAAGTCGGGCTAGGACACCACACGCTGCTGGCAGAGTGAACATAGATGACTTGGATGACGAAGTCCCTCAGTCCTTGCTCATTGAAGACGAGCAAGGCCCATCGCCGGTGTCGAGAGCTGGGCAGAACAGAGCATTGCCGCCGCCCGTGTCGGGTCCATCGAGTAGAGCAACTCGGGCTAAATGGCAAGCTACTCAGGAACAGCAGCGATTGCACCAAGACCCCATATTCCCGAGAACGCATAGCAAAGAAAATTCACGGAGAGGCCACCCTCTAGGAATGATGGACCCAAAGGACCGAGCGATGTGGATGTGGACGAATGTCGAAAACCTAGACAATTTCCTGAAGGACGTTTACGACTACTACACTGGCAACGGGATCTGGTGCATACTACTGAACAGAGTGTTGAATCTTCTGTAAGACATACATAATAAAGCTTAGGGGTCCATGAGTACTAATTGTTGCACAGTACCTTAGCATTCGTGGTTGCCTTCAGCATGTTTCTTGGTTCGTGTATTAATTATAAGGAGATACCGGACAGCAAGAAGATGTCTCAGATTCTTGTTCCACGATGCACCAAGAACATGTCTAGGCCCACTAATCTACTCATCTGGCTGTTTGCCTTCTTTTGGATATGTAAATTGTTTCAATACGGCAACGACTTTCGCCATCTTAGGCATATGCAAAGTTTCTATCGCTACCTGTTAGAGATCTCGGACACTGACATTCAGACGGTCTCATGGCAAGAGATTGTAAAGCGTTTGATGTTACTAAGAGACTCGAACCCCGTCACAGCGGCAGCCGTCAAAGACAAACATCGTCGCTTTCTAGGCAGCCAGTCCAAGCAACGCATGGATGCCCATGACATTGCGAACCGTCTGATGCGAAGAGAAAACTATATGATTGCCCTGATCAATAAAGACATCCTCGATCTCACGCTACCTGTGCCTTTCTTGAGAAATAGGCAGTTTTTCTCAAAGACCCTCGAATGGAACTTGAGCTTGTGTATCCTAGATTTTGTGTTCAACGAGCAAGGTCAGGTCAGGCCTTTATTCCTCAAAGATATCCGCCGCCGTGCTCTCAGCGATAAATTACGAGAACGGTTCATCTTCGCAGGATTCATGAATCTCTTCTGTGCTCCTTTCTTAGTGATCTTCTTCATGCTCTATTACTTCTTCCGCTATTTCAATGAGTATCAACGCAACCCTTCTCAGATCGGGTCTCGTCAATATACTCCGCTGGCGGAGTGGAAATTTCGAGAGTTCAATGAGCTCTGGCACCTATTTCAGCGACGCGTCAACATGTCATACCCCTTTGCATCACGTTACCTCGAGCAGTTTCCCAAGGACAAAACGATTCAGATTTCAAGATTTGTTGCATTCGTCACCGGTGCCCTGGCTTCCGTTCTCGCCCTGGCCTCTGTCATTGATCCGGAGTTATTCCTGACATTCGAGATCACGCCCGAACGCACAGTCCTATTTTACCTCGGCGTCTTTGGGACTGTCTGGGCCGTCGCTAGAGGCATTGTGCCTGAGGAGAACCTTGTCTTCGATCCCGAGTACGCTCTCAATAATGTTGCGGAATACACGCACTATCTCCCAAACCATTGGCGAGATCGACTCCACACCAACGAAGTACGTGCGGAGTTTGCTACGCTCTACAAAATGAAGTTGATAATATTTCTGGAAGAGATCCTCAGCATTATCATCACGCCCTTGATACTCTGGTTCAGCCTCCCAAAATGCAGTGATCGGCTTATAGACTTCTTCCGCGAGTTCACGGTCCATGTTGATGGACTCGGATACGTCTGCTCTTTTGCAGTGTTTGACTTCAAGAAAGGAGGCAACAACACTGCCCCCCTAGATGGTGAAGCAGCGCAGGATCTCCGCGAGGAATACTATTCGACCAAGGATGGCAAAATGCTAGCTTCATACTACGGCTTCATCGACAACTATGTGACCAATCAACGGCCTGGGGCACCTTTCCTCCATCCAACAACTAGGTCAAGCTTCCATGTACCCCCTGTATTCCCAGGCCTGATGTCCCCAACTCTAATTGCCGAAGTTCATGGGCCAGCTCTAAGCAGACCAGCGAGAGCAGATCGCCACAAGCGAGCTCCCACCCGATCAGCCTTGTCCGGCGTAACGGCAGGACAACAATTGGTGCACCAACGTAATCCGAGATTCGCTCCTACAGGCGATCATGCATCACCTATGGCTTCCATCTTGTTGGATCCTCAACACCAGCCTGCACCTACTGGTCCAAGGACGCAGCGTAGATTTGGCACCCAGTCTCGATTGCGGACGACAACCAAGCCACTTCAGGATCCTTTGGAAGACGAGGAAGAGGCTCTGCGGGAGAATGATGAACGCTTGGGCGCCGATGGTAGTGAAGGTGCGGCAGACGATAGCCATCTGGGTGAATCGTGGAAGACGACTCATGCTGGGACTCTGGATGAGAATGGCGATGAAGACGTCCAGGCAACAAATGATGATAGAGGGCCTGGTGGTATCTTGGGCTTGGTTTACCAATTTTCGAAGGCCCAAGAGGGTAGGGGTGGTGTAAGCATTTAGCATTTCATATCAAATGGAGTGTACAATAGGATACCCGCATTGGCTTTGCCGGTGGTCTGGCGTTCATGTAATGCTCATTCAGATGTGCATAAAGTCAAGGCGTGGTCAGAATTCGGAGGCGGTCAAATTTGGGTTAGCGCTCGAAAATGGAGAGAGAATGAGACAGCAACCAGACCTCACGCATTTCGATTTCTTTGCTCTCTTTTTTGCTCGCATTTTCCACGCAATGCAACTTGGAGCCTTGGTTTTTACCGGAACACTCGGTTACTGGTAGTCTCCAATTCATGTAGCAGCCTACTTTCATCAGGCGGATTGAGGATGAAAGGAAATATCTAGGGACAATGTATACAAAGTCATCATTCTTCTGCTGATTGTTGTGATGATTGATGGCATGACTGCACAGGTCGGTTTGGAAGGGAATCTGGCTAGGGCGTTCTGCAATCACGGACCATGATGATGTCGTGGAAAGGAAAAGAAAGTCTGCGTATGAAAGTCTGCATGAAAGGTTGCAAACAATAATCTTCATTTATTTTATCTGCGCCCATCAAACTTACCAACACATAAATAATTCTTACATTCTCATCCTCAATGAATTTCCTAGACCTTCCTACCACAGTTGCCCAGTTTTAATTACATCACGGCCGAACTACCCTCTCTAGCCACACCGTTGGATCTGAGGTCGATGGCCGCCCATGACCCAGTCCCGGTGGAGGATATCGAGTGAGTGATCTGTTTGAGATCTTGACGCTCAATGATAAATTGACTAAGTATAAACCGCAGCTATGAAGCTTTACCGCCCAATTTCACAGCCTTGGAGAACATGTTGGCTGGTGGATTTGCCGGAGTCGCCGTGAATTTGCCCCCACGGCGCTGAGCTCCCAGATGTCATGCAGAGCTAATGGGACATAAGGAACACTCTGTCATGTATCCAGTCGACATGCTGAAGGTAATCTTCTACCCACACGGACTCTTCTGGCTTTGCGCTGAAGCTCCGCAGACTCGCCTCCAAATACTAAAGCCCGCCGAAGGCGGCCTGTACACCGGCATGCACCAAGCGTTTTGGAAGATACGGAGGATAGAAGGACTCAGGTCGATGTGGAAAGGTGTCTCAAGTGTGATCGTCGGGGCTGGTATGCTGTGTGTGCTCTTACGGAGAGCACTGAGTATTGACGTGGTGAAGGTCCGGCGCATGCCCTCTACTTTTTGACCTACGAGGCGGTGAAGCATGCCATGGGAGGAAACAATTCAGGCCATCATCCACTCGCAGGAGGTAAACTGCACGAGTCTCAACATAATTTGGAACCGGGCTCACAAGCTCTAGCTGTCAGTGGGGCTTGCGCAACGATTGCCAGTGACGCTTTGATGAACCCATTCGATGGTGAGATGAGTCGCCATAGCTGATCGAATACCTCTGACTTTCCGACTAGTTATTAAACAACGCATGCAGGTCCATGGCTCGATGTACAGGTCAATACGGCAGTGTACGAAATCAGTCTACAAGAACGAGGGCCTCCGGGCATTCTACATCTCGTATCCAACGACGATAAGCATGACCGTTCCATTCACCGCGCTGCAGTTCTCGGCTTACGGCTCCATCTCGCAATATCTCAACCCTTCACGAGATTACAACCCTACGACGCATATAGTTGCCGGCGGGCTGGCGGGAGGCTTGGCCGCAGCATTGACAACACCCTTGGATGTCATCAAGACTTTGCTGCAAACTAGAGGTACTGCGAAAGATAATGAGCTGAGACATGCGAAAGGAATGTTCGATGCAGCGGCCATTATCAAGAGACAACATGGGTACGGGGGCTTTTTCCGTGGTCTACAACCAAGAATCCTGACGACGGTACCCAGCACTGCTATATGCTGGTACGCTGATTCCTTCGCATCGTTTATGATCCGTCAGGGCAAATTGACTTTGTGATTTAGGAGCTCGTATGAGTTGGCTAAGAATTATTTCATCCGTCATAACGATGAGCTCTGACAGAAATTCGGTGTCTCCTGAGTCCACCAATTAAACTGCGTACAGCATCGAGATCTTCTCTACTTCAGCAGCCTTTTTGTGTACAAGCGTTTTCTCCCAATACCCAATCTTCGGTCGTCGGTATAGAGCATCATGTCATTGAGCGGGCGTTGGAAAGATTTGGACAGCATAGCAGCATGATGTGTAACACAATAGATGGAACAGCACCGAGCGGGACAAAAGATATCGGAAGCATTTACAGATCGCAGGGCGTACTGGCGCGCTTGTGGCTCACTTTTGTACATAGGACGCAGCACCTGCAGCTATTTAGCTTCACATGAAGCCTCATACGCTCAATCATACATGCTGTTACTCCTGCACTTGGTGCGTGTAGTATCCCTGCTTCCAGCAGAATGGAGGCCAAACCTTAACAAGGTGATCAGCTTTTTTCAAGGAGAGAGACTCGTCGTCCTGTAATTTGAATCCTCTGAAGGTTGCAGTGAAGGTTAGAAATTCCTCCAGCAACCGATTGTATAGCCCTCGATCTCGTGGTAGTTCAGAGCTTTTTGGTGGTCCTCGTAGCTATCGATAAAGGGTCCACTTCAAGGGTGTTTCTGCCAAACTCAAAAGGCTTCCTCCAAGCCATGAGTTTAGTGCACTGTGCGGACTGTCAGTAACTTTCGTTCACAGCACTTGAATCTGTAGACAACACATTCACAGCACCTCGAGATAGCACTGCTTGTATATCCCTACCTGATTCCTCATTGACACTTGATTTGCACCCCACAGGGAAAGTACGACCCTACGGACGTCATTCTTCGCCTGAACACGAGGCATTCGGGCAGTGATCAGCTCCAAGCCTCAACCTATCGCGTGTCTGGTCTTCCTTTCTCAAAAACTCATGGACGAGTCCAAGCAGCTAGCTACGATCAATGATGCGCAACAAGGCCTCGTCTTCTATGCAGAAGACCTACGATGAATGTTATCTAGTCTGTTCAACAGCTGTCTACTTTGAAGGCCAGGTATGTAGCTCAAGCTCTTCAGAACGGTCCATGGACCTTTCGCTGACCATCATCTCTTCGATAGAACAACGAAGCAGAGGCGCTACGGTCATGGCGTTCTGCACTCGATCAGATCTACTACCACAATGCTTACAGGGTCCCGCCAAACTACCAGCCAAAGTCGGAGACCGAGAGAGCGTTACAAGAATCACTCCGGAATATGGAGCTGCAATGCAAGGAACGCGTAGACCTTCTTGAAGCGCTGCGAAAGAGTCGGAAGGAGGCCAAAGACAACGGTGACAGGTCCAGCAGCAGCTCGACAACGCTAGGCCGGCCACCGGTGCCTACCAAGCCTGATCATCCTGTGGGCCATCAGGCAAATACAGGATGGCTTGGAGAGGGTACTGTGCCTGCAGTAAATTATCCGGACCTTTCGAAAGCTCCACCAGCTCTTCCCCGACGTCCTCTTCTATCAGCGAGAGATTCCAACTACTCTCCAACAGATCGGTCTTACAGTAGTCCTCAGGTCAGCACAATGAGTTCTACGACACCCTATACACCACCTACGCTGCCAGTACCCCCCACGAAAACATCAAGAACACCTAGTCCGGATAAGAAAGGCCATGTCATGTTAACTACTCTACGAGGACTTAAGGACGGCAAGAAACAATCAAAATCACCTAGAGCTTCGGGTGGTCGTTTTGGCGCCCCTCCCGTGTCATCAAAGGCTGCAGGCCTTGCTTGGGACTCAATATCGAAAGGTTCCGGACAGAAGCTGGGACAGACTTTGGCCGGCAGGAACGGCAGTACGAATACCGTGGACTCCGTCCATCGCGACAGCGTAGGGGGTAATACTTCGTCCAGACCAGACTCTACAAATGTTACAGATGGAGAAGAGCAAGCATTAGGGGGCAACGCACTGGTGCGACCAGATGCACGTACGCCACCGGACTTAATTCCATTGCAAGATGATGCTCGACCTAGTACTTCCTCCACACTACAGTCGATATCCAGCCAGCAGAACTCAAATGGATCTTCAAGCTTGCGTCCGCAAACTAGTGCAGATCTCATGACCCTTGAGCCACCAACGCCCCCGCTGCACGCTGACACATTGCGGGATCCCATGGTGACAAAGGTCAGAGCAAAATCACCAGCGCGGCCAAAAGTTCCAGTCGATTATCCTTCTTACAGAACCGAGTTTCCGCAAACCGCGGCTAGCTCACGAGCGACAGCGCAATTCCTTGCAAGGACTAATCGTTCGGACGACAGCGCCAGGGCATCCAGTCTACCAATGCGGCAACGATCTCCTCAAAGGAAAACCCGGCCTCCAGTCCCAACTAGTATTGCTCGGCGTCCTGTAGCAAACATCTCCTCGCCCCGATCGAATAAGCATGAAACAGATGAGTCAGGCAGGCGAGTATCCTCCGAAAGCAATGACGACAATACCAGCAGCAGCTACGAGAAAGAGGAAAAGAAGAGACGACCTCCTCGCAAAGCTCGCGAAAATGCCATTCCAGTTGACCCTGCACTTGAATCGACTAAACCCGACAAAGATCCGTCCGATACTACCCAGCCTTCATCGGCTTGGCACGAGCGTGTCAAGTACATCAAGAAGAACCTGCCCAAAGGAGTTGACGAAGGCGCAGCTAAGCAGATATTCAACGAGATCGTGGTCCAAGGAGACGAAGTTCACTGGGCTGATGTAGCTGGTCTAGAAGTTGCAAAGAAGGCTCTGAAAGAAGCAGTCGTTTACCCTTTTCTACGCCCAGATCTCTTCATGGGTCTCCGTGAACCAGCTAGAGGAATGTTACTCTTCGGACCTCCTGGAACCGGAAAGACGATGCTTGCTAGAGCCGTAGCCACTGAGTCAAGATCGACGTTCTTTGCCATCTCGGCCAGTAGTCTCACTTCAAAATGGTTAGGCGAGTCAGAAAAGTTGGTCCGGGCACTTTTCTCTCTCGCAAAAGCACTCGCACCTTCAATTATCTTTGTTGATGAGATAGATTCACTTTTATCGTCTCGAGGGGGCTCAAGTGAACATGAATCTACAAGGCGCATCAAGACAGAGTTCTTGATCCAATGGTCAGATTTACAGCGTGCGGCAGCAGGCAGCAAACAAACAGACAAGGAGAAGGCCGAGGGCGATGCGTCTAGGGTCCTGGTCCTTGCCGCCACGAATATGCCTTGGGCGATTGACGAAGCTGCTAGAAGAAGATTTGTGAGGAGGCAATACATACCCTTGCCAGAGGCACCTGTCAGAGGAGAGCAGCTAAAGACGCTTCTGGGCCATCAGAAGCATAATCTCTCCAAGAAGGATATTCAGGTTTTGGTAGAGCTGACAGATGGTATACTTTCCTTTCCATGCTCGTGCCATTGGTCCCAATACTGACACCAAGGGCAGGTTTCTCTGGCAGCGATATCACGGCTTTAGCGAAAGATGCAGCAATGGGTCCGCTTCGGAGCTTAGGCGAAGCGCTACTATACATGTCGACGGATGAAATACGGCCCATCCAATTTGAGGACTTCGAGGCGAGTTTGATAAACATCCGGCCGAGTGTCAGCAAGCAGGGCTTACAAGAATTCGAAGATTGGGCCAAGGAATTTGGGGAAAGGGGCGGGTGAGGGTCTGATGTTCTATTGCAGCGGCCACGGAGGAATGAAAGTCCACCTTCTCAAGATGGCTGATTTAATGAAATCGCTGCTACGATGTTAGGATCTTGGCTGCGAACGTTACAACGAATTATGCATGCCTCGGCTAAAGCAGGAGTCACTTCCCAGTCGTGCCTTTGTGACTTGTATGTCGATCAAATGTCGCCAGCCATCGTGAATCGCAGATACAGCGGTCTATCTCAGCACACGTCTGCATCAGATGCTTTTGCCCCTGCTTATCATCACATCTTCTTGACGTCACTTTGAAACTCATACGCACGTTCAGAAGGGAGGAGGCGGAGCGTCGGTGGCAAAAGCCTTGAATCTGTCTGTTTTTTTTGCCCTTTTTTCCCTTGCTACTCTTCGAGACTGAATTCTATCTTGCTCAACGGTCAGATTGGCACAGTTATGGATTTTCAATGCGAAAACGCAGCCTTGATGTGACCGTTCCGCATACAAAGATGACACTCTTGTGGAACTGATATCCCGTATCCTGACGTGTCACCACCAGCAAGCTCTGAAGTATCTTGGTGACGGACAGGGTCGGGGCAAGCATATAGCATCCACTTAGACACTCTTCTTGCCCTTGAAAAACATCCTCAAACTCTCGAGCACCTGCCCAAGACCGTCTCCTCCACCCTTAACGATACCCTGCCGAATCCATGCCGGTAGCTTGCCCTCGATTCTCGGTGTCCTATACCGCCGATCCAGGAGTAGAATACTCGCAAAGTCTCCTCTATGTCTGATAGCCCTCCCAATGCTCTGGTTTACCGCCCTCATGCACGCGTTCTCGTAGAACTCTCTAGCGGCAGCCTTTCCCTCATCTCGACTACCCGTTCGTGTCGTCGTGCTTTGTTCGATGTACTCCAGCTTGGCTTTCCATTGGGCGCTCTGGATGTTGGGGAAGGGGAGGCCAACGACTACGACGCCACGCCCGAGGGCGTCGGAGAAGTTGATGCCTTCGGACATCTTGCCGCCGATGACGGAGAGGAGGAGGCCGCCGTGGCCGGTGGAGATGGCTTGGGAGTATCGGCCGAGGACGTCATCGACACCGGTGGCGGCTTTCGATTCTCGGAAAATGGGCTTCCTCTCCATTAAACGGTCCCAGATAGAGTTTACTGCTCCGCTACTCTTCATTTGCCAGCGGAGTACCACTTGTTCGAGGTAGGCATAGCTTGGGAAGAAGACGACTAAGCCGTCAGGGATGATGTTTGAGAGCTGGAGTAGACATTTTCCGAGAGCCTCGATCATCGCGAGAGAGTTGCGCTTGTCGTAAGTAAAATCGAAATCTATACCACCTGGTCCCTTGGCTACCGGGAGCGCAATGAGGTTCTCCTTTGGAATTATGTGCCCGCAGCTGAAGGTTTTCAG